TTCTTGCTAATGATGACGATTTTGTAAACCTTGGGCCTCCTTTGGAAATAGACTGGAATGTGATAACCATTTTCAATGAAGTTCCTAATAAAAAGGGCTAGAAGATTCATTTGAGTCCCTTAAACTTAAAGTTCAAATGCTTTTGACCAAAACATTTCCAATGAAATGTTTTGGATCTTCTCCATTGAAAATTATTTATCTCAATATTACGCCATGTTACGAAGAGACGACGAGGTCAATGGGGTGGAGAAACTTCTATCTTTGATCCATCAGTAATAGAATGTAACTAAATTAGACTCTTAGTAGTTATTTCAAAATGTGCTATGTGCCACTAATTAATTAAAATATTATTAGCGGAGGTCTTAAAAATATTGATTAATGAACTAATATTTAATATTATTCATATATTTTCATTGTAATCTTTAATAGTTTTTATATTCTATAACTCATCTTTATAAATCACTTATTAAGAAAGTCATTAATTAATTAATTTTAGCTCCTAACCTACCACCTTAATGTGAAGTTATTATGACTTCCAAAACTTGAACCTAAGCATAAAAATGTTACACGTTTCGTAATTGGATTAGGAATAAAAAACACAACAGGTAAAAATCATGATCCTTTCCAATTTGCTTTTAAAAAAACTTGAGATTAAAGCAACCCATCCATGTATAAATAAATAATATACGTTATAGCTATTTATACTTCATTACATACATAACAATTAAATATCTGCTTAATTAATTTAGTTGTATTAAGAGATAAGTTTATTTAGAAGAGTTTATAAATAATTTAAGAAAAATAAATTTATAAAATAGGCATTAAAGCAAGTTGTGAACCCAAATGGATACATAAATTGACTAGTTGAGTTAAAAATCATTTGTTTACAAATTTTTCTTTTTCTCTTAAGAGTGAATTTCTAATAACATCTTGATACTAACTTTTTTACTCACAATAAAGCTATATATAAATATAATTTTTTAATATATGTATATAATATTGAACTTTTAAAAAATCTTATTGAATCACAAACTTGTGGGTATAGAAGAAACAAAAAAAGCTGGAAATTGGACTGGCTTACAGATTCAACACGGTAATGCAAATATGGTAGGACTTTAGGGTTAGTTTTAATTAGCCAATTCAAATAAAGCTAATTTTAATTCCACGAATTTGTTTAATCCCATTCTTTTTCGACTTGATGGATAATATTGAAAAAAGATCATGAACTTAATCATTACGGGAAGAACATACCTATATTGAATTATAATTAACATAATTATTTAGTGCTCCTTAATCTTTCTAATACTTTTAGTCCATACAGATTCCACTAATTAATTTGTCTCTCCGTTCGCCTCCATCGGCTCCACCAGGATCAGTCCTTCAATTGCGGACTACTTTTTTGAATCAAACAAGATCGGCAAGTCTTTATACTATTCGTTTTTCTAATTATTTATTAACTATTATCCTAAACACAACGGTTAATTACCAAAATCACGATAAGTTTGAGGCTTCTTAAAATGAAAATGCGATCACAACCAATTTTTATGCCTCAATTTTGCATGTATGATTATGGGCTTCGAATTTATATTTTTCACAAAATTACAATAAAATGCATTTTTACTATATAAATCCCATATGTGTATTTGGAATTCAATAATTCCGGTGAAACAAAGAATCATGAATATATGAATATAAAGTATGACGATGAAGCAGGAGTTTTTTTTAAAGAATTACTCTATGTTGTAATTGTATAGAAAACAACAACCCCACCCCCCCAAAAGAAAAAAAAAAATAATTTTATCAAATTTGTAAGCACTATTTCAATAATTGATTATGAAATTATAAATTATCATTTTTTATAATTATATAATTAAGATTTACTCTTTCACCACTCATTAAAAAATTCCTTCATTAGATGTGTTTTCCATAGAAAACATATAAAATGAGAATGTTCTTTTTAAGTGAGAATGCAAAAGTAAGCCTCAACCATTAAATATTATTATGATTGATCATAATTAAAATATAAAATTTATAAGAGATTTTTAAAAAAGTATGAAACGTTTAAAATTCATTTAATAATTTTAATAAAAATATAATTATACTATTCAAATTTATCTTTCTCAGTCTTCAATAAAAATTTCATTATATATGAGGTAAAATTTATTTTGCTTTAGTTGAAAGTTAGGTGAATGAAGTTGAAATGACTGTGCTACGGTTCATGTATATCTGCATTCCCAGTCTCTCGTCAATCAAATCTCTTGCTATTATCATTCTTTGCTGGGGGATATAAAGCTTGATTTGGCATAAGTTCTTGTGACGCTTCTATTCCATTAATTTTGTGCAATTTCTATTCCATTATTATACGTCTTCCAAACACCTAAGGATGACCCGGGGGAGGGATAAATTCATATTTTATTTTTTAATATTTTTTAAATATTAACTTAAGTTCCAAAATATATTGATGATATCATATTATTTGTCGAGTAATGGTTAATTGTTACAGCATATCAATTTAATTCCAGTAAATAATAACTTATAACTATTTGACGCATGTAAAAATAAATAATTTCAAAATTAAATTAATGTAACATTCTTAATGAACTTAATTTTGAACATCGTTAAGAGCCGGTATATATAGTCTTTAGTTCTTAAAGGATAACACGAAGGCTTATTTAAACTGTATAATATATTATACAGTTTTTCTCTAAATAAAACAAGTGTTGGACCAATTTATTTTAAACTTTTTTCCCTTAGAAGAAGCATCAGAATCAAACAAAATTTTGAAAAAATAGTTTTTTTAAAGATTTTTTTTATTTTTGAATCTTTTTTAAATTCTAAAATCTAGTAACACCTTTATTTTTTAAAAATAACATATAAAATTAAGTATTAAATTTAAAAAATGTAAATTATTAAACATATTTAACTTTAATTTTATATTTTATATTTTTAACTTCAACTTTAATATAAAATTTTAAACTTTACTGAATATTGATTACGTGCCTAAAAATTACAAAGGTTACAAGTGGTTGAAAAATATGGTCACGAGACAGTATCTTTGGGGCATATATATATATATATATAGCCAAAAAAAAGGGGGTCTCAAGGTAACCTACCACCGTGGCTAGTATGGGTACAAATCGAACACTTCCTTTCAATTGTCAAAATCCTCCCATTAACTTAGCAACTGAAGATTTCTTTCAACATAGGTGTGTACGTAGGACAATTAGATATGACCACCAATTGATTTCTGGCCGTTAATTAGTAGCTAGCAGTTACATTGTCAATTAATAAAATTAGCTTCAAACGGTTGATCTTAAGCAAAGGACATTTTTTATGTGCATCAATATCATCTTTCATGGGACAAGAATACAAACATACATATACAGAAGACAAACAGGCGAGATTTTGATTGATGCAAATTAATATTTGTGATTGATTATGCCTAATATGAAGGATTATTCAGTGAATGATTCATTGAATTTGCCACCTAGCTACGATAATACAAGTGTAGACTTTGCCAATATATATTGAAGTATGTTACAAACTATACTTTGGTACGTGTCTGTACTTCAAGATAGATTAAGACCTAATTTCTTTAGTCAAAGTTACATCTCACAATTTCTAATCGAGAGAAAAAAAAAATAGAGGACAACACATGGTCATAGATATAATTGAATATCATATCTAGACAGCATCCATCCATATCGTAAATAAGAAATAGTCAAGAATGATAAATAACAGCTAAACAAGCCTGTGAAAGTATTTGTCTAGAAAGAACTGCTCACTGTGCCTTGTCGGTGAGTACCATTAAGCTATATCACTGATCAACTCTACTTAGCTCCAAAATCCCCTCAATCTGTCTAAGAAAGATATATATCTGCTCGTAATATGTAGGATAAGATTTGTCTAAAACAATTAAAGTTTATCTTTAGATCATTAAATAAGGGTATATTTATTATTTATTTAACTGAAAATACATGAAAATTATTGAATATATCGTTTAAAATTGTTTTTCTTTTCTTTTTGGAAGGGGGGGGGGGTAGTATTCTTACTGAGGTACGAGCAACCCACGAATAAATAACAATATATTCATTGAATGATCAAACCATATAAGTATTAAAACAGGTTATAAGTGTTTTAAGCATTTGTAATGTCCTAGTCTCACTTATGTACTTTGTTTCCATGACATACAAAGCTTTATTTATTTATTAATTCAGTATAAGGAGAAAAAAAATTGATATTGGAACTCTCGACATTAAAGATATATAAATATTCGCTAGAAAAATTTAATAATTTTTTTATAAATTAAATATCTTATATATATATATATATATATATATATATATATATATATATTGCAGTATACATAATTAATTGTAACAGTCATCATCATCACCAACAATTAATCTTAACTTCTTCCTTTTAATTATTGATTTACGAAAGTTAACCAACAAGGAGCATGTAGTATAAAACACTAGATAAAATATCCACTCTAGGTCCTTGTTCGTCATTTCAATACTTTTCTCCGTTTAGGTATTGACCAGATGCGTATGTGTTTTCATCCTCTTATTTGAAAATCCTTGCTTAAGGTCAATGTGTGAGAAAATGAGGGCATGTGGGTCAAATTCCATTGTATGTTATTAGAAAGAGAATGTAAAAGGATTAACACATTCGCTTCACATTGTACCAATTACCAAGTAGTAGTTCGGATCGGAGTTCATACTATTCTAGGATTCTTTTCTACTAAATTGGCGATTCCTGTTTTGCATGTCATTTTCTATCCCCACCAATTAGACCCTCTTTTTCTCTCACCAAAAAGAAACAAACAAAGGCCAAGGGAGAAGAAAGAGAAAAAGTAAGGGTAAAAAAAAAGCGAAAAAAAATAAAGGAAGATTCATTTGATCAATCAACAATATAAGTGCAGGCTTTCTCCAATAAAGTTAGGATATAAGCCTTTCTGAGTAGAGAAAGAGAAATTCAGAAATCCAGGGACTCTCTCTAAAGAACATGAGTTTGAGGGAGTGCAATGTAGAAGACAAGAATCTATACCTTCAAACCCCAACTTTCATTGAGTGGCTCAAACCATCTTCCTCTCTAACTACTTCAATATCATCCTCTCCTTCTTTGACACGGCATGAACTTGTCCATGAAACTATCCAGTTTTTTCCCTTCAAGGAAGACCATGGAGTGCAAAAGGAAGGGTCTGAAGTAAAAGAAGAGAAGGTGGAACAAGTGACTGTGGCTTTGCACATTGGATTGCCCAACACAAGAGGTCCTGATGATGATGATGATGATGAGAAGAAGGTTTTCCTTGTTAAGGAAGAAGAACCCTTGAAAAGCTTTCATGAGTGTTCTTTTAACCAGGAGAGAAGGTTTTGGATACCAACTCCTTCCCAGATCCTTGTTGGACCGATGCAGTTTGCTTGCTCCATATGTAGCAAGACCTTCAATAGATATAACAACATGCAGGTTAGTTTGTTACTATATAACTTCTCGTGTACTAATAAAAAGAAAAGCTTTAGCTTTTCTATTAAACTATTTTCTGATGAATTAACTAGTCTATACAGAAAAACTTGTATATCTTCAACTTGCAGCCAAGCTAGGATCAATCTCTCAAAAGGAGAATATTCTTTGAAACTAAAATCATGCATTCTTTTCATATTATACCCATAACCTATCCGATGGCTCACGCTTGAATTTCATCGTTAGGTACCATTGACAAAATAGAATCGAACACCAGTTCACAACAGTAAGTTGGGAAATAGAATTTTAGTTTGTGATTTTGCAAGTAGGTATAACTCCTTTAGAACGTTGTACGAAAAAAAAAAAGATATTAGTTTTCTTCACAATCGCAGCATTAGACTACATCCTGCGGATTCTATATATACAAGTTGGGAAATATGTTTCTTTCAGATGTTGTCACTTTATTTCAAGTTTTTTCTTACTGCCAGATACTTATCATGAAATATAAATCATACCGCACCTTTTGTGTTCGTTACAATCAATTTATTTTGATAATTTTACCCTCCATATCCTTACAAGATGATGACGGTAAGGACGAAGATAATCTTCAAGAAGAAAATAATCATTCAAATGAACTTTAATGACTATATAAACATGACCCTTTGATGACTGTCTTTTTCTTTTGCTTCCTTTTTCACTTTAAGAAATATGAGCAAGACGGCCTGTTGCCCCGCTATCACCCCCTTCAACTTTTCGTAAAAGGCTCCTTTTATCCCATAGAAATTTCATTTCCATATCTTCATGCTTTTTTCTCCTTTCCATGTGTTTGTCCTTTTGGGTTGAAAACCCCTCTTCAGAATATAACGAACCAATTAGCATTGGAACTAATCCGTGTTTGACAGGATGCTGATAATGATAAAATTACAATATATATGAAATTGCATGCAGTATGAAGCAAGATCTACCTTCTTAGCAAATTCTTTAGAATGGAACTATGCCTTCAAATAAAATTCTATATCTTATGGAGGGGAGGGGCACAATTGCCTACTCTTTAAGAGGCATTATATATAACTGTTAGGTCACCGAAATCATGTATTCAATTTGTATTCAATTTCCCTTTTTCTTCTGTTCATCTTATTAAAAAAAAAAAACTTTATTTGTTTTTGTTGTTCTTGTTCTATTAAGTGTTATTGTTTAATTAAAGGAACAGTTGGAGTTGAGATATGTAATACGAATTGGTGATTAATTTGTGTCTACCTCAAAACTAAAGGTTAGAAAACGACTCAAATCTTTTTATGGGTTAAATTTCAAATGGATTTGTACCAAGAAAAATATCTGATTCACCATTCGTAGTACTAGCCGTGCTGCAGTAACTTTCACGAGAATTCGACTAGTTAACTAGACCTCCATAAGTTACATTAACAATTAAGTGTTACTGCTAATCTATTTAAGGCCAACATAGGTAGGTATAATAAACAGATTGAAATCATCTATCTCCCCTTTTCTTGTCTCTTTCTCTATCTCACAATTAAAAAGTCACACTTAATTAAAAGTAATAATATTCTTTCTTCAAATTATTAGAGTTTTTTTTTTTTTGTGTATTGCTTTTTAATTAGAGAAACAAGAAAGGAGACAGTAAAAGGGGGAGAGGTGATTTGGTTCCCAAATGAGTAGGCATGAAAAATAACTTTGATGGCCTAATTTCTAGTAAATTTGGGATCAATTACAAATGAACATGTCTAACTTGGTAATTAAAAACTAAAATAAACTTTTACAATTTGCAGATGCATATGTGGGGGCATGGCTCAGAATTTAGGAAAGGACCAGACTCACTAAGAGGAACACAGCCAGCTGCAATGCTAAGGCTACCATGTTACTGTTGTGCACAGGGTTGCAAGAATAACATAAATCATCCAAGAGCAAAGCCCTTGAAGGACTTCAGAACACTCCAAACCCACTACAAAAGAAAACATGGGGCAAAACCATTTATGTGTAGAAAATGTGCAAAAACCTTTGCAGTTAAAGGGGATTGGAGGACTCATGAAAAGAACTGTGGCAAGTTATGGTATTGCACTTGTGGTTCAGATTTTAAGCACAAAAGATCCCTCAAAGATCATATTAGATCCTTTGGAAAAGGTCACTCCCCGCATCCTTCTCTTGAAGGCATGGTTGAGGATGAGAAGGAATGCATTACTGGGTCTGATGAAGATGAAGTTGCTCATACATGATCATATATATATATAGCTTTTCTTTAATTTACTATAATGAGTAGAAGTAACAGTAACTGAACTTGGTCACTGTGCTTGTGCTCAGTAACAAAAAATTCTCAACTGCTGAGGCATGAAAATGGAGAGCGGTTTGATACCGAGCACTTGCAGGGTGGTGATTAACTAGCAGGAAATTAAGAGTTATGGATGAGTTTGCTTTGTGGTTAATTAATATTAAGATATACAGTTAATTACCTCAAGTGATGAAGCATATGAATTTTTTTTCATAGCAACAGAAAGCAGGTGTTATATAATGTTGATGTTTTTGTAACCTTTCCAATGGAGAAAATTTATCCGCTTCATTACAAAGAGGTAATCCTATGCCTAGGTCTTCAGTACTGTTGTTAAAGTCTTTCTAACACTTCGATAGTAATTTGCTACTGTGGATTGTCATTGTCAGCTGCACAACTACAGGAATTTTTTTTCTTCCCCTAATTAATAGTGGGTAAAGACATAAAAATATAAAGGTTATATATAAAAATGCTTAACATTTAATTTTTATGTAATTAAAGTATAATATTATTAATTAATACATTTAAGATACTGATTAAGAAGTTAATAAATACAAAATTTAATTATTAAAAAAATACTGTTAAGTTACATAAAAAAAAATGATGGTATTAGTGAAATTTTTCTTTGTAATTTTTTTATTTTCCATTTTTTAACCAAATGTCATAAGAATACTTAAAGTATTTAAAAATTATTGAATACCTTTTAAGCTATAAATTAAATGTATAGGATAAGAAAAAGTGTACATAAAAATACTGCTTTTCCCTAATCAATGCCCCTAATCAATGATATATATACATTAATTGCGACAATAAATGTAACTTTTACTGGGAAAAAATATATTTTGAGACGCATAGAAAAGTTTATAAAAATAATTTATAAGTTTTTTATTTTATTTTAATTTTTTATAATTTATCAAACTAAATATTTTTATTTAATTTAATAAATTTAATGATAAAATGTCTGTCATAAGGCCACAGAAAATAAAAATTTATCCAAAAAAACACTGGATTGAGTTATTTATCTAAATACACTCTTAAATATTGATAGATGAACGTGATATAATTCTAACAGACAATATAATTCTCTATTAATGGAAATTAAATGAATAATATAAACATTGTGAGTTCAAACTAATAATATAATCACATATTATATTAATAAATAATAATAATAATAATAATATAAGAAATCATAACGTTAATTAATATAGACTCACAAGTTTTTGTTACACAAGATGCAAAATGTCTATATTGTTAATTTAATTTTATTAAATAAAGATTACACTAATAAGATTGATTCTGAAGCGTAACATATTTTATTTTTTATACTTTTTTCAGTAAAGAAATCATTCTTTAATCAATACACAATGATCAGGAAACCGATACAAATATACAATTAACATAAACGCAGGCAAAATGTGAGACCAAAAACGGTTTAGGACATGCGGCGTTCACAGAAGTACAAAAAGTTTTATAACATGTTATTTTAATGTCGGTAACGTTTTGGTTTCTGTTTATTTGCGTGTCCCCTTCCCATTAACCAATTGGTCATTAAGTAATTATTCACCAATCGGAAAAGATGTTACAGAGAATCATTCACAATTTTCTATCAAACAAAAGGTGGTGCCGTCCTAATCTGTAAAGGATTTTCACAATCCTTGCAACTCTTACGAATATGATTATTGATTGATCCCTCGTGAAAGGAACAATGAAAACTGCCTATATATTTTTAGAGAGGGAAAAAAGAAAAAAATAAAAAGCTTATAAATTTATAAGTGGGTGACATCAAATTATTGGGATGGACATTTTTCCTATATCAACAAGATGAATAAAAAAGCCTAATTGATGGAAAGATGTTGGTTCACCCGCAAATTTGCCCAATGTGAAAGGACTGTGGGCTACAAATATAAAATCACTTTTTTTTTCAATAATTTCTTGTCTTAATTTAATTAAGAGTCTAATTTGGGCTCACCAAATCACACGCCAATATCAAGTAGCTAGCTACAAAGCTTGACATCAGTTGCCCAATATAAAATTGGAACTGGTTAGCTTCATTCTTTTAGTCACAGAGTTAGATGATGTGCTAAGAAAAGCATCCAAAATGGTGTTCAATTACGCAAGTGTGTTTGAAAAAGAGATATTGTGTTATAGGAGCCTCTTTTTCTTGAAGAAGACATGGTGATCCTTAATACACGTGAGGAAGAGAGAGAAAGGGAGAGTAAAAATAAAAGGGTTTGTGATTTGGATTCTTTTGAGGTAGGATTGACCAAAGCAAAAAAGTAGTAGAAAAAAATGGGAGGTTGTATTTGGTTCTTGAAGATAAGGAACCTCCACCATGCTTTGTCGGGTAAAACGTTAGAGAGGTAGAAAGAACACAAACTACCATCTTTAACTGCACCAATTTAACTAAACTATAGCACCACACTTTCATATTCAAAAGTGCCAGCCCCTGTGGGTGTCTCTCTCTAAAGCCATTAGCTATAGGCTATAGCCAACAAGGTTAACCAAAATCCGGTCTCTGGGAACATCCTCAGCAACCAAATGCAAATGGATGCTTTTCCAATCAAATCATGCCCCTTATAAACCCAATATCAAGCACATGTCTAAAACTTGATCCCTCGAGAAATTTTATTATATCAACATCAGGTTTATCATTGAAATTGCTTCATTAATATTTGTGGGCAGGTAAATTTATGTAGTGCTATAATACACTGAAGATCATATCATTTCAGTGCACTACAATACTTGTAGCTTGATTTAGATCTCACAAATAGGGCTAAGTTGACCATTAATAATTACCTAAAACTCTTTGAAGAGAACTAACTTAGCTAAAATATCAAAGGTAAAAATATTTATCAACTATGAGCTTAAATATTACTTCAAACAACATATTAAAATAAATATTATTTTATATAATCAATAAACTATATTAATGTGAAAAAAGTTCTTAGCCGAAATAATTATTGTCAAATAATCAGTAAGCTAAAATAATTACTCTTAATTTAACAACCATTCCAACTTAAAAAATGCTTAATTTTATAGATCATAATTACTTAAACTTTTAGTGGTCAATTTGTCATGCGCAAGCGTCACAGTAAGAAGGCGTGGCAAGGACAAAACGGGTAGAAACCCCGTGGCCGGCCCAGTTTCAATAATTTCATTTTTTTATAAGATGCAATTCTATTAAACTACCTGGGATTTTTATAAGCGATTAATTAATGAAATTATTTAGCTTACCGCTTGCTTAATTTGAACTATTCTAAAAATATTTTTTTAACATGTATAATACTATAAATAATAAAATTTTACTAAAAATTGTAATATTTAATAGCATTCACTAAATTATATTAAATTCAATTATTTTTAATAAAAATTTACTATATAAAAATTATTATTATTATTATGTATAATATTGTACAAGTTAAAAATTATTTTTAAAAAATAATAAAATAAGTGATTTCAAACACATGCAACTGATTCATCATCCAATTAACCTTATTCAATGTGACCCAATGACAAAATAAATACATAGTTCGCCTTAGATATCATGCTTGATCATTAAAGGGTCGACAAAAGTGTATTGATATCAACGTAAAATTTACATTTTCTTTTGCTGCATACATTCGGGCATTTAGCATCACAAAGTAATTCACAATACAAAATTGAATCTGGAATCAGTATTGGTCTCCAGTGTGTGTGTGTGTATATATATATACGTATGCATTTGACAAAATAATAGAAAGGACCAGTTGAGACGTGATAGAATTGAAAAATTGAGCATCTGATCAGGCAAAAGCGTCATCGATACATGAGCACAGGAGGAATATGAAACTCGTCCGAAAGAAAAGGTATTGGCCTATGTCCATCCACAATGTCACGGTAAAATGCATATTCTGCCTCATAGTCATGCAGATGAAGTTCAGCTCTTTGATTAGTGTGATAGTGATGCTTGGCGGAACCAGATTTCCCAAACCCAAACATGCTTACTTTTTCACATATTCCCAAAGCCAACATAAACGCTTGAAACCCAGAAGAGTAATGAAAAAAGGCCTCATCATGGGCCGGGCCCCATTCCTTCAAACCCATACCCGTTTCCATCACAAACCGTTTCAAAGAATAGTATTTCACTATCCTCGCACACACCATATCGAACCGTGGATCAGTGACCATTAAAGGGGTCTTGTTGAACGAATTGCACACCGTGTAGTCCATGATATGTGCTGGTTGACAAAGGTACATAATTGTTGCCACGTCAGCACCATACGTGTGACATAAGCACCCTGACCCCACTATTCTCCCACACGCATGCAATACGTTGCTATTAACGAACGAAATGTTTGTTTTCGACCCTACTTTGTTCTCGAAGCCTTCGACCCTCGCATGGTTCAACCGAATAACAACCTCGTTGGAATCGATTAGTTTCCCATAATTTGTATTCAACAAAATCCCACTGTTCCCAACAACCGCACACGATTGGTATTTCTTATGATCGGAACCCACCAACCCTTTGTGCTTTTCAATGGGGTGCTTCACTAGGCGTGTGAGTTCTAACATGATATCGGGTTGAGAACTCTTGTTGTTCCTTTTCATGGCCCAATCATTAAGAGCCTCTTGAAAATGGGGTAAATATCTTTGGAACAACGCAGAGCGCAACGCTACGGGGACACGTGATTCGTTTCCGAGGCTTGAATCGAGAAGTTGTTGGATTTCCTGATTCCACTGTTCTTCAACGGAGTCTATGGTGGCATAGTTTAGAAGAAGGGTGTTCATTTTTTGTGTGAGTTTACTTTGTGAGAGCATGGTTCGGGATGTGAGAGTGGCGGTGAAGAGGAAAAGGAGTAAGAGGGCAAAGAGTGGACGAAAGGAGAATTTGATTGGCTTGATGGAACAAATGGCATAACCATGTTTGTTTTGGGAAATCATATTTCTATTATTGGATGTGAATGTGGCATGTATGGAGTTGTTGGAGGGATGTTATAAGAAGGCATGGTTTGAAGTTGATGTTATGGATTATTTTGTTTTGAGTGTGAGGTTGGATGTGGGGTAAGGTGCTTACAGGGGAGGTAGTGAGTGATAGGGTGGTTTGCAAGGATGTGATGATGCAGTCCGTGGCATTTGGAGTGGGTCCAATATGTGAGCTCACATCCAACCTGTTTATTTCTTCCATATATAATTTGAATTGAATGTCAAAGATTTGGATTCTGCAACCATATTGAGGATCTATTTTCCCTTCTAACTTCAAGTTTATACAACTTTTATTTTTAATAAGACACCATAACAGTATATCTAGTTAACATTTTTATATATATCTCTCTCTCTCTCTCTCGTGTTGTGAAATCATATTAATTATTACAAGTTTATCTAAAAGTGTTAAAGAACGTAAGTTATGGTTTTAAAAAATTATTAAACAAGCATTTAAATAAATTTCTTTTTCTTTTCTTAAATTTTGGTCAATATTTTTTCTTATTAGTAACATAAGTTTGTTTTTTTTCTATATTTGACTCCTTTTAGCACATTATCTGTTATATTTATTACATTCTTTCTTTCTTTCTTTTACTTGAGAATTTATATATCTTAAGAGTGTCAAACAAAAATTATTGTTAGCAGAGCCACAACTTATAGTCTGTTTATTTACGTGTTGGCATCAGCATTGCAGGATTTATGAAAATGTGCAAAAGAATTGTTCTAAAGGAAAAAATTACACCCTTTCAACTAACTTGCGTATTGAAAATTAAAAATGACAAACAAACTTCAATTATCCAATTTTGGATGCAAACATAATGCGTGACTAAGAATGCATACATCAAATTATGTACGTGATAAGGATCAATTTATATGGATGTTATTAACACTCATGATATTGAACAATTTTTTATGTTAACTAATTTTATTTTATTTATGAAATTTTAAATTGATCTAAAATTACAATGAATAAAAAATTTATCAAGAATATTTTATATTTTTAAAAATAATAAACTTATTGGACTTAAAAAAATAAATTTTAAAAATAACCCATAAATTATTAGTTCGAATAATATATATTTAATTGTTCTTAATTAACAAGGTTGTGTCCCATAAAAATCATGATATATGCCAAAATAACTTAAAAGTTAAACTTTTTTCTTTAAGTTGAATAAGCTTTTAAAAATGTTTACACCAAACTTATTCAACAAATAAAGTGGGTCAGATATAATCGAAGCCAAGTCAACCTATCGCATATTCCCAACCCTAATTGCAACTGATATTATTGGAAGGTTTTAAAAAGATTCCTTACCAACTTGTTACTTATCTTTCCATATGAAGGTTTTATCCCCGGATGACACTACCCACTCCCGTAGTCTCCTTCGTTCGTCATTTTATTGTATATATATTTTTTAACTTTATTTTTAAGTGGACATTTAATATAATAAAAGTAAGACCAAATTTATATGCAGATATAGCTATTTTTATATTATGTTAAATTAAAACTAAAGTTTTACACGTAATAAAAATCATCATCAAAATGTTAGAATACATTTTCAATATAAAATTCAAATTTTATGTGTATTTTTTCTATTTTGACTATTTTAAATAAAATTAAAATTTATTTTACTGTTCTCATTTGTCATACAGTTGTTCTCAATTAAGAAATGTATGGTAGTATTAGAGAACTAAGAAATTTTACCATTAAATAGCAAAATGAACTCATGTTTAAGTCAAAGGATCCTTTGTTATGTACATTTGGGTAGCATATGGACAAGAATGCTTGGACACTGTAGTTTGTAATAACAACCATCTCATTCATTGCATAGAATCAACTAGTTCAACTAAAAGAAAAATATGTTTGTACAATTCAAAACATACAGTTGAGAGATGGAAAGCAAAAAAGGGGAAGAGTAAGATGACATGACAAGTGATATGACGAGAAGAAGAATATATATATACTGGTTTGAATTAACATTTCGTTGAAGAAAAATGGTTTTGATTGTTATCATTTGGTTGTGTTAGCAAATATCGCAGTAGGTAGATATTGTAAAACACTTATCAACCAAGTAAGTATTTGGTTAGGTTAATGAGTGAGATTTCCAAACCCTAGGTATTGCTACAAAATGTGTGGCATTTTTTGGGGAGGTACTTCGCTCTGATGCATGTAGGACACGTATATAGCTTTGGATGATGCTGGTACACCACTTTCAAATAAGTTTCAAGATGATGGTAACAGTTAAAAAAATGTTAAGAAAAAAATTAAATTCAAAAACTAAAGTAGAATAAAAATGTTAAAAAACTAAGATAAAATTTAAAGGAAGAAAACATCAAAATTGTCCGTGTAATTTTATGTCCTATATCAAGCAAATAATGGAACTCAATAAAGGATTCAAGTTAATAGACGCTTTCTACTAAATAGGATAGTGTACTCAGAATTGTAAGACCCAACCTGTTCTACTGCCTCTTTTTGATCTACTGTTAATTTTGACGAATTTAAAATTTTAAAATTAGATTATGTGTATTTTTTATGTCAATAAGCCTTAGGGATTTTGTACTATCCAAACTCAACCTGACTATAGCCTAAGCTTGGCCCAAATGACATAAACTGAGTCATTCACTTTGACACGAGGCCATTCCCTGACTCAAAAGGCAGAGACAACGGGACAATGAAAACGAAACAAAAAAGATCACGATTCATGCTTGATTATTGATTATCTCACCTGCAATTAAATCAATCTTTACTGCACCTCTTTTGTGTACCAGATCAAGACTAAGTAGGCATTTTTCTGATCACTCCCACTAGCTAATTGGTTTAGATTAAGTTCTCATAAATTTTAGTTATAACAATGGTTTTATTTATTTTTTTTCATAAATTCAAGTTATAGCAATGATTTAAAAGTTTTATTGTTGTGTTAAACACTAATTAAGTTTCTTATCATTTTCAAAATTAAAATTACCGTTCAATTTAATAATTAATAAATTTAAAGCATGTGAAAAGTTTATAGGTAATGCCATTTATTATGACTTTTAAACTAATAATTTTGTTAAAACTACATGAAATAAAGGGCAACAAGAAATCATGTCCATGATTAGCAGTGGTTAAAATGGAAAGCATTGAATGAGAACCTTTGATCTAATACTACGAAAACAATATTCTCTTGTTTATTTCACATACTAGCTAGAAAGTGTATCATGAATTAGAAAGGTACTTTTTAATTCAAATGAAAAATTTAAAATAGAAAAAAAATCAAGAAAATAAATAGAAAAAATAAAATTTAAATTTTAGGGAAATTAAATTTTAATTTTTTAAGTATATTATTAAAATTTGAGACAAAATGATTAATGTAAAATATTAAAATAAAACAATAATTAAATTAAATTTTAAATATATGCATATATGTGTTGATCATCTCATGCACGTCAGGTCATTTACCTATATTTGATATCAATAACGAAAAATAAAGACAAAATTAAAACATAACATTACCAAGTAAAATTTGAACATGATAAAAAATTATAATAATAAAATCATGTATAAAAAATAAAAACATATATTTTTGCGTTGATTTATTACAATATAAGAAATATTTTCAAATGTACCTTCATCATACTTTATTGCATCTTCAAGTGTGTAGTTATCGAACGTGTGCATTATCTGACCAAAAACAAATTATGTAGGCATTACAGGCTTACTATCGTCGAATGAAATTTTTTTTACTTAAGATTAACCAATAAATCTTGAAAAACTTTTGAAAAATATATATGGATCCAAAGGATGTGCAAAAAAACTTTGTTTGAAAAAAGGTAAAAAGTAAAACATCAATAATTTTTACATCCCGAAGATAATATAGTCTTTTAATATCAATGAAGAAATACTTTAAAATTTTGTTTGTGAGACAAAATAAGAGGAATAAAATAAGATAAGTTATTTATCTTAGCTTTACTTGAATCTTCTACTGTTCTTATTAGACAACATCTACAACCAATGTTATTGTCACCATTGCACATGTCATTGCCATAGCTTGCATCCAATATTTCACCATTACTACCATAGTCGGCTACCTCCATTGTGATTTGCTGTCTACCATCACTATGACTATCATTTGTTGATACCCTCCGCCACCCAATGCCCTCAATCATTGCCATAACTTCTTAATACCCTTCGCTCATACCATCATCCAATAATTCCCATTATTATTATAATGTAATATTATATATTGTCATTACTGATTTATTGACACCTTTTATTGTTATTTTATTACTTATTGTTAGAGTTACCTAACACTTCATTTTTCTTGTGAAATAGCATCACCACCTACTATTGTCACCCAACACTCTGATATCATTTTTTCAAAATAAAAGCATAGTTTTTTTTTTTTTTTTTTTGTATCACAAACATGTTACTATTTGCTGAATTGCCTTAGTTGCATCAAATATTGAGCATGAGAAAAGCTTATCAACCTCAATTTCCAAGGTTTCAACTTTCTTAAATAACCAGCAAGCAATACCTTAATATACACAAGAAAATAATGTTCAAATATTTATTTAACACGTTGTTAGAAATATATTTTTTAATAATATATATTATTTAGCTTTTCGAAAACCATCTACAAAATTAACCAAAATAAATAACTATTTTTAAAATGATCGCGTGATCATCACGCGATCTACATATTACACCAGCAACAAACTGACTTACGAGCATAAATTGACGATCCCGTAAATTCTTAGGTCGGGGCAAATAACTCTCCAGAAAATGATCGATTAGGTTAAACAAAATTCAGTTAAATGATATTCCATATCAATCACGTCTATTTTCCATTTAAATTATGTATGAACAATTTCTATTACTTCTCAATCTTTATCAAAATATATAATTTTTAGTGATTCTCAATTTTCAATTACTTCTCACTTTTCTAACGTGAAAGCGCAGCCCCCGGCCCACGGTATTGCAAAGTAATATATTTTAAAATTCTGCCAAAGAATTAATTAATTCTTAGAATACCGAGGCAGAAAAGAAATAATTTTCAACCAGAAAGAAGTTTAATGACAATTGAAACGTTTTCAAATTAATTTACAATGACAACGCAACCACATAACAATGACCCACCCACCGCCTATTACGGCACCCGATTCGTAAGCCATGACACTCACGCCACCGGCCAAGGATCCGACCCGGATTCCACATCCGAATACGCTTCACCGTCAAATTGGTAATAACCGTAAACACGAAATGACCATAATACCCTTTCCCTCTTTTTCAGATCTTCTCGAGCTTCTCCGCCTTGACCACCGGATTCGCCTTCGCGATCTGATCCCTCCCCATTCCCTTGAAGTCGAACTCGCACGCGTGCTGCTCCGGGTAACGGTGCGTCCCGCAGAGCATCATCCCGCACCGGCACTTGAATCCCGTGAGCCCCACGCGCCGCCTGCACGTCATGCACCGGTTCTGCTGCGGCGGCTTAGCCTCCTCCGCAGCGCGTGGAGCATCAACCACCGCCGAAGACGGATCGAAAGGCGCATCGGTCGACGAAGACGGCTGAGAAACCACCGCCGGCGACGGAGGAGGAACGAGCGATTGATTGAGAACGAGCTTAGCGGAGGAAGATTGTTGTTCCTTGAGCTGCAAATCGCGGTAGCACTTGGAACAAAGGTTCTGCGTGGCAGGGCTACCAAAGAATCCGCAATTGTTGGCGCAGAACTGCGGTGCCTGGCATCTGTGTTCTTCCGCCATTTTTGTTGCAACCTGCAAGAAGATCGGAACAGATCGATCGGTGAGATTTCAAATCTATAATATTCGAAAAGAATAACGGTAAAAAATTATAAAAAAAAAACCGAAAGAAATAAAGATTACCGTTAGGGAGAACGATTATGGAATCTGCAAAAGCGAGGGTGAAATTTTTGAGAGAAGGATTGAAATGAATGGAAGATTTTCCGTGGAGAATTGGAAAATCGAAGAGGAAATAAAAGGGGGTAACAGAGAGGTTAGGGCTTATAAGAGAAACAAAGAAAGGAATCTAGAAACCATACGAATTTGAAGAAAAGTCGTAAAAGAAAAGAACCTCACCCTCTCACACCAACAATATGAAGTAAATTCCAGATACTTTTTCTCCTCTATTTTCTTTATATTGTTTTTTTTTTCTTTTTTTTTTTCCTACTTTCTTTTTAACCAAACAGAGCGCAACCGCGTCTATTATTACGCGTTCGCGAAACGGTCTTTTTAATGGCTCCTTTCCTCTCTCTCCAGGTTAGCCGCATGGGGCCATTGTTCAGTATCTTCTCGAAGCCGTCTACGCCACGCTACTTCTTTTTCTAAATATTAATTCATTCTTTATTCTATTATGCTCCTCAATTATTTATAAAACAAAAACCATTCCTATTCATTCAAACTTTTACGTGAAGGCGATACTAGTATAAAATAAATATATCTTTAATCTTTATAAATAACTTCTTTGATTAATCTTTACAATTTTTTTATATTTTTAAAAATATATAATTGCTTAACAAAATGTAAATACATTTTTCCATACTATATACTGCATGGATATATTATCTAATTATAAATTGATTATATCGTTAAAAATAAATAACTTTTGTAATAACTTTTATTTATTGTAATTTTACATTAATATTGTATTAAAATGAAATTTTTATTATTATATAATGACAAAATTAATTTATAATTTATTAAAAACAATTTTGAGTTAAAAGTATAATACAGGACATCAATACTTACCATTGCTTTGCTATGGTAATATTATTTAATAAACTGTATTTATTTTAAAATTAATCAGCAGGCCATTTTGGACCGTCCAAAGGTGAAAATACGGCGCCGCGGGGATAAGGGCTGAGTCCCCCAGATATGAATCATACGTGTTCTGAGCCGTTGATTCGTTCATTTTTTATTTTTAAAAAAGAAAGGGTTTGACATTACTCATTGATTGTTTATTAGTGCGCTGAAATTGACAAGTCGAATGTTGTTTGCCTCGGAAAATGGTTTTTAGAAAATAGTATTATTATAATCGTCAACCGTGTGATGTGACCTTCGTCTAAACCCAAGTTAATCTATTAAACAAAAAAGTAGTAACCCACACTACAGACAACTTTTTACCTGTATACTTGGTCCGGTTAAAAATATCAGAAATTATTAATCAAAGATTGATAATCGCTGGAATGAAACAATAGTTGGTTTTAATAACTTTGAGCTTCATTCACCAATAGGAAAAAGAGAGAGCTTTGTTTAGGGATAGCATAGCATAGTAATGGGCTTTTAAGGATTAACGTTTTTGAGACAACTTTCACGCTAAGTTGCTGGCCATTCGTGCTCTCTCTTTTGTCTGGGGTTAGGTCGTAAGGCTGGTAGAAATGGAGCCTTCTCCACTTCATTTATTTGGGACATTCATGATTTATTGTCCATTAACTCGTCCTTTGCGATCCACATTTTTAAGTATTTTGATATATTTTATAAGTTACCGATAGAGTTAGTCACACATAAAGCAAACAATTTTATAAGCTTGTTTATTTTACAGAGCAACCCAATCTAACTTGATTAATAATGGTTCATCGTGAATCGAGATTATACAAGCTAGAGTTATCTTGTATCCACCACCTTTTTAGATACGAAAATATGTTTGCAAACCTTTTTTTTTCAATTTACAGCAATGCATATGTCAATTAAGCGCTGGGGACAATAATTTTCTCCCTCAACAAAAAGATTCCATAGTGATTGCCCCGTTTAAGACTCTAAATTTTGTGAAAATTTAATCCTGTGAACGTAAAGAAAGAAAATGAATGGGATAAAAAAAAGTGTGTAAACGGGTTTGTGAAATTAAGAACCTTAACAGAGAGTTATAATAATAATAATAATGATAATGACGATAAAAAGTTATAAGTCTAATTGAATTAAATGAGCCTTGGCCCTTAACCAAGACACTTCATATAACAAGCTATTATTACATGGTACCATTGTACCTCAAGGAGGTCAATACATCGTTATCCAAAGTAAGTTTAAAACAGTTTTAGCTTTCTTGTGTATTCACTTAATGTTGATTTTAATGTATTAAAGTCATTTGTTCATATCATGGGCAAGGTAAGAGCGAGGAAGCTTAAGAATTTATATAATTATTTATTTTATTATTAGGTGCAAGTAATTTGTTGAAGGTGAGTATCCAAGTTACTTGCTCGGACCTTGCTTGAAAATGGAACCCTTTCTTTCGCAAAGTAATTTGGACAAAGATGAATGAGGTTGTTTGGAAGTGGTTTACAAGAACATAAAAAAGATCGAAACTACAAGGTTGAATTCATTAAAGTTTTCTAAACAAGTGAAAACTCAGTAATGGTGTTTTCTTTGGATGGTTTCTAAATGAATTTTATTCCTATCGGTGTATCATGAACAGAATTGGTGGTGCTTGTACAATCATGAGGGGTGAGAATTGAACATCCCTTGACATGCTAAAACCAGGTAGTACCTTTTTTTTTTCTTTTTCAAGACTTGATTCAAAATTCCCTTTTTTCAAAAAAAGAAAAAACTTCCCTTTTGCCAATATAGAATGAGCCCAATTCCTTAAGCATATATATACTTACCAACCTTTTTTTTTCTTTTTTAATAAACAGTATATATATATATATATATTCTCCTTTTTTTGTCCTATCACATTTCTACTTTTTCCTTTCTTTTTTATCTATTTATTCTTACTAAAGTTTTTGTGCCACTATACAAAAAATGACAAATAATGTTTTAAAAACACAGCTTATTATGTAAAATTAATCGCATTCTTTCTCTCCACTAAATATGTTATCTACTAATTCACCTCCAACCCATTGAACGATTTGAGTAACCATCTATTGAGTTATACTGAACTTTTTGACCCAATTCTCCAAAATCGTCACTAAATAGAGGTAATAAATTGAATATCATATACCTAATAAAGAAGGAATGTTCCTCAAATGTAAAGATTGCAGTATAGAGGGTTGTTTTGGTCAACAAAACTTAAGAGGCTGTTGAAAGCATTTTTTTTTTCTTGGTCATGCAAAGTGTAATTATCGTATGCTCCTTGAGTCCAAATTCGGGCTGGGTTTCTAAGCATTCTGGGCCAAGTTTTTGTGGGTTTTGAGTGCTGACCTAAGTCCATGGCACAAAACAATTTGAGGAAGTTCAACATAAAATACATTTGTTGATAATAAATAAATAAATAAATTTGGAGGTTAATACGTTTGACTGATGACACAATCTAATCAAAATTCAACTAATAGGTGAAAAGATAATACTGCATTACATAAGCCTTCTATAAGACTTCCAAAATTCAACATAAATATAATAGTTTATTTCTTATAAATATGATAAACAAATTTAATAAGTATTTATTACAAAAGGAGCTGAAGAAATATTTTAAAAACTCCAGCCGATGGATGTCCTCCAAATTTCACAATCCAAAAGTGTGTTACTTGGACATATTATTCACTTGTGTCTATGGTATATTATAAATTTGTCTTGAATGAAATTATAGGATGTGGAAAGGAATAAATGAACTTGTCCACCTTATGGGGCTTTTATCTAATTTCACTTGTGTCTGAATTATAATCACAAACTTACGCAACCAAAAATAACTTTTAATAATATATTAAATTAGATGAATCACACTGTTAAGAAAAAATAACATTTAAGAAAAATAAAATATCAAACCAAAACGCAGAGCATTAGGGAATACTAATAACACCACCACTCATATTCATGTGAAATAAATGGTAGGAACTAGGAAGTAAATAAAATGTAAAAAAATTAGAAATATGTTTATATATTTTTTAAAATATTAAAAAACTCGTAATAAAATATAACAGTATTTTTAAAATGGAAGAAAAATTTATGTTAGAAAAAAATATTACTTATTATTGATATTGATAAGCGAAACGCGTTTTTTGGGAGAACAAAACCAAACTTGGAGTATTCTTTTTCTCTTTTCCCCTTTTTTCCGATCAGATCCTCACCTCACTTCCGATTAGGGTTTCGAAATCGACGATATCCACAGCTTCTTCCGATTCGTGGAAAATATGATTGCGTTGCAGGTCTAGGGTTTTCCCTCTTCCTTGACCCGCTGTTCTTGGTTCGTAATTTCGATTCCTGTATATGCAGTTGGTGAGGAACGGAAGAAGATGTATAGCAATTTCAAGGAACAAGCTATAGAGTACGTGAAGCAAGCCGTGCAAGAAGACAATGCTGGCAACTACGCGAAAGCGTTTCCTCTCTACATGAACGCTTTGGAGTACTTCAAGACCCATTTGAAGTACGAGAAGAACCCTAAGATCAAAGAAGCCATAACCCAGAAATTCACCGAATATCTGCGTCGGGCTGAGGAGATTCGGGCTGTCCTTGACGACGGTGGGCCCGGCCCAGCCTCCAACGGGGATGCTGCTGTGGCGGCGCGGCCCAAGACCAAGCCCAAGGATGGCGATGGCGGAGACGGGGAGGACCCTGAGCAGGCGAAGCTTAGGGCTGGGCTGAACTCGGCGATCATCAGGGAGAAACCTAACGTTAAGTGGAATGACGTCGCAGGATTGGAGAGCGCCAAACAGGCACTGCAGGAGGCTGTGATTTTGCCTGTGAAGTTCCCTCAGTTCTTTACTGGTTGGTTTCCTTTGTCACTGTTCTTAAGAAATGCTAATCATTCGTTGTTGTCTTGTTGCTTTCTTTGTTATTAGCTTCTGCTATGGTCGCAGAGTTGATCCTATGACTGAAACTATGCATAGTGAAGTAGATGCATTGTATTTGTATGTAACTCAAAGCAATGGCGTTATATAACACTGATTCGGGGATATTAAAAATTAATGACATGACACAACTATGATATAATGTGTAAAAATTAATGTAAAACTAACATCAAATACAATCTTGAATCAAAAGAGAGAATTGGTGGTTAAAAAAAAGAAAGAGAATGAGTTATATCATAGGCCTAATAAAATGTTACTATTATATAATTATTGGGGTATTCTCATTTGTATTGAATTCGTATTGAAATTTTAAAAATGAAGGTGCAAAAATAATGGAAACGCAGCTGGAAAGTATTGGAGAAGTGTCTAACAAATGTATGGCACAAGAAGGCTACTGTTTTGAAGTGTCTATGTGTTTTTTTTTTTTTGAAGGATAGAATGTTGAGGCTTGTGCATTACAATCTTTATATGCAAGTTTGTTTCTTCACTTCATTCATTAAGTATGCCAAATTGCAAATCCTAATATTCTCAACAAGGAACTGGAATTTGATTGAAATGTTCTTTTATCACTAAGGGTCTACTTGGTTGAGTGTGTGGAAAGTAGGAAGGGGAAAATAGATGACAGTGTGAACAATTTCAACCAAAGTTAAGATTCTGAGTGACTTGCATTTTGTTTTTTATTTTTGCATACTTGTGTTATGCCAAGCAAGTGTTTGGTGATTTTCTTGTATGAAAATTTGTGAAATGTTTAATATGTTTCCTTGTGATTCCTTTCAGGTAAAAGACGACCCTGGAGAGCTTTTTTGTTGTATGGGCCTCCTGGAACAGGAAAATCATATTTAGCCAAGGCAGTTGCGACCGAAGCTGAGTCCACATTTTTCAGGTAAATTTAATCTATGGTTTAAGAAAAGAATGAAGTTAATAGAATTGAGCAACCTCGAGGTCTGGAGTTTTATCAGATTGCTTGGAAAATCATTGGAATGAATTCAGATTCATAAGTTAAAATATGTGTCTCAATTTCTGCATAGCATACCCTTTTATGGGCATTAAAACTTGAATTCGTGGTAGATAATCTTCTACAAATTTCTGTATCCATTTATTATCCCAATAGGAATTCCAGCTCTACAATAATTGCACTAATAAAAATAATAATTTTAACCAAAATAACTAAAATCATTAAAAACTGCAACATTGTTATAATTGACTTCCTTGTCCTCTGTCATTTTCAAACCTTATGTTTGCATTGGATAAAATGAGAGGAATTAAAATGAAAATAGTTTAGTGTTTGGTTTAAAAAAAATACTAAAATTTATAGAATAATGATATATAGTGCAATAATTTTTGCCAATTGGGTAGCTTTTAGAAGATGGTGGGTTGATGATTATAATTTTCTTCTAATTTATCCTTCAATTTTCTATGTTTTTTCCTGACAATAATTTTGTTTCAATTGAGAATTAGAGATATGTGATATCTATTTAAAAAAACAATCTTCTGTATTGTTATGAATGTAGGTCCATAAGTGGACATGTTCTTGCAAGCATTTTTAACTTTTAAATTCTTCATCAGTGTTTCTTCATCGGACCTTGTTTCAAAGTGGATGGGAGAAAGTGAAAAACTGGTTTCAAACCTTTTCCAAATGGCTCGAGAAAGTGCCCCTTCTATCATATTTATTGATGAGATAGATTCCCTATGTGGTCAGCGTGGAGAAGGCAATGAGAGTGAAGCTTCAAGACGAATTAAAACAGAGCTTTTGGTGCAGATGCAGGTAATTTGCATTTGAATTGCATTCTGCACAAGTTGTCAAGAAACCTTAGTCCCTGTTTCAAAGTCACATATGTGGACCTGTTATTAATATAGTTTCAAATCATGAAGGAAAAAGAAAAGTAATTTCTTAAATTCTTTTATTTACCCTCATTTAGGCTCAAGCATATCTTGTGATTCATTTTCAAAAGTAGGTTTCCTCAGATTATGTTAGTGCTTCTGATAAATTGTCTTTCAAGCTTCAAGAACTTGGAGGTGTCAGATGACTGGGTGCTTTTTAACACATCTTGCATGAGTCAACTTTTTTGGTTGGAAATAAGTCAAGCTAAACCTTCATTTAAAACGATTTTTAGCTAAATTTTGTTTCAGCATGCGAGGAGGTTAATAGTTGAATAGCAGAGCAAGGTTGAGCTAATTTGAACTGGATCTTTCTTATTGGTACTTTGGGTCTTCAAATCATGTTTAAGTGTGCAATAACTGTTAAAACCTGGAACTAGCTTTAGTTTAGTTTTATTCCTTCCTTTGATCAGCATGTTGTCTCTGCTGTTTTCTTGCTGTTCAAAACAATTTTATATAATTTCATTTACCTTAGTGCTTAAAGTCCTTATTGCAGCGTACTCAGCATGTTCTGTTTTTATTCAATGAGAAGTTCACATGTCACAAAGTTGCATATTTTCAATTGTGCTCTGTCTAGTATCTACGTCTCAGAAAGGGAATGCTAGGACTGCATGGCACTCACTGATTTGCTGTATGCAGTTTTTTATGTTGTGTGAATTGTTATTTGTTTATCCAGTCAACATGTTTGATGTTTTTCAATGTGTATTTTCAACAGAAAATTCATTTGTTGTTATATAACTGAACTATTACTGAAGCATGTTTCACTGGTGGCCAAACACTGAGAAGCACTTGAGTGTCATTGTTGTTATCCTTGACCCATTAACATTTGTAAAGTAACTTGGTTGATTTTTAGTCATGTAGTTTTCTCTGACCAAATGCATATTATTGTCAAAAATTGGCTTGCTTATCTATGTTTTATCCTCTCATCTTGATTCACTTTTTTGCTCTTAACATTAATGTAGTTTCCAACAATTTTAGTATTTGTTTCCTCTTTCTGTGTCTCTTCATTTAATGTAGTTTATCCCCTTATGTTGTAGGGTGTAGGACACAATGATCAGAAAGTTCTTGTTCTTGCAGCAACAAATACACCCTATGCGTTGGACCAGGTAAGATAAATAAATTTGTTATATGTGATCCTCCGTAGAGTCAATAGTAATACAATGTTGTTTTCACTAACTGATTTGTAATTGCAGGCGATAAGGCGTCGTTTTGACAAGCGTATATATATTCCCCTACCAGATTTGAAGGCTCGCCAACACATGTTCAAGGCAAGGGCAATATATTGAATGATGGATTTTATTGGGTTATATAAACCTGGCAAATGGTTTTACCCTACTCTTTTTCTGGCTAAATAAATTGAACAGGTGCATCTAGGAGATACTCCCCATAACCTGACCGAAAGTGATTTTGAATATTTGGCTAGCAGGACAGAGGGGTTTTCTGGTTCAGATATATCTGTTTGCGTAAGTTTTACCTATATATGAAATAACTTGTTTCATTAGTTTTTTACTTAGATGAATTTCAGCTAAAATGTTTTTGGTCCTCTCTTCAGGTGAAAGATGTCTTGTTTGAACCTGTTCGCAAAACCCAAGATGCCATGTTCTTCTTTAAGAATCCTGAGGGTATGTGGATCCCATGTGGACCAAAGCAACAGAGTGCAGTACAAACCACAATGCAGGAGCTTGCTGCGCAAGGACTTGCTTCTAAGGTATTCAAGATGTTATAGAGTTGTGGTGCTTTGTACTTCGGTTGTTATATCTATCTTAATTTGAAGCAGAGAAATGCTTACTGCTTTAAAACTTACTGCAGATCCTTCCACCCCCTATTACAAGAACAGATTTTGAGAAGGTACTTGCTAGACAAAGGCCTACAGTAAGCAAAGCCGACCTTGACGTTCATGAGAGATTCACGAAGGAGTTTGGGGAGGAAGGTTAATACTGACGGAATTTCACTTCGAAGATCCAAACTGGTTGGAAATATGTTGTTATTATTTGTAATTTACTTAGCTGTTGGATCAAGTGAAATGCATCTTTTTCATTTTGTTTTGGGGGATGTGATTTCCCCTGTTGTACGGAGGTGAATTTATAAAAGGTGGATACTCATTTTGCTTATCCTAAATTGTGTATAACAGAATCTGAAATGACATGAAAAAATAACTCGTGTGATGCTCGTTACTTTGGGTACATTTCAGTTTCAAGATGGATCAGATACTCAGCAGATATTTTGCTTCAAGCTACTGATTTTAGGACGTACTAGACTCATCATGAAATATGCCTTTTAGCGTATTCACCTACCGTAAAATCTTCTTGTAACTAAACTGTAACAAAATGTGATGATAGAATAGATTCTGTATTCCAGCCGCTAAGTTACTCCTGATTCCCGAAAAAGGTTATCAGATGTCTACAGCTTTTACATCTTAAGCAATGTGGATGGACGCCCTGCACTTCTTTTATTATCTTTAATTCAGTGAACGTTATTAATATTTTTTTATAATCAATTCTCAATCAGCAGGAGTCAATTTTTGTAGTGTCATGCTCATTGTAATTATATGATTCTATGGCAGAAATATAAAAAATATTCTATAACAAATTCATCTGCACAAATTTCAAGTCATGGAGTAATAATGATTTTCTCTATAATTAAATGCGTCAATGTCGACGGTACTTCTCATTAAGTTACTTGTACATCTAACTAAAATTGATTGCTTCAATATTACAAAATTTAACTCTAGGATCAAAAAGGTTAGCTGATAAATAAATAACAGTTGAAATAAGGGGAAATGGAGTAATTCGCAAGAAGCATTTTCAGTTTTCTGACCTGGTTCACCAAGTATCTAAAGTAATCATAACCCTGAGCCCTGAAACAGATCAGCAGCAAAATTGGCAGCGGCTTTCAGGCTTTTTGGAATCAGCCAGCATATTTTAGCAACTACCATCATTTTGCCTTAGTAAAATAAATGTATATTTTCTTGAGAAGTACTGTTGAATGATCATCCTTTCCTGAGTTGAATAATGTCTACAATGGTCAAAGAGCGACTAACAATATCATACTCATTGCAGTAATCTGCGTTTAAGCATCCATGTATCGCACTCGATGATATGATAAATTTAGGATTTCAGTTCCTATGGCAATCTTTCCTTGGAGAAGATTCATGGATTCTTTGGAAAACAAAAGTCTAATCCACTAAAGAATCTTCAAAACAAATAAGGCATATTGGCCCAAACATCACCAGTAGTCTCCACATGAGCACAAACCACCTATAAAGTGGTGAAACCGGTTTGAGTCTCTGACAACAATATATCTCTGCTCAACCAGTGATACTAACTTAATAAAGTTGTGACAATCTCCACAAACTCTGAGATTCTTCACAATCTGGATGGGAATTTCAGGAAGTGTAGCTATTAAACCGAAGGCTATGGCAAGTCTTTCACTATGACGAGAAAGAATGGTTTCTTTTTGTTCATCTTCAATATCATGAAACACATAGTTTGTATCAGGCTGATAACCAGCATCCCTCAACCGGATATTTAACTCTGAAAGTTTTAAGTAAATCTGGTCTGACAAAGGATGTGACGAATCACCGGCCAAGAATGAGTATGTTTTGTTTTTCACCTCAATCCAACTGTAGCCTGGTTCTTTTTTCACTTTTCTCATATCCATTAGTTTTCTCACATTGACTCTTTCTTGCCAGTTTCCTGCTGCAGCATACATATTGGATAATAGAACATATGCAGCCGAATCTTGTGGCTGAAGTGATATAATTTTTTCAGCAGCAAGTTTCCCAAGCTCAATATTGCAGTGTACTCGAGAAGCTGCTAAAATTGTGCGCCACACAGTTGCACCTGGGGGAAATGGCATTCCATTTATGATATCCATGGCTTTTCCCAGCATCCCTGCTCGGCTATATAGATCAATCATGCAAGAGTAGTGCTCCATTGTTGGATTAATGTGACGATGATTGATCATTACATCGAAGTAGTTTTGACCTTTGTCCACTAGGCCAGCATGAGTACAGGCAGAAATGACACCGATGAATGTTACAGCATCCACTTCCAAGTTTCGTTTTTGCATCTCCTCAAATACCTCCAACGCTTTCTTGGCCTGGCCATGCTGTGCATATCCAGAGATCATTGAGTTCCAAGAAACCAAGTCCCTCTCCTTTTGCCTTTTGAAAACTTCATATGCACTATCAATGTTGCCTCTCTTTGCATACATGGTAACAAGGGCACTACTTACACATAAAGCATTGTTCAATCTCATTTTAACTGCATTGGCATGGAATTGTTTTCCCTGCTCTACTGACGCTGTAGGAGCAGCACAGGCATTAATGATGCTGGAAAAGGTAAATTCATTTGGTCTGATCCCCTCCTTTGTCAATTGAAGGAAGATTTTAGCAGCTTCTTCAGTTTCTCCTGTTTGTGCATATCCTGCTAGCATCGCAGACCAGGCTATTATGTCCTTTGCTTCAATTAGTTCAAACACTTTAACAGCATCATTAATATTTCCTATCTTAACAAAAGCATCCAAAAGTGCTGTTCCTACGGAAGATGACTTCTCATAATTAGTTTTGATAACTTCTGCATGTATTTCGGAAATGAAAACAGCATGTTGCACAGTAAGAATGGCAGAATATGTGAAATGATTTGGTTTCACACCTTCCCTCCTCATTTGAGAAAACAGATTCACAGCCTGATCGGTGCCACCATTCTGCAAGTACCCGCTGATCATAGCAGTCCATGACACCACACTTTGACCCCCATGCATCAACAAGAATAGACTATAGGCATCATCCATTTCCTTGCACTTACTCAACGCCACCATGAGTGCAGTTATGACACTTCGGTAAGTGGAGAACCCACTCTTCAGGGCCCTACAATGCAGCAATCTTACTAACCCCAATTCTTTAAGGCTGGCACATGACTTGATAACAGATGCAAATGTCATGTGCGTAGGCTTAGCCCCTACAAGCTGCATGTTGTTAAATGTTTCAAAAGCTTCCAAATCTTGTCCATTTATCACATGCCCTGCAATCATACTATTCCAAGAAACCGAATCCTTGTTCTCCATGTTATAAAAAATAGCTCTAGCATCTCTTAACATCCCTGACTTTGAATACATACTAACTAAAGAATTGCACACAGGTCTCACTGTCTCAAAACCATGCTTTACAACCAAGGCATGGATTTGCATTCCTATAGTAACCGCACCCTCATTGGCCAAAGCTGCAATTACAGTAGAAACAGTATACTGGTTAGGCATGTAACCCTCAATTTGCATCTGACAGAACAATTCCCACGCGTGATCATTAAGCCCATTCCATGAATAACCCGCGAGCAAAGAAGTCCAAGACACCACATTTCTGTCACCCATTTCATCAAAAGCTCTCCTCCCATCCCTAACATTCTCAGTTTTCATGTACATATCAACAAGAGAGGTTCCTACACTAACATGCTGCACAAGTCCACACTTGACACATTGACAATGCACTTGTTCACCCACTATCCTATCAAAGAAACCGGCACAAACTTTCAAAACACAGGACATGGTTAACTCATCTGGGGGTAAACCCAATCGATAAAGGGCCACAAAGTGGTGGAGGGCTTCTTGGGTTTGGTCATCGCGAGAGTAACGGAAAAGCAACTGGTTATGTTCTTTGAGGCCTCTAAGGGGTGTTTGATCGAACAGCTGTTGTGCAATATGAGGATCAGTGTTCCTTGGATTGAGGGTAACCGCATTGGATTGCAATAGAGAATAAGGGTGGCGGTGAAAGTGGTAACGTGCAAGTTTGAGACATTGGTTGGTTGAAGTGTTGGTGAGTGCCCTCAAAGAGGGATTCAAAGTCATGTTCTTTTGGAAAAATGTTACTATAGAGATTAGAGAGAGAGTTTGCTGAGAAAGTGTTGTTCGTTTCAAATATTTTAGCAGTGACAGTTTATGATACTATGAAAACAATGACTAATGACTATGTTTTCTGTTGTTGTCTGCGGAATAAGTACTGAACCCTGTCTTGTTGGGCCTTTCTGGTGGGAAAACAGTAACACGCGGAGTAATAAGTGAAGCCCACGTGTCATGTTTATGCAGTGCAGGGATATTAAGTTCCAAATTTTAAAATTTAATCCCTTAATCTTTACTTTTTTTAATATTTTAATTTAAGATTCTTTATAAAATTTTAATGATTCAATTTAGTATAATTATTTAAATTTAAATTTAGTTTGGATGGGTTCAGTTTGTCAGCATATTAGTAAGTTCTTTTTTTTATTGGACGTACAATGCACAAATATTATTAAATAAAAAAGATATATTATATAAATTTTATTTCTAATATATTATTCATTGTATTAAATAAAATTAAAAATTTATATTTTAAAATTCATATTAATTTAAAAATATTAAATATAAAAAATCATATAATATAATAAAAATATCATCTAAAAATATTTTTTTTAAAAAATTATTCAATAGATAAAGATAAATAAGTTAAAGGCTGACTTTAATTTAAAATAAATAAAAATATAAAAAATTATTATGTTAAAAGTGACCTTATCTAATCTAAGTTGCTGCAGTCATGAAATCTTCCAATATTACTGTTTTTATTATTATTATTATTAATTTTCTTTACAACACATAAATATTCTTCAGAAAACAAAACTGTTGCACGCAATCTCGTTTTAGTCTTTTAACAAAATTTGAAGATAACGACATCATATTTTTTTAAGGTGAAAAAACCTCCAACTTCAAATATAAAAGAAAAGTTAAAGCACTTATTTTTCCACTGAAAAACAATTCTGATATAATCTCTCTTGCTACTTACCACTTACCCATCAGCTTATGCACATTGCAGGTTAGGCCGTTTATAAGCCAAACAACAAAAGTAAGTTACCATTCAATTCCACCATATCCATCATTTTTTTCATTCTCTCTTATTGTACATTACATCTTTGTTTTAATTTCCTGAAAAATATTTGTTTATTTTTTATTTATTAGTCATTGCCATCTTAGTTAGATTTGACCGTTAACGAGGAAGTTAACCCCTCGATCTTCCCCACCCAACAACATCACTTTTTAGGGTTTTTTTCCCATTTGTCCCAAAGCTTAGGTCTAAGTCCTTTTACCTTAAAAAAAAAAATCTTTTTTTTTGGGTTTCAGGGTTGTTCATCAAATTGGGTATTTTCCCCTCTTTGAAGAAAAATGTTAAACCCTTGAGGGTACACGTACATACCAAATTTCAGTGAAATTTTTTTACTGATTCGGTTTTCACTGTGCTTTGGGGGATTCAGAATCAGCATTTCGCGTAGCAATCTCGTAGGTTTTGAGCATAGTGAGTGAAGTTCTCAGCTGCTTCCACTTCTCCGAGATTCAAACCTGGGTTGTTTATTTAATTGAATTTGCAGAGAGCAGAGTGGGAAAGAGACTGTTTTTAGTGTAAAAGAAGAGATTTTTTGAAGATGATTGCCGAGAAACCTAGTTGGGTTAGGCATGAGGGCATGCAAATTTTCTCCATTGATGTTCAACCTGGTGGGCTCAGGTTCGCTACTGGTGGTGGTGACCACAAGGTATGAAAATTTTCTGTGTTTGAGATTCTCAATTTATGGTTGATTTTGAATTTTGCCTCTTTATTTATATGGTATCCAAGGAAATGACACCTTACTTTGAATATAAGATTTTAAACTCCATCAGTCCTGTAATTCTTGAATATAGGTTTTGATAAGAATTTACTAGACACAATTTAGCGTGCCGTCTGGTGAATTAGTTTTTCTTTAAAAAAAGTATGAAATACTAGATATTTAACATCAATGCTGCCAGCTTAGTGTCAGGTAAACGCCCAAGAAATATAACTCATGCCAAAAATTCCCGATGCTCATAATTTTCCTGTGTACATTAGTAATTATTGCTCTTTGTGTCTGATGAAACTAGCTGCATGTAACTTTTGGCGTTCAGGGTAGGATTAGAGGGGATGATTTTGTTTGTTGATTTATTTTAAACACTTGTACTAATTTTCATTCAATCACATTCTCAACTATGTATTATGCAGGTTCGCATATGGAATATGAAGTCCGTTAGTACTGACATAGAAAATGATGCCTCTTCTCAAAGGCTTCTTGCAACCCTGAGGGATCACTTTGGTTCTGTCAATTGTGTTAGGTGGGCTAAACATGGAAGGTATGTTGCGTCGGGATCTGATGATCAGGTGATATTAGTTCATGAGAGAAAGCCTGGTTCAGGAACCACTGAATTTGGCAGTGGAGAGCCCCCAGATATTGAAAACTGGAAAGTCGCAATGACTTTGAGAGGGCACAATGCAGATGTGGTAATGCTATTGCGTTTATTTTTCAATCTCGTCTTCTTAAAAAATACTTTCAAGTTTCAACCTATTAGTTTCATGCTGACATTTGATCTTGGAATGGAATGAACCAAATTTAACATCAAAATGTCTCTAGCCTGCTTGCTTCAATGCTTTTACATTTTCAGTGATCATTATTAACTTGGGATCTATTTGTCTGTGCTTAAAGTAGGTGGATCTTAATTGGTCTCCTGATGATTCTGCATTGGCTAGCGGGAGTTTGGACAACACTATCCATGTATGGAATATGAGCAATGGCATTTGCACTGCTGTTCTAAGGGGCCATGCTAGCCTGGTTAAGGGGGTTGCTTGGGATCCTATTGGCTCATTTATTGCAAGTCAATCTGATGATAAAACTGTAATTATTTGGCGAACTAGTGATTGGAGTCTTGCCCATAGGACAGATGGTCACTGGGCAAAATCAGTAAGTTTCTTATTTTGAAAAATTTTCTAATTGAATAATACACTCACTTTTCTAATTAACATGTCTCCTTTCAGCTTGGATCAACCTTTTTCAGGCGGCTTGGATGGTCTCCTTGTGGTCATTTTATCACCACTACTCATGGTTTCCAGAAGCCAAGGCATTCTGCCCCTGTGCTGGAGAGAGGGGAATGGTCTGCAACATTTGATTTTCTAGGACATAATGCTCCCATCATTGTGGTTAAGTTCAACCATTCTATGTTCAGAAGGAATATGACTAATTCTCAGGAAGTTAAGGCTGTACCTGTTGGGTGGACCAACGGTGCTTCCAAGACTGGAAGCAAAGAGCCACAGCCTTACAATGTTATTGCCATTGGAAGTCAGGATCGGACTATAACAGTTTGGACTACTGCAAGTCCCCGTCCTCTATTTGTGGCCAAGCATTTTTTTACTCAAAGTGTTGTGGATTTGTCCTGGTATTTCTCTTCATCTCTAGCTGCAGTTGACATGTTATGTGAATGCTATTTTCTTAATTAATATTTTGACTTATTTCTGTGAGTGACTCCTCTGCATTATTCTTTCTGTTCCCTTTTCAAACAGGAGCCCTGATGGATATTCACTTTTTGCATGTTCCTTGGATGGATCTGTGGCTACATTTCATTTTGAGGTAAAAGAACTTGGTCAGAGATTAGGTGATGGTGAGCTAGATGAGTTGAAAAGAAGTCGTTATGGTGATGTGAGAGGTCGTAAAGCAAATTTAGCAGAAAGTCCAGCACAGTTACTGCTAGAAGCAGCTTCTGCCAAGCAAACATCAAGCAAAAAAGTTGTTTCTGATGTTCAACAAAATCAAACTATAGCAAAGGCTTATGTTGATGCAGGGGTTGCTACAAAGAATGCTGAACCTCAAAATGATGATGCTAAGAAAACTGGAGGTCCATCTGGTGATGGGTCAAACAAAGTTACAACCTCTGGCCGAATTTCTAGTCCTGTTAAGCAAAGAGAATATAGACGACCTGATGGCCGTAAAAGAATTATTCCAGAAGCAGTTGGAGTGCCTGCTCCGCAGGAAAGCATTTTGGGTGCAGTTCAGCACGCAATTGATTTTCCTATTACGTCTTCCGATCTTAAAAAGGGCACTGATCATGCTGTTTATAATGATGATAGCATAAGAGTAAGTACTGTGGGAGGAGCACATGGCAGAAATTCCGATTTAAAAGAGCGTTCTGGGGTTACTGCTAGGGCCACAATTTCTGATAGCCTAGTGATTGAGAAGGTTCCAGCTACTGCTGGTGATGGAAACATCAATGTTGAGCAGTTGGGCAATTTGATGACTTCTAGTTCTTTAGCTGCTTGCAGTGCTACACTTTCCCTTAGAGTATTTGATAAGAAAGGTGGGGAAGACTCTTCCCCTATTCTTTTGGAAGCACGTCCAAGAGAACATGCTGTAAATGACATTGTAGGGATGGGAAATACATCCTTGATGAAAGAAACAGAAATTATGTGCTCAAGGGGTCCTCAGACACTCTGGTCTGATAGGATATCAGGAAAAGTCACTGTCTTAGCTGGCAATGCAAATTTCTGGGCAGTTGGGTGTGAAGATGGATGTTTACAGGTAAATTGCTTTTCTACATGTATATGCATGGTTTCCTTTTCATTACTCATTTTATATTAATATTTCTGGTGTATTACGGTTGTATGTTGAGCTGTGGTAGTTGTACCCAACATCCTCTATACTAAGTTTTCTTCATGTTATTGAGCTTCGTTGCTTGTTTTCACAAGACATTTATCCTCATGTTTTAATATTGTTCAAACTTACCTCTTCGATGGCTTTCATGATATGTTTTATGCCTTTTAATATCTTAGTAGCATCTCTTTTGTATCTCCTGTCCATACATGTTGTTAATGTGTGTGTGCCCTGCATATATGATGTAGGCATTTATCTAATAATTGATTAGAAGTTGCTTATACTTAAAATATCCCTCATGTATGACAAAGGGTGAAACTGTAAACCAGTGCATGAAAAAAGCTATTTGTGTTAACATTGTACCACTTGTATCTTGAATTATGTTCTGTGCCTTTTATCCATTATCTTTTGGAATTCAGATTTCGGAAAAAATATTGTTGTTTCAGTTCCGATAACTGCTTTGGTAGAAAGTGACAAATGGCTAATTTGTATATAGGGTGTGATAAATGGTTCAACCTTTTTTAAGTTTGTAAAACCAGACACTATATTAATTCAATGTATGGGCAAGATGTCAATCTAATGCTTTGGAAATCTCTGCCTTTTGTCTTTTGCTTGCTTCTGAGAAGATTTACACCAAGTGTGGGAGACGAGCAATGCCTACCATGATGATGGGTTCTGCAGCAACATTTGTAGACTGTGATGAGCGTTGGACACTACTGCTGGTGACAAGAAAAGGATCCCTTTACTTGTGGGATTTATTCAACCGAACCTGTCTCCTTCAAGATTCATTGACTTCTCTAGTTGGTTCAAGTCCTAACTCATCAGCTAAAGATGCAGGTACCATATTTATTTACCTTTGTTTGATATTGGAGATACTTGGTTTGTAACTATGGCCTCTGCTCAGCTTATCATATTTTCCCTTGTATGAGGGCAACTTCTTTTGGATTTTGAATAATTTTTTTCTTCTTCAGTGGCTCTATGTTATCTTAACATTTACTATTTCTTTTCAGGAACTATTAAAGTTATATCTGTGAAAATATCAAAATCTGGTTCCCCTCTTGTTGTGTTGGCCACTCGCCATGCTTTTCTATTTGACATGAGCATCAAGTGTTGGCTGAGGGTTGCTGATGATTGCTTCCCTGCATCAAATTTTGCCAGCTCCTGGAGTTTGGGTTCTATTCAAAGTGGTGAGCTGGCAGCATTGCAGGTTGATCTTAGAAAATATCTGGCCCGAAAACCAGGTTGGACTAGGTGTGTATTGATCAGCATCTATTTTTAATATAGCCTTTGTTGGACTTGATTCTTGATTTGAAAATGCTGTTGGATATCGAATGAATATGAAATTTAGTTAGGGGAATATGGAACGTGGGATAAATATTAGAATCTCTTGAGACACTAATTTTCTAACATTTGGCGTTAGCTTCATTGTAACATTATGATGTGGTTCATTAATATACCTGAAGAATACCATTATTTATCCATGCATTCTAAATATTCAACAACAACAATAACCAAGCTTTATATCATTCATGGAGATGGTCTACATGATCAATCAATGTGATTGGCTCTCTGAAAAAACCCAATTTCCTGTAAAACCATTTAGCACATATTTTTAATAGTTTCTCCTAAAATTTTCTTAGGTTAACTTTACCTCTTTATTAGACAATGTTTTTTATCAACTTTTTTTTTCTTATTGGAGCCTCCTATAGTCTTTTTTTTACTTGCATGACCTAACCACCTTAGGTTAGTTTCTGTCATCTTCTCTTTAGTAGGTGTGAGTTCAACTTTTTATTGGATACATTTGTTCCTAATTGTCTTGTATAATTTGTACAATCATGATAGATACTGGTTGAGGAATTGAATGAAAACACCTTATTGCAGCACCTGCCTCTGATACAGTATCAATGTGATGCTGAACAGAGACCCAATAGGATACAGTTCCCAAAATAGTGCCTTTTCAAACAGTCGAGAGACCTAATAGTTCAACACCAATAATCTGTTGTCAAGATCATTGAAATATCTACAGTTATTTCCTTTATACTTATACTTTTGTCAAGAAATATGACGTAGTGTGCTTGTTATGTTATGTTTTGTAAATTTTTCCTCTTACCCTTTTTTGTTAGAATGTTGATGTTTTAAAAACAGTGTTTCAAACTTGACTACCTTGATACAGAGTTACTGATGATGGAGTACAAACACGTGCTCATTTGGAAACTCAATTGGCTTCTTCTTTGGCTTTGGGATCCCCCAACGAATATCGCCAATGCCTGTTGTCATACGTGCGGTTTCTTGCAAGGTGGTATTCTTTTCTCTTTTTTATTTGAGATATTTTTCAAATGCAATTTTAGCACCTTATTGATCTTGCATGATTTATGCATGCATCTATTCACATTTAGTTTTCTATAAAAATTCTGTTATATATTCTTTTTCATTCCCAGCTCCTGTGCCACTAATCCTTACTGTATGTCTCCCTACTGGTCAACCATCTACACTATACACTTAATTCTTTGGCAAATAATATTTTGAGGTTGCCCTTAATAAATTATTTTATGCTCGTCATAACTATTCTTTAGATGGAATTCAACTTGTGATTAATCTTCAACACTTTTTTTACTCAGGAAGATGCCATGTATATTTATTCAGTATACTTTTAAATCTTAGTTTAGATACTTTGAGATCATGCATATTCTGTGCTCTGTGATTTTGGACCATTGCAGACTAAACACGGATTATAAATTTATTGCAGGGAAGCTGATGAATCTCGTTTACGAGAAGTCTGTGAGAGTTTCCTTGGACCTCCAACAGGGATGGCTGAGGAAGCATCTTCATATTCAAATAACTTAGCATGGGATCCTTTTGTGCTCGTAAGCTTTTCTCTAAGTACATATTTAATAAAATTATGCTTGCTTGAACCCGGTTGTCACAATTTATTACAAGTGAGTCAAGCTAGATTGCTAAAACGGTACAGAGGCAGACTTAATTTTCTCGGATAGAAATAGATGATTATTGAAATTTAGGACTCATCTGTTTAAAAGATTTTTAAAATTGATTTTAAGATTGTGTAAAAAGGTGGTTTTTTGTATAGCAAGAATTAAGTTTGGTTTGGTTACAATTATAAAATGTACTTTTATTTTAAAAAGTAATTATAATTTTAGTTTTTGCTTCCGATCTTGATTTGTTTTCAATAGCTTAAGCAAAGACATATTTTCAACTGATTTTTTCACGAAGAAGCGGAAACAAACACTTATTATGACTAGAGAGCTACACGGTGGAAAAGTGCATGAAAGAGAGATTTATTGGCTCATTACAATGATTTATTTATCCTTAAAAGATGTCACTCTGACAAGAAGATGCTGAAAATTCTATTGATCAGCGTGTATGATTGTCAAACCAAATGATCACTTTTTCTTTATCATCTCAATTTCTCAAATGTTCCAGCTTAATATTTGCAGGGAATGAGGAAACACAAGCTCCTTAGGGAAGACATTCTTCCATCCATGGCATCAAACAGAAAAGTCCAGAGATTGCTTAATGAATTCATGGATCTGTTATCTGAATATGAGATTGTTGATGCTAATCAAGAGCAAAGAAATCCCCCATTACCGAAGTCATCTTCAGCCGCAACCAATCCAATTGAGAGCAGTTCATTTGCAACAGATCAAGAGGACACTGCGCCACCAAATTTGGATCACAAGTATTCTTCTGACCATGCACTCATAAATGATCAGGACCATGCCAAACAGGAAAAAGAACAACCAAAGTTTCCTCCATTCACAAATGAAGCTAGCTCAGATACCCCCATGATTGATCAAGTTAACCAGGATGCACAAGTAAAGGAACGTTTCTAACTGGTGCATCTTCCTATAGAAGGTAGTGTTCAGAATACTAGTGTATTGACAATGTATGTTAAAGTGGCATGGAAGAATCCAATTTCACGTTTTACTTCTGATGCATGTGTCGTACCCGCCATAGAAAACAATGATAAGCTCTCTGCTGACACTAACACACACTACAAATGTTGGAAAGTACCATTAGATGTACTGTACTTAATGTCTCATCTATAGCTTTCTCCCATCAACTTGAGCTTGATTCTTGTAAAATGTCGAGTATAGGAAATTAGAGTTCTTTTGGTTCATTGTAACGGAGACTCCACGTTTTACTAGATGCTGTTAAATCACAAAATTTAGTGTTAATTTCGTTTAACAATTGTTGATTATGCTATGTTTCTGTGCAATTGGATCATGGCAGCCATAGGCAAATGTGACGGGTATATATGTGAATGTTAACCTTATTTTCTTCAGATCACTTTTTGCATCACTCTTTCATTTTGCACCATTTTTCTCCCTATTGGAGTTTAATTTTTAAAAGTATATTTAATATATTTTGGTAATTAAATTCCGCAAGCTATTTACTGATCACTTTTTAGATTTATTTTCATAAATTATTTTTGAATTTTTCTTTAAAATTAAACATTAAGTGATTTTATATAACTTTTAAAACTTAAATTTTAAAAGTGATTTATTAATGACTTGTGGAATTTAATTTTCAGAATGTATTAAACACGTTTTCTGAAAAAAAAATATAAGTAAGTAACGGAAGAGAATAGTAAAAATGGAAATGCTTGATGATATGAATTAATATATATACGATAATTGTAAATGCATGGCTTTGATTTCTGTTAAATATCATATTTATTATTTTAATTTAATATTTTTCCACTTAGTCATGTGTGTTCTTACTGTTTTTGTGAAAAGTAACTTGGTAAGATAGAACATTGCTCTAGTAAAAATAATAATTTTTTCATTTTATGGTAGCTGGAAGAAAATGGTCGAAAAAGTGAAAGTGTAGTTAAAACCCAACCACAATGGGCATTATTTTAGCCCATTGAGATGAGTTAGCAAAACTAGTCCTCAACATAGCCTCATGGGCCCATTTTGGGCAGTTCCTTTAATTTATATTTTAAAAAAGTATGATAAATTTTTAAAATTCTTAACTTGATGTATCAGTGGGTTTAAAATCTTTTTTGTTTTTTGGGTGTGGTCCTGTTTCCTTTATTTATTTATTAAATTGTATAGAGGTTTATTGATGACCTTTCCCTCTTTGGGAGTGAGATATTGAAAGTTTGCATGAACGAACAGAAGAGGTGTGTGCTGTTTACAACCCCAGAGTTGTAATCAATGAATGTCTAAACACCTAGCTTCCTCAATCATCTTCGATGCCTCTTCTCCCTTTAAAGCCACATGCTTCAGACTTTTAAAGAGACTCAGATTTTTTAATTTAGAAGCAACAAACAAACCCGGTTGCTGGAGCATTTATTTCTTCCCAAATATTATTATATTCGTTAGCTTAATTTTTTCAATTATTGATGATCTGGACAAAATCCAACACGCACATGGAAGACCGAACCACATTAATTAGCATGTTCACACACATTCCACAATATAAAAGGTTCAAGATTATTTGTCATATTTGGAGTTTTATCAAATTATACATCGCAGAGTTAATACCAAGGACTGAACTTGAACTGTTCTATAAAAATCATGCATTTAAAAAATATGATACTAAAATTAAAATTAAAGTTTTTTTAGAGACTAAAAGTATAATTAACTTTATTATTTTTATCTTTTACTTAGTTTTTATCTTTTTGTATACATGTCTCTAAAAGACACACTTCAAATATAAAATTGACACTTCGATCTCTACTCTTCACGGTGCATAAAACATTTTCCTATTTTAGTAACATTACTCTCGTACCCATCAAGCATTTTACTGGTTACTGGCTGCTCTTAATAAAATTTAAATATTTATTAACAAATTAATATTTAATAAATATTTAACACGCCCTATTTACCTGTTACCATGGCATGCTGCAGTAGTCTTAGCCAAATCCATCGTGGAGTTGGCAAATTAACCTAACGAGTAAGATTCATTTCACTACGATTATACAATATATCAATATAAATGTATAAAGAAAGAAATAACATGACATTATTGATACAAAGAAATGTAATATTAAAATAAAGGCACAGAATTTAAATTAGAATAAACATTTTAAAGTTTCAAAATTTATTGTTACCCATGTTAAACATAATAAAATATTAGTTATCATATTATCAGGTCATTTGTATTGGTATAACTTTAAAAAGAAATTGATAGATGTAAGTTAGAGGTCAAAATGTATATAGATAAAGTATGTGAGTCATTTTAATTTCTGAACGAGAGAGGGTCAATTATGTTACTGATTAAAAGATAAAAATAAATTGTCAAATATATCCCTAAAAGATTATCCTATTGATCATATTGATTCCCACATTAACTCTAAATACTAATCACTTAAAAAAGATTGCCATAGCATGCTAACAACTCACTCAGAGATCGAAACTCTAGCTTGAAATTAACACAGGTATACCAGATAAATCCCTGATAACTAAGAACGTTTCCTCCTAATAATATCTTTTTATGACAGTTAATTCGGGTAGTTTCTAACTTTTATGTGATGGCTACAACCACAGAGTAAACATCTATCATTAATTGTCGAAATCCAAATCACTTAACCCCTTTTAAGGGCCACATGGTTCATAGACTCTTATTATTATATCCGTAAACGACACGAAAACCGGGGGTTGCTGGCTGCTGGATGCTTTTCCAAGTATTTATTTCTTCCAAAATATATACATAGCTTAAAATCTAAGGAGTTTGAGTACCCTTGAATTCTTTAAGTAATAAAACTTTGTTGCTCTTAAAAAGAAAATACTACACATAGCTTAAATTTTCAATTATTTTGACATGAACAAATATTGTATACAAAGAGTATTTAAACTCATTTGACTATAAAGGTAAAAATTATTAATGTTCTAACAGTAAACAGAAAATATGGCTTTATGCTTTGTTATGCAATATTCATATTGATTTTCGCAACTTTCCCCAATTAAAGCCCAAAATGACCGCTCAACTAAATGCACATGTCTGGCAAACAGGTTTATAACCTTAAAATTTTTCCTTTATTATGCACTAGACAAAGTGTAGGTTGGGTACAGTGACAAGTAATGATTCTCAATTGGACGAGTTCAATATGCATGTAACTACCAATTTTGTTATTAATAGAGCCAATACAATTACAATTTGCCTACTAAATTAGAGCTAAGATCTTAATTTGCCAACCATGTCAGCGCCATACTCGCTGCTTTGTTATTTTGATACTCGCTGCTTTGTTATATTAATTTGAAACATTTATGATATTGATCACTGCTGTATATGTGTATATATCTAGTGGTGATGGGATTTGCATGGTTATGTAATGTGTGGTTATCTATTTCTTAAAAATGATGATGCAGTGATCATTAACAAGTTTGTAATGGAACTTTATAATCGTGATTGCTGATCACATGCAAATGTCAATTGTCTTGTGGGAACACTCATAGCCAATCACAAAACAATTTCATGTTTCTGCATTTATAGAGGAACCGACCTTTTTAATGTTGTTTAGGATATTTTTCGGCTCTAGTTTATGAGCAATCAATCAATCATTCTATGATTTTGGATTTTCCTGTTTTATACAAAAGAAATTATTAATCAATATTTTAAGAACACTATTTAAAAATATCAAAATATATTTATTTCAAAAAGTTTTAATAATGTTTTTATTTATTAATTTCTTAGTATATATTTTTAAGATACTGTTTACTAAGATCCTTATATAAATACTATTTTTCATCATTGTCCGAGGCAGTTAATTGGTATACTGGTTAATTACTATTACTCTGATTCCAGAAAATTGCTTGAATGGAATTTATTGATTACAGGTTAACAATGAATGTTTACCGGCATGAATATATGCATATCTAGCTACGATCAGTTCTTATTATTTTGCCTTATCCTTTATATGAAATAATCCGTCCATCTGCGATAATACTAATATAATAATATATTGGTTTTTTTTAATTCTAATAATCAAGTATTCCCTCTGTGTTTTCATTCCTGGTTTAAAATTACACACATGAATTAAAACATGTAATTGATATTTTTATTTACATTAAAATCATTTGCGTTTTGTTAATATATTCTTTATGTTTCTTATTTGTTATTCTAATAATTTTATATTATTGTTTTTCTCTCCTTTTTAATAAGCATAAAAGACAAGGATATACTTATAATAATTAGTTTTATTTTTAACTTTTAAAATGAAAATAAATAAAAATAAAAATTTAATTTAATTTATCTAGAATGATAGATAAAATATTGAAAGATTAGTGATTTAATGTAAATTCTTCTTGAGACATTATTGCTTAGAAACAATAATGATAGCTACTGTAGTTTTACCATTTCAATTTTTTGAATATTTGGAAGAAATTGTGAAGGAAGCTTGAAGGAAAATCTTACTTTGTAGGATTTTTTTTAAACTACGTGTTACAATTGATGAGGTTGTCCAGTAAACTCTAGAACTGGAATAATTACTGTAAATACATATTTGTTTCCAACTGTGTATGCACAAAGACTAAAATAGATATATTTTTATCATTTTATAATTGAAGAAAGAGTTGCATAATATTCTGTATTTCATATCCATACATAAATTTGTAGGTCAATTTCTTTGATATACAACAATTACTTATACAAATAACTTTATTTTCTTTAATGAAATTCCCCCTCTAATTATATATATATATATATATATATATATATATATATAATACAATAGTTGCTTACCTCTAAGCAACCTGCAATGGAGTTGCTCTAAAGAGTAGACAATATATATGTATTCTACGAATTTCATGATGTTATTGGTTGGTGTGGTTCAACAACTCCTAATGATGTTCATGAACCAATCTTTTTCCTTTTCTGAAACTTTAGTGTATTTTTGTCGTGAATAATACATTACCCAATTTTGATTTTAATCCCGTTACAATTTGCGTTTTGATTTATAGGTCTTTAATTCTTTTAAAGTTTTTTTGCCCTTCCTGTTATCTTAAGTAGTTATTTTTAATAAAAACAATTTATTAATAATTAACTTATTAATTAATAAATGATATTTTTCATCAATAAAAGATACTTTTGTTTCTGAAAATACATAAGATTCCTCTATATTGCCGTTGATATTTGTAATGGTCATTTCTTTGTATTAACGTTAATATTATTTTGCAAAAATGTATCATTTATTGACAATATATTTTTTATATAAAAATTAAATTATTAATATAGATATTTTAAATTTATATTAACAATATGATATACTATATTAATAAACGCTTTAGTTAATATAAAATATTAATACATAAATATTAATATACCAATAAATTTGCATTAATAGTTTAAATTTTATTAGAAAAAAGATTATATTAATAAAAAATTTAAAATTTTAATTAATTTGTTTATTAATATTTGAATAATGTATATAGTTGTAAGAGCAGGCCTGTTAAGACAGATGGCTTTACAATTTTATGAGCATACGGCAATGTCATTGTTTCTTAGTGATCTGACTTGTGTAGGGTAGCGAGCTAGTGGGAGGGTGAGTTGAATCACACACTTTATGTGTAAGGACCAAAATTAAAAGACAGTTAGTTGTAGGATTTATAAACACATTTAAACGAAATTAAAAAAATGGCTAATAACATACCAAGCCTTTCTTTGTATACATGTCTGAGCAATTAATTGAATTATGTAACCTATTCTTCTCCTACAGCCCCATCTCCCACTCCTCTTTCTCTAGTGCCAATATGAAACTAGGAATATCTTTCATCCATTAAAATATTTAATAATTAGCTTCATTTATAAACGAGAGAGAAGATTTTTATTTTTTATTTTTAAAAAAGCCTTTACTTCACTATCACCAACAGCTTACCCACAGCCAATCTCATAATTGCTCTATGATTGTTTCCCTGCTTATATGAAATGCCTGGCATTGGATTCCACCCACACCATTGTGCCTGTGCCTGTGCCTGTTTCATCTGAGAACCCACTTTGGTTCTTTTGCCTTCTCATATATACACACTTTTTCTCTAATAATGGAGGTTGGAAGCATTCTCAATTTTCTTCAAGACAAGACCATTTTAATTATTGGAGCCACTGGATTTCTTGCCAAAAGTATGCATATTCTCTCTCTCTCCCTCAAGGGTGCTAGTGTGCATGTGCTTTTTGTCTATTGGTGATATCTTAATTTGATTGTATATGTTCTATAGTTTTCTTGGAGAAGATATTGAGGGTTCAACCAAATGTTAAGAAGCTCTTTCTTCTTTTAAGAGCTTCTGATGCCAAATCTGCCTCTCATCGCTTGCACAATGAGGTAAATGCACCAATATTATATATTTACCATTTTGTTATGTATACTGTACAAAATGATCGATGTGCAGCAAAGCCAGTGTTCTTATGTGCATTTTCCATCTTTCACTTTCTCACTTATTTGTTTGGTGCCACATATGTCATGCGTAAGGGTAAATTCTAGATATTATTACTATTATATTAGTATTTACTACTGCTACTATCATTATTGCATTGCGCAGGAAAGTCAATGCCATTCTCCGCATTCTCGAATTTTCGCTTCCTCATATCTTTGTTTGGTCAGAAAGATGCCATGCATGGGTATATATAGCTTACCGGTGCAGTTGGCCCTAAAAAATTTGAAGTTGTATTTTTCTTGGATTTTTTTTCCCTCGTCATAAAACTACCCTATGATTTTTCTAGGAACTCCTGGAAGTCAATTTGTCATATATATAACTGCTTTGAGGCAAAATAATTTCATATCATATTAACGGATTAGTGTTCGTTATCTGAAAAATCAATTTAACTGGTTCAAAAATTAACATACCAGTTTTGTTTTTGAAAAATGAGTTAATGTTTTTATAAAATAAAGTGATTGATAATTGAGAGCGGGTTAACAAATATTTTGATTGTATTCCTTATCCTAACATTCTTTTGAGCTTTTCCCAATCTCTAAGTACTTAATTACTGTGCGCCTTTATGATTATACTTAAGTATGAGATAAAGACTTCACGTACATAGATGGCTTGCTTCATATCGTTTTGAAGCTAGTCCCAATCATTAATTAATAAGTGAGAGCACACCATGTCAATTAGTTAAGTTTGTGGCTGATACATTCTTAATATATATTTTTGTCATTTAATTTTCTCACCATGCCAATTAGTTAATTTTGTGGCTAATACATTCTTAACATATATTTTTGTCATTTAGATCATAGCAAAGGACTTGTTTAATGTGCTAAAGGAAAAACTGGGTGCAAATTTTAAGTCCTTTATTTCGGAAAAATTGACCGTGGTGCCGGGGGACATTACTTATGAGGACTTGAGTTTGAATGATTCCCTTCTAAGGGAAGAGATCTGCAATCAGACAGATGTTATTGTCAATTTGGCAGCAACTACTAACTTTGATGAAAGGTATGTGATTCACTGTATATTCTTTTTATTAATGTAATATTTCCATTATTCTAGTACCATAGATTTTTCTTTATTTTATTTTTCTACCTTGATTATGTAGGTACGATATAGCGTTGGATCTAAATACCTTCGGAGTTAAACATGTCATGAACTTCGCTAAACAATGTACTAAACTCAAAGTACTTATCCATGTATCAACAGGTTAGTTTTAATTATGTCAATGTCAATATGAATTTAAGAAGTACTAGTCTCATTGATTAGCACATGTTACACCACAATTTCAGCTTATGTGTGTGGTGAGAGAGGTGGACTCATATTAGAGGACCCATATCACTTTGGCGATTCACTAAATGGAGTGGATGGACTAGACATCGACGCAGAAAAGAAAATAGTTTGCGACAAATTGGGTGAACTAAGAGAGCAAGGAGCCACAGAGCGTGAAATTAAAATAGCCATGAAGGACCTAGGTATTAGCAGGTTTGTAAAAATCTACATACCACTGAACTGGTATAACTTAAGTTACCTTCTTTTTCTTCACTAGCATCTTTGCTTAAATACTTGAGCTAACGTATGTTGGTTCATTTGGGATCATAATTTAATTACTTATCATAATTGATTTAATTAAGATAAAACACTCAAATTCATATCCTGAAAAATTTTAACGGGAAGAACATATCAGCCATTAATAAAAATGTAAAAAATTCATGTTAGTTGATAAAAATCACAAATATTGGTTAACTGTCCTTTTTAGAGATTAATGTATCATATGCTTAAAAAAACAAGTCTGGCCCGCATTTCTGATTTTTAAGAAATAATATGTAATTTTTGTACTTTATATACTATCATGTCGCACTCTAAACAATTTGCAACCAATTTGCTTTCCAAACACGGTAATCTTTAATCAGTGGCCTATTAGCTCTAAACACAGTATAATTTGGGTCTTCGGAACAAGAAGGGACCAGATGACAGATGTTCAAGTGCATGGTGTGATCATTTATAAAATATACATTGGAAACAATAATAATTTCCAGTTTCTTACACACTATTTTGTTTGAATGAATTTACTATACAAGTGATTATAGGACCCACGCATAAATATGTGTGTCACGTGTACAGGGTTTGAACCAACGTTTGCGAATAAATTGACGTAAATAAGTTAGGGTAGCGTCCCACTATATACATTTAAGTTTAACTACCCACAGGTACGTGTTATCCCCTGGATATTAGGAGCCAAAAGACTGGGACCAAAAGAGATAGACACCACACCATATCTAATTTTATTTGTCAAGAAGAAGGTTAACAATATATTGTTCTAAATATACTCTTTATATTTTTTATTGTTGATTAATTTTTTAAAATAATTTAAATAAATTTTAAAAAATATATTGTAAAAACATGTTGTCAACATTTCTGTACTTGTCAATCTTACAAGTTTGTAATATCCTGGGGATGGATAAGAAACATTATGCACAAGCACATGTGCAATCAATGAATGGTTCGACGTGGCATGAAAACTGAGAACCACAATTGGTGTTCTTCTTGATAAGCACCAACCAAGTCTTTGTTTCATGTAAATAGTGAAACATCATGATGGAGACTATAATATCCTAACTAGAACCCATTGACTCATTGGAGTTTGTTGTTCGAGATCAAAAGTTAAACAATTAATAATTTAAGCTAAAAGGTATTATGAGTTGATGATAGATAGATTATGGTTTCTTTTCCCGCTAAGTCGTATGTTATATAATTCTGTTAATTCTAATTTTTAAAGCGGAAAATAATAAATTAATAATAGTAAAATTTTATTAATTAGAAATATATTTATTATATTTTTATAATTGAGGTTAAGTTTATTTCTTTATTTCGTTAGGGATTGGATTGCAGGAAATTATAATAACCAGAAGAAACTAACCATATAATTGTATTTATTTGGTATTTCTTATGATCAGGGCAAAGGTGTATGGATGGCCAAATACATACGTATTTACGAAGGCAGTAGGAGAGATGCTTGTGGAACAATTAAAAGGAAGCCTATCCGTTGTTATTATGCGTCCTACTATCGTCACAAGTACATTAAAAGAACCTTTCCCTGGTTGGGCTGAGGGTATAAGGTAAATCAAAATTTTATTTTATCATATTAAATATTGCATCTCTCTTCAGTTTTTCTATTAATAATAATTTAATAAAAAAGATAACATGATTACGAGTGCTAGCTAAAGGAGTTTGTTGTGGTCCAAACTTAGGGTGTGTGACCCATATCAATTACTCAAGCAATTACTTGCATTTAATTTGTGAATTGAAAATACTACTAGAACCTTCACTTTTTTCCCTAAAATCTTGATCGAGTGCTAAAGTAATCTTCTGCTTACATAAACGTCATGCATATATTTTTAACAGATGGACCAACTTTATAGATGATTTTTTAATATATATATATATATTAAAAAATCATAACTAAATTTAATTCGTAAGTACAAAGCAAATGTTAAGAAAATATATTGCAAACTAAAAATATAATCTAATGATTACGCTCATTTAGGAATACTTGGTCAAATTTTATGATCACAATTAAAAAAACATGACAGTGGACAATATCATACATGTATGTGATTTGCAAGAAAATGGGAAATTTTTGTACAACATAATCATATGTGAAAGTGAAGATGTAAGCTCATAATGGATTTTTGTTTTATTTTTGTGTTTGTGACAGAACTATAGACAGTTTAGCTGTTGCTTATGGGAAAGGAAAATTGACATGTTTCCTTGGAAATATCAACGGAATTGTGGATGTGGTGAGTTACTGCATGAAATATTCATTGTTACTTTGTTCTGATTTCTGCGATTCTGATCTCATCTAATAGACTAATACCGTAAATTTAATAAACAGGTACCAGCTGACATGGTGGTGAATGCAATGCTAGTGATCATGGTGGCTCATGCAAATCAGCCAAATGATGTTGTATATCATGTGGGTTCCTCAGTTAGAAATCCACTCACATACGCAAATCTCCAAGACTATGGATATAGATATTTCACGGCAAAACCATGGATAAACAAGGATGGAACTCCTGTAAAGGTTGGCAAAGTAAACGTAATGACCGACATGGCTAGCTTCCGGAGATATATGTTCATTCGCTACTTGCTTCCATTAAAGGTTCCTATCTAGTTAATACCCCTACTTAGTTACCATCATTGTTAAGAGCGTTAGACATGCAAATACAATATCAAATGCTTAAATATATCTCTATATTTCGCAAGATTTCAATTTCAATTTCTATTTTTTATTTAAATCATTATTTTTTTTTAAATTCAGTATTTTTAGTTTCTCTCACTAAAGTAAAAAATCAACACATGATAATCTTATTATCATTATAAACTATAAGTATTTAATGTAAAAAAAATTAGATATTAAAATTTAAAAAAATGAAAGTAAAGTTTTGCCAAAAAAAAAAACACAAACTTATTTAAAACAATATAAAATCATTCATATTCTTCACCTAACAATTCAAGCTTTTGGATAGTTGATTTCATGATATTATATCTTAAGGTTTTGGTATAATCGATTGATGACCATCATCATCATCACTAATCTTAACAAGGGTTGCTGACAACTTATGCATTTAATAGGGACTAAAGCTGGCCAATACAGCATTTTGCAAGTATTTTGAGGGAACGTATCTTGAGCTCAACAGGAAGATCCAAGTTGTGATGCGGTTGGTGGAACTTTACAGGCCATATATGTTCTTTGATGGGGTGTAAGTGATATAATTTATAAGTATTGCTTCATGCTTCAGTTTCAATGCACGTTTCGTTCAGTATAGTTAGCATGTTAGTCATAGACTCACATATTAACATACATATGACTTTATGAGGTATAAACTGAGACAAAGAATTAATGTTATGAACACAGATTTGATGATATGAACACAGAGAAGTTGCGATTGGCAGCAAGACAAAGTGGGACAGAGACAGATTTGTTTTACTTCGATACCAAACAGATTGATTGGGACGATTACTTTATGAAGGTTCATATCCCCGGTATTGTCAAGTACATTTTCAAGTGATGTTATATTACAAGTGATTTGTGAAGCTGTTAATTTTATTAAGTTCAAATTTGCGCATGAGGGATGCATATTCCAATAGTGGTGAAATTTATTTCTCAATGTCAATGTAATTGGTATTAGCTAGCTGCCAGTTAAGTTCGGAAGCTTTGATGAAGTGTACCAAATATCATATATTTTGATTGCTATTATAATTATTGTTCCCACATTTTTTTCAGTATGGTTTGTGAGATCAAATCAACCTTGGGTCGTTTTCGTTCCTTCGTTTCTTTGGGTTTAACGAGGAAAATAGGAGAATCTATTTTTAAACAAATGCTAACCAATATTTTTAGGGTAGTAGTTAACAAATTTAAATTTTTGTTAAGAATAATAATAAATATACCTGATTTCCTGATTTGTTATGCAATTTGACGTAAATACCAATATAAATTTATCATTTTTAATTAGTACTTTAAATTAGTGTTCTAAGAGGAATGATCAAAAGATCTCAAGAATATGTTTAATTTGCAATTGAATTACAAGAATGTAATTAATTTATCCAATTATATATCATATTCTATTGAATTAGCGTATCTGTTATTCTAAAAATATGATTGAGTTGCAAGAGAAAGGAAAGAATAGCAACTGTCTTCCTAAAATATTTATAATTTATTTTATTACTTCTAATTTAATAAATATAGATAAAAAGGATAATTTTATTATCTTCTGTATATTTATATCATTTTTTCCTTTCTATCAGATATGTATAAAAAATTGAATATAATAAAAATTTATTATACTTTTATCATATCCTATTTTTATTCAACTATTTTATCTTACCCATCATGATTTTATCCTATCCACTTAATATTCATCTTCCTTGATATTTTGAAAAATCATTAACCATGTTCATCAACATTTACTGATATTAATAAACAAAATTCTCTTTGTAATTTTTTTTTCTAAGTTATTTCATGAGCAGCCTCCTTGGTCATATCATCAACAAATTAACTATTCTTAAAGCTGAAGTAATTGTTAGGTAAAGATGTCGAATAATTTTATATTAATTGCATGTTAACATTTTCTACACATTCAAAACAAGGTAAAAAAAAAACCCTTATAAAATGACCTTTTCTCCCTTAGGTTGCTAAACGTCTATCGGTACAAATTTACTGTACTGTTCATACATTGCAAGTTTGCATGTGAGCCAAGCAACGTTATCAAAATCTCGTTCCTGACCGTGAGAAAGTATGAAATCTACTTCAGTTTAGGATTTACTTAATGCAAAACGTACTAAAGTATTAAGATTTAGAGTAAAAGCACTCTAATATTAGAGAGTAGATTCAACTTAAACTTCAACAATTCATTTGTCTAAAATACTTTAATAATTTAAACTTATAATCATCTTATTAACATAATTTTTAATTTATGACAAATTTATAAGTCTGAAACTTTTATTACATAAGACAGTTTTTTTCTTTTAATTTAAGAAAAGGGATATACGGAGGTTGGAGGAGAAGGAATTAAGAATTCACTTTTTGCATATAATTAATAAGATTTAAACTCTATTTTTTACATGCTATGTCTCTCAAATTTACTAGTTAAAATATCAAGAAAGGGATCGAGCTAGAGAGTCTTAATCATTCAACAGTAGATAATGTGCCCACATGGCCCAATTGTTTATGAAAAGTACACGTTTCAATCCTAGTCAATAGTCAGTTGCATTTCAATCTTATTCAACATGTATAAAATATATGTTTATCAAGGCATCTGCAATAATAACGTGTAATGAACATGTTTAAATCTAAATAAGAAGTATTTCATCTCACATTACTAGTCATCAAACAAAAGATTATAAAGTTTAGCATGGCTAGACTTATTATCACTTCTATTTGTGCTAAAAAATATAAAATTCTATACAGGTCAATTAACAACGTATTAAAAAGAGTATATAAATAAAATTATTTTTAACTTTAAAATTTATTTTAATTTTAAACAAATAGGTCACTCAAATTTGAATTCAATTTCCCTTTATAAATCTATGGATCTAGTTTATATCAAAATTTCAAAATATTGGTTTGCCATTTTTCTATATTAATATACATTTATATCTGAAATAGTATACTGAATACGGTTTAGTTCGCTTTATCTTTTCTAGTGAAAAGAAAAACGAGTTTTTCTACTTAAAAAGTAAAAAAGTGGAGCAAGAAAATGACATTTATCAATGTTTATTTCCACTCTAATTTTTAACCTATAGTAGCAATTAAGTTCCTAATTTGTGGTTGCAACTTGCAACAACTTTGGCAAATGAAGTAATGTGCATTTATGCATAAAACGTACAATAATGGGTAGATTGCAGTTGCTGTATTTTAAAAGCATGGCTTAATTAGGGTCGGAATTAGGACAAGATAATTTTCATCTTAAACATGTTCGAATTTTTTTTTCAAATTTAATATATTTATTTAGTATATGCTTTTTTTTTTTAATGTCTTTCTTGGAAGTGGATTTTTATAATGAAATATTTTATATAAGTTAACAAAATATCATCAAATAAATAATTAAAAAATATTTTAATAAAAAATAATACAAGAAATCATTATTAATGTTATAATATTATTTATGATTTAGTTGAAAACAATTTAACCTAAGTATGAACTAAATCGTAGACTATCGATAAGCCGCTTGACTTATTCTTATTTAATTCCAATGTTGTAAACAAAATATCACGAGTGGTATTCAAAGAAATTTAAGAATAGCTATAACCAATCATTCATGCCCGTCCCTCCCACCAACACCAAATTTTGTATTATTATTTTTAGATTAATCAAAATTTAAATATGTATAACAAAAATAATAGATATATCTTAAGTTGTTAAATGACGTTTAGACAACTTACTCTAAAAAAATGTTATTTAGTAATAATTTGATCTTAGATTAACTTTTGTTAAGATAAGTTTTTTTATTAAAATTAAATTGTTGATGTATATTATATAAATTCATACAAATAAAATATATATATATATATATATATTATACGAATAAATATGATCTCATATTAAAAATGTCGTTTATTAGTGTTTCTAACCACTTTGAAATAAATGCTTAGTTTAATAATAACCTTCCGGTGGCCTCCATTTTTGAGAGAGCATACACTTGCGTCATTAACAAAACATAATTAATAATAAATTAATAAATAATATTTTTATTAAAAACTATAACATTTAATGTTATTGATATATTAATTAAATTCAGTTATATTATATAATAAAAATTTATTATAAACTCTGATAAATAAGATTAGATGTAGTATTTAATTATATTTACTATTAATAGTTTAAATAATAATAATTTAATTGTATGCAATATTATAATGATAAAAATTTATATATATATATATATATATATATAATAAATTTTATTAATAATTACTCAATTCATTGTAATTCATTCTATTAATATTATTAAATACGATAATTTTAAAAAATATATTATTCATTAGTTGCTTATCATGTGTGATATCATACATATTAAAAATCTTTTAAATTAAGATTATCATCACTCTGTAAAAATGATATGAACACATTTAATAAAGTATATTGAACTTAGGTATAATCTGACGAGAGGTCTTTTTCCTATTGCCATGCTAAGTGCAAGCAAGAAGCAACAATCATTGCTTGAATTAAAGCTTGCTGTAGATTTTTCGTAGATAAAGAAGTAATTGACTATTGGGAGATGAGAAACGTTAGTAATATAGTAATTATTAAAACACAAATCAAATTATAAAATATCGCTCTTTTATTTCAACTATTGAATTTTTATAATTTTAAACTTTTTTTTATCGGTATAATGATTATGTAGACCCCTAAAAATTGTAGTATTGTTTTTGGTTTTTAACATTATCTATCACCGTTAACCATTCCATTAGGAACAAAAATTGCAAATAGAAAACATTGGTCGCAGGAGTGGGTACAAAATCTAGATACTAAGTCCACTGTCCAGTCTACAATTCAAGATAAATTGGATTTAAAAATTTAATTTTTTTTTTAAATAAAATATCTAATCTACTTTATTTTTGTCTGGATATTATTTAAATTTTATTTTACAAAATTAGATTATATTTTCTTAAAATCAGTTTTAGCACATCTTTTGTGGAGTCTATGCAATAGGTTTCAATCCCATCCTTTGCGTTAAGTCGGAATATCAGTTACGCCAGGTGAAAAGTGTATTCTCAAATTTCGGAAGATTCGTGGTTAGTCTAATACCATTTGTGCACATTTAAATTAAATTAATTTAAATATTATTTTATTTTTAACACAAAATTTATGTAATAACTATATATATATATATATATATGAGATGATAATATAATTAAAAAAATTAATAAGAAGACTATTTTTAAAAAATTAAGTTTTATTTATAATTTTTATGTAAATGATAAATAAAAAAAGTACAAATGTTAAAATAATATTAAAATCACTATAATAAATATTTTTACATCTTTGTATTTTTTATATTTTTAATTACTAAATTAAAATGTTAAATATTTTCATATTTTAAAATAATGTATATTATTTTGTGATATTGAGTTCAAATTCTAATAAATACAATATGACTCATAAACATAATTTTAATGCAAAATTATTATTATTTAAATAAAAATTATTATTATTTTATAAATTAATAAAATTTATTTAAATAAATAGAATGACATAACAAATTTAAAAAATAAATAAATAATTTACATAATATTATATTCTCATGATATTTTATTTGACATTATTGCAAATAAAAAATATTGTTAAATTTGTTATTTTGTTAAATAATAAATATATATTTTTTATTTTTCTGCAAAAAAATTTTATGTGAATGATTAACGAGAGAAGAAATAAACTTAAAAAATTAAATAAAAATAATAATAACCACAATTTAATATATATTCAATAATTATAAAATATAAAAAAAATTAATTAATATCTTTTAAATATTTGTTAACAAAAATATATTATTGAAATAGTATTCCAATTTTTTTTTAAGATTAGAGCCTAATTTCATTATGAATCAGATTAAATAAAAAAAAGACTAAGATAAATTTTTTAAAAAAATAAAAAAAATTATATTACTAACATTTTTTATAAAATTTAATTATTTTTAATATAATAATTTAGTAATAATATAAAAAATATTTATGGTATGTTTTACTGGATTTAAAATTAATTTTAAGCTGAATCTAAATTTTAAAATTAATTTTAAACTAATTTTAAAAAAATATAATAAAATAATTTTAAATCTAATTCATATAATTAAATTTAAAATAAATTTAGATTAATTTTGTCAAAATCTAAGCACATCCTAATTGGTTGTGGAAAAGTTCCTCATGAGAAATAAATACAAGTCAACGATGTTAGCGAAACCTATACGCATACATTAATTAAGCTTTAAAATTTGCATTTGCAGAAATAACGTGATAGCTAACTAGCTAGGGTTAGGCTCCCCTATGAATAGTTATGCCGCCATTCTAACCTAATTTAATACCAAACAAAAGAAATATAAACTAATATTTTTCTCGCATATCACAAGGGTATAATTATATTAATTTTTTAATAAATAATAAAAATAAATTATATTTTTAAAAAAATTAAAATTTATAATTATCATTGATAAAAAGTTACTTTGCTAAATAAAAGCTAAAATAAATTATGAAAATGTTAAATTTAATTTAATATTAGATTAAAAAATAAATACCTAACATCGGAAAAACATTACATGTATGATAAAAATTAAAAACTAATATCTAAAAATAATCTCATTTAAAAATATTTTTAAAATGTTATTGTTCAATAATTAATATTTTAAAATTGATAATAAATAGAGAGTGATGGTTGATTGCTTGATGCTTAAGAGTAAACATATGTTAAAAATATTTGTAGATGTTGGGTTAATATTATCTTGTTAAGCTGATGCTGCACTTTTGATTAAATAACATCTTATTTTTATGTTAATTTTTGCTGTGTTTGGAAATTTTGAAGAGGGGTTAAAGGGAAAGTGTAAAGAAAGGAGCTTTTCTTTTGTGTAATTAAGATGGGTGAGATTGAGAATATTAGTGTCATTTTTTCCTTAACAATGCAATGAATAACTATCAATCTTTTGAGTTCTAAAATTCAGCGCACACTCTTATCACTATTCCTCACAATTGAATAATAGTTAGTTAATAAATATTTTAAAAAATACAACTTTTCAAAAGTTAAGAGTTTATTGCTTGTTCTTTTTAAATATAATTTCTTATTTTATAAATAAAAAATAATAAAAAATTATTTGTAAACTTAAGTTTTTAAAAGTAAATTTGAAAATTATTTTTTATTTTTAGTGTTAAAAAAAATAACTTTTAAGGTGTTTTGATTTTAATTTTTTCATTTCTCTTTTAAAATAACTAAAAATATTTATATATATATATATATATATATATATATATTCACTTGTTTTTATGTATTAATATTACTCATTTATCTTTTTTAATTACCTATTCATATTATTTATATTGTTTATTAAAATTATTTTAATTTTAAAGTTAATCATTCATTTTTAATTTAATATTAATTTTTATTATATATTTTTCATAATTTATTAAACTCTAAATAAATTGTAAAATAAAATTGATGATAAAAATTAAATTTTGACATTTTAAACAAGTTAGAATTTGAATCTTAAGAAAAAAAATTAAGAACTTATCATAAAGGATATAGCTTTTATAACAATTAAAAATATAATTGAACTTGAAAATTTATTTACTTTAAATTTTTATTATGTATCTTTAAATATACATATGAAAAGTCGATAAAATAAATAGTGAGAGACATAACATGTAAATTATGAAATTTTAAAGTGCAGTGAGCTATTATAGCACCAAATTCTATCCATAATTCCACATCTACACAATTTAAATTTTTGCCTATAAACAAAATATATATTAATAAAATGAAACAATTAGAAGGCAAACAAAAATTCTGTACGGGACGAATTCGTTTTAGAGAAAGTGTACGGAACAACCTCATCTTATTTTGTTTTAATTTTAATTCTTACTTTTTAATTTTATTCTTTAATTTAGTTGTTAACCAATAAATATTATTACTTTGAATTCGTACCGGAAATTTTCATACTATGTAATAATGGTGATCAAAGAAAAAGTATCCTAGTGTACCATCCAAGACTGATACCCTATCTTCATGAACATCTGAAAAGGACCCTAAACCATAATAGATTTATTATATTTTCAATTTAAATGATTTTAAATGTTTTTTTTAATTAAATTTAAATAAACTTATATGAAATGCTTTATTCTTTATATTTAAATATTTCTTATTTAAATTCCTTATTTTACTTTTAATTAATATTCTTTTCATTAATGTTTCAATGTTAATATTATTATTATTATTATTATTATTATTATTATCATTATATTTATAATTTTATCAAATAAATATACCCAATGAGAAACTATATCCAAATTAATTAAAGCACAAATAATAAGTTTGAATCTAGAAGTATTTAGAGAAGATAAAGATACAAACAATGAAGTTAATATAGATATAATTTCATTTGTGTGTACAAATGTTATTCACTGTCATTTTTAATAAAGATGTGAAATACACAAATTGATACTTAAAAATATTAAGAATCTTTATTTATTTCAAAAGTTTATTTTAAAGCATTTATAAATAATTTATAAAAATAATTCAACTTTTATAAATTTTTTTAACTTATTTCAATAAATTTGTTGGTATAATTTACTAAAATAAATTACTTTTAGTTTATTTCAATAATTATATTATTAAATTTACAATATAGGTTATTAAATAAGCACTTAAATTTGGATAATTTTCTAGATAAATATTTATAAGAGAAAAAGATTAATATAAAAATAAATATTTTTATAAATTTAAAAAAAATCTCAATTTTTAAAGAGGTTAAATAAAAAAATTAAAAAATATATAAGTAGATTTTAACTTATAATTTTTATTTTATTTTATTACTTTATTTATAGTACGATAAGTGAATAATTACAATTATTTTGATATGATATTAAAATACATGTAAGTTCCTTAAGATGTGATTAATTTAGTATATAGTTAAAATAGTGACTGTAAAACGTTGATACCATTTTATTTAGCATAAATTAAATAAAAATTATCATATATATAAAAAATGATTTTTTTTATATATTTAAAAGGGCTTGAAATAGGACAAAGAAGAAAGATGTAAAAAACAATATCGAAAGAGAGAGAAAATAAAAAAAGCATGATCTGTAATTTGGCGAGAAAAAAGAAATAAAAAAGAAATGTAAAAAATAATATTAAAAAGATTGTATATCTAATAGACTAATTTAAAGATAAAATCGTTAATATATAATTTTTATATATGTTCTGTTGAGTTAGTATGACCGTTACTGGTGGAAAGTACTATGAATCTGTCTCTCTATAATCTCTATATATACAGAATCACTTAATGGCAATTGGGAAAATCTGGGTTCCTCTAATTCACTGTCATATATCACTGTCATTTACTACATATGGCGGAGCTTGGAAGTGTTAGGGAATTCCTCGCCGGAAAGAGCGTTTTAGTGACTGGTGCAACAGGATTCCTAGCCAAAAGTACTTGCTCGATCTCTCCCTCTATCTCACATGCATGTATATATACTTGTGTGAAGTTCTACAATTTGAAAAATATATTTTAAATCATTGTCTCTCATCATTTTACTTAATAACTTTTTATAAAATATCAAGAATTTGTGAAAGAATACTTCAACTTATAATATTTATTCATTTTCCTTTTCGCGCAGTTCTTGTGGAGAAGATATTAAGGATTCAACCAAACATTAAAAACTTATACCTCCTTGTAAGAGCATCAAGTCCTGATTTAGCTTCCCAACGCTTGCACAATGAATTCCTTTAGCTGTTTACTTTAAAAACTATTACTGCATATTAAAGTTAGTAATTAATTAAAGATATTGAAATTAAACCCATGCATGGCTGCATGCATGAATATATTTTTATATGTGTGTATAGATCTTTGGGAAGGACTTGTTCAGGGTGCAACGTGATAAATGGGGTGCAGATTTTAGTTCCTTTATATCCAAGAGAGTAGTGGCTGTTGCAGGCGATGTGTCTCTTGAAAAGTTGGGAGTAAAAGACGAAAACCTTTGTGAAAAGATGTTGGAAGAGATAAATATTGTAGTACATGCTGCCGCAACTACCAAGCTTGATGAGAGGTAAATAGAATAATTAAGATATTTAGAGGACACTAATTAAGGCGCAAAAATTCCTTTACAATTACATATCCTTTACCGCAGATACGATGTTGCAATGGGTACCAATATGGTGGGAGCTTTTAATGTTTTGAACTTCGCCAAAAGTTGTCGTAAGATAGAGGTTCTTCTTCATGTATCTACTGGTATGTAATTTACCAACCTTATGTGGTTTCGACCCTGAAAATTTAAGTGGTAGCAATGAGAGACTAAATAATATTGATAGATTGATAAACTATATAGCTAGTAAAAAAATTAACTTTTTTTTAATAAAATATGAATTTATTGATAGACTGATGCTTGGCAAACTAATGCGAGCATCAGTCACAGGTGTAGGGATGAAACGACCAAAAATTTAAATCAAGAAATATAGAACTTTTTTTTTAATCAGCAAAGGAAAATATTCTTAAGAGGGGTATCCCTACTCAAAACACAATACAAGGATTATAAATTGCTTAAGCAAAGCAAAGGTTCTTTCCTAGTAATTAAGGATATCATCAAGACATTTTTTTTATCTTGACACTGATGCTATGATAGTAATTATATTTTTTTAGTTTACATACTAACTTTAAAATACAGATAAAAACTAAAAATGAATAAAAGAGTATTATCGATATCTTTTATCTTATTAGAAAATATATAAAATGATTACTTTATGTTCATTTAAATTATTTATTTATTTATAATTTGATATTTATTTATTATTTAATATATTATATATTATTATAATTATTACTTTAATTAATACCACTTTAAGGGATTAGAAGCATTCAGGACAGTAAAACAAAAAAGAAAGAAAGAAAAAAGACATAAGTTTTGAGAGACACCTCTTTCATTGAATGTGAAAATTTGAAATATTTTAGCAACTACATTCTTATAACTTGTGATATACTAACCTTATAATGGAACAAATTCTTCTTACCCTACATGATTGCGTTAAGTTCTGACTATTCATCAAATCTTGTTACAACTGGTATTGTTGTTGTTCTTTGATAGTCTCGACTGGTAGAATGCGATAGTGGTATTTGTAAAAGGCTTTCTAACATTAACACTCATTAATTCAAATTTCAGCAAAATTACTTGGACGAATTAAGCTTGAGTTTATGTCCGATAAAAGTGGGGAATAAGTTAGAGTCATATGACAGGAGTCAACCTTTATATTGATAACTTTATCTTAAAGTGAATTTCAAGTGCCAATAGTCAGCCTTCGTTGTTACACCAATGAATTCTACTTAAAGTGGATCCTTAACACACCACTGGCACTTAGTTAAATATTTCAAAAATTAATGTGGCAATTGTTATTATTAATTAAGGTTAATTTGAGCCCTCAAAATAAGTCTCCTAAATGCGAGATGGCAAATTTTGACTCGGTTAAGATTAAATTTTTTCTTGAATTATCCTTAGTTATCGGAAACATAAACTTTTAAACCAAATATAAGATATCATTTAACCTATCCCTTTTATTCATAGCCTCACAAATTAATTCTTTTTACACTCTTTTCATGTGATCCTTATATAGCTACCTAGGTTTTATCATGTACTGAAGCAAATAAAGCATCATTGACCAGTTTGTGTTTCTATTTCAGCTTATGTGAGTGGACAGCCGAAAGGACATATAACTGAGGAACCCTTCCGTATGGGTCAGACGCTAAAAATATCTTCAAGATTAGACATCAACTTAGAAAAGCAGTTGATAGAGGAAAAATTGAGTGAACTTCAAGCAGAGAATTCCAATGAAGAAACAATCACGTCAATAATGAAGAAATTTGGAATTATAAGGTGCTTTATGAACCAGTTAGACAATGGTGGAGAACACGTTTAGAATGAATCAAACTATATAGACCATGCGTTCACTCAAGAAATTTCATTATAAAAGCAGCATTTTCAGTTATATATATCTATCTTTTTAAAATTTATATAACATTACAAATAATAGTATAATTTTAATGAAAATTTATTATTATTTTTTTGTCATGTGTAATGTTATATTTGTTAAAAAAATTGACATTACGTTAATCTAGTTTTTTTTTTCTTGTCTTCATAATTAACTTCATACCTATATTAATTTGTTGATAAATCTAGGGCAAGGTTGCATGGATGGCCAAACACCTATGTATTTACCAAAGCAATGGGAGAGATGATTGTAGCAAATATGAAAGAAAATCTACCTTTGATCATTGCACGTCCCACAATGGTACTCAGCACTCGCTCTGAACCCTTTCCGGGTTGGATTGAAGAAGTGAGGTATTCACAATGTGATTTGAACACTTGTACTTCCTTTTATATAAGATGAATAATGGCAATATACTGTATATTTTTAATACAACCTTTTTATTATTAAATAAAATTTCTATAAATTCTACTACATATGAAGTTTAATTAACTCACAAAATTTATAGTAGCCTCGATATGAATTTTACAAGTAATAAAAAAATTAAAGTAATTTATTACTCATAACATTTCTTTATGTTGTGCAGGTCAATTTTTTTTTTAAATTAAGTAAAATTTTATTGCAAAGAATAAAACAGATATTCTAGCCCATTTATAAATAATTAGAACGAAAAGCTAGTAACAACCGTGCTTGATTAAAAAACAATTAGGTTGATCCATAAACCAATTTGAGAACAAAATAGGACCTCTCCAAACTTTTGCTTTGGCTGAACCATTTTCACCATCTGATTTTATTCAAATTCAACAAACACATAAAGTCACAGGATACATTCCTAAAAATTATTCCATTTTTAAACACCCAAATTAACTAAATGAACACAGCATATCAAATTAATATCTGAACTTGTTGCCTATTGACCCTTTAAGTCATTTTATTTGCCTATGTTTTATTTTATTTATATATTGTATGTCTGTAATTGCTGCATATCAATATATTATTAATAGAATTTATAAATATTTTTGTAATGATGTATACCTTTTTTAATTGAATTTACGTTTTTCATGTGTGTGTATATTCACTATGAAAAAGTAACTGTTTTAAAATTTATTTATATATTGTTCGTGGTTGTATGACAATAACCAAATGTTTAATTTTAACTATAATATTATTTTATATGGTATCTCCCTGTAATCATATAAAGCATTCAGTAAAAATTAAGTTGCCAAGTACGATGAAGCTATATATATATGTAATAGTCGTAAGAATATCACGCACAGTACGTACACATATTTCACTTTTTATTTTGTTAGAATATGTTTAATAACTTATTCATTTGTTTTACTTTCACGTAAAATTATTTTTACAATTTATTTGCGTTTTTTCTAATGATAATTATATGTCCATAAGTAATACTCTTTATAATAAATTTTAGAGGATGCTTCAGTATCAACTGACATTGGATGACATCTAGCAGCATATTGATCACGATCCTTTACTATTTGTTTTAAAAGGAAAAAGAAATAGGAAAGAAAAAAAAATTAAAAGAAGAAAAATGCAAACTCTTATAAATTTTATTATTTTAATATCTATTTTCTCTTCAATTAATTAAATAATAAAAAATGTATTATTATTTATATTTGCATTTCCACTGTAAAGAAGCTCTCGATAAAATTTTCTTTCAATTCAAGACGATAATGATCTTCAGAAGATCTTTCCTCAATATATACATAATTATATTTTATAACACATCAACAATTAATAATAATATGACGTGGGAATAGAAGGCTTTAATATATATTGATTGTGTTTATAATTTATGTTTAACTTGAAAAGGAAATGGCAATTAAATAATACAATTTTACGATCACAGAACTATGGACTTTTTGGTTGTTGAGTATTGTAAAGGAATGATAACAAGCTTTGTTGGTCATCCAACGACAATCATAGATGTGGTGAGTCCCACCCGTTATTATTCAATTTCTTTTTCAGTTATTTCTATCACTTACACATTGCGGATTTCACGTTTTAAATTAAGGAATTGAAATGATGATTGCAGATACCTGCAGACATGGTGATAAATTCTATGATCATAGCATTGGTAACTTATTCTAAAACTTCTTCCAAGAGTTTGATCTACCATATTGGCTCTTCTTTCAGAAATCCCTTCAAACTTTCCGACCTTTAAGATATTATGTATTGTTATTTTTCAAATAATCTATGGCTAAGCAAATATAGAAAGCCATCAACTGTCACCAAAAAACTAACATTATACTCCACCAGCTTGGATGAGTTTCACCAAAATAAGGTACTACTGTATTGTGCTGTTTATTGCACTGAATAAGTAATGACACTTTTTGTAAAAGTCTTGAGCTGATGTTTATTGTGATCTTTTATTAATATTTTATTCTTCGGCCTATGATTTGGTCTATTCTTAAGGAATCAAAGTTGGAGAGCTTAATAGATCTTTTCAGTCCTTATACTCTATTTGAGGGCATGTAAGTACCATATATATTCAATCTAGAGCTAAGTAAAATTCAATATTTAATTGCATTGATATATAAAAATGTACTATTTTGTGAACAGTTTTGATGACCAGAACGCAGAGAAGTTACGAATGGCAACAAAGAGAATTGCTGATATAGATGAGGGATTTAACTTTGATCCCAGGAGCATTAATTGGAAGGACTATATGATGAATACTCATTTTCCAGGATTAATGAAATACACTATGCGAAGTAATATTTAACTTTATAATAACGGAAGCATTTTGCTGCGATCAAAAGATTGATGAATTGGGGAGGATGAGTTCAAGAACGTCTATTTCCTCGGTTTAGTCAACTACATCTTCTAGTGATATTTACAATACAATTGTAGTATGAAACTTATATTTGCATAATGTATTTCAATTTCTTTTAAAAATAAACTCTTATTTAATCTATAAAATTGTAAGTGTTCGTCAATTTGGTTGATAACTTTATAAATTTGTCTTTTTAATTTGACTTTATCAAACATTATTTACTTAGTTCGTAGTGTCAATGGATTAAATGGTGAGAAAAGAAAATTAGTTAATAGCATTTTGTAAAGTTGAAGACTGAAAATTAATACTTTCAATCTTAAAAATTAAAATAAAAGATTTATTTTTATTTCTCTAGTATATAACTAGCAACACATTTTTAATTATTAATTAAAATTTATTGAAACGATAAAAAAATAAGAGAGAAGTATTAAATTAAGAATGACAAAAAAAAAAACGTGACTCACTTAATTTTTGTAGTTTTTAATTAATAGTTAAGAATATATTAAAAAGATGTTAGAGTTTTTTTTTTGGCTAAAAAAGATGTTAAAGATTTTCTTGTTAACATTATTTTTTATAAATATTAAATACGCTAAGAGTAGTAATATGGGTTCAGTTCGTTAACCTACATTTTAAAATAAATTAGAATGAGCAAAGTAGTGTGAGTTGACTGGTTAGATAAAAAAATAAAAAAGTAAAGACTTTTTTATATTTTTTAATTTTTACATACGTAAAATTAATAAATATTAAATGTTAAATCTTAATATTAATAAAAACGACATTTATGTAAGTTAAAATTTAATTATATTTATATTTTTTTTGTTTAATTTGTATAATTTTATTTTTTAATATATTTAAACGGGTCAAACCGTAAAAAAAATGCGGTTGTTCAATCTACTTAAAAAACACGAGTTAAATCGAATATGGTTTTTTTACAGGTTGCGAGATGGGGGCAAATTGACCCGTGTTTCCATCTTAGTTACGAGATAATAATAGAAGGGTTTAGGCTCATTACAATACATCTGTAATGAACGATTACCAATTAGGCTAATTTCATTGTTATTGGGTCACTTCAAGTTCTTCATTCTGACTTATATACCAACAACATCCAGTACAGATTTGGTAGGCAACGACCACTTTGGCTAGTATGGGTCAGTACTCACAATCGCATAGGGAAATGGATTGAACAAGCACTTCCTTTATCTAATACGGGGTTTGTATGATCCAATCATTGATCCAAAAAATTATACAGGTGACATAGCTCTTTATTCATGATTTTGCTATTCTTTGAAATAATCTTCTTGAAATATAAGAATCCCTTGGGTGGAAAAGAAAATAAATAATTTTTTGATGTTATAGTATCAGCCACTAACGACAGCACATCCTCACATCAAAACACCTCTTACATGATTACAACGAGATTAAACAGTGATATAATCCACTATCTTTCTGGCTCTATTGGGAGGGGGGTTAAAATAGGCTTTAACTTTAAAATCATTGAAAGTGTAGAAGCCCAATAACCGTGAGATTTATCATGAAGGAGGAGACCTCTCTTTTCTTTTGCTAGTGAAGGAAGATGTGTTATTCTCATCGACCTGGGAATCCAAGTTACAAACACCATTCTGTGGCTCGTGGGGATCTATTGAGTCATTATGATGGAAGAGATGACTACTGTCAGAAGTATCCACACCATTAGAAAGAGTAGGAACAGCATCCTGAGCACTTGGCCGGCTAATGCAGAGCCAACACGCCAAGGACTCATCGCCAGTTTCTGGTGTTAAAGGCACATGCCAAGAACCTCTTTCTGATTCCTGAAACAAAACATCTTCAGATTTTGCACAAGAAATGAATTCAAAAACAGTTCTCCGGAAACAAAATAGTTTTGAATTTTATAAATTGGGAGGCATACACAAAGATTTCGGACGCTCGAGTATTTAGAATTTTTATGTTTAAGCTACACATTTAAGCATTACTATTTTCACAAAAACCCAATATTTCAGTCTAAAAATAATAAATTCACTCAGTTTTTGTGCCCATTGTTGGCGGAAACACGTACATATACAATGCATCATCACAAAAGCATCTTGCTTCAATGCCAGAAAGATAAAGTTTCTCACATAACTTTAGGCATCATGTTATCAAATAACAATACATATCTTCTGTTAGTAACCAGAATACGAGAGATGAACCTATATAACAGATGGTAGACCGTAGAACAATTGTCATGTACTAAGATGTATGTACACAAGAAGGCCCAACCAAGAAACTGGTTGAGGTGGCAGACTGGCAGGGCCTAGTGGGAATCCAGAGGGCATAGTGTGATGAGAGTGATTTTTTAGGAGAGGTTAGTAAGAGGGGGAGAGGTGCAAATAATTATTCTCCTGTTCAGCTGTGAGCTGAATAGCTGATTGGAAGAGCTGTATTTTCTACAGGAACTTTACTCTGGGGTAGTAGCCTCTCGTACACTTCTGTTCTTTTTCTTCTTCAGTGATCACTTTATGATTTGAAGCTTGCATTAAGTATAACAGAATATCCTTCCATTTTAACTCTTCAATATTGAGTTCCTATCATCTCCTCTCAAATACCAAAAGATCAAAAATACTAACTTGTCACACAGAAAACAGCACTAACACATTCCCATCAGGAACAGTAAAATAGCAGCTCCAAGCAAATGTCATGGGTCATGGTATGTACGAAACATTACCTGGATAACAAATGAATGTGATGGTGGCATCTGAAGTTTTAGGTTTCCTTTAATGAAAGTGTAGTGAACCTGAAGACAAATAAAACAAGTTAACTAGTAACAAAAATAAGGAAATGGAACGGCATAAAGATCTTGAATGGCTACAGATCAAATTTTGGACTATACATGGATCAACCTTGAAGGCCCTATCAACAGGAAACAACTACTACAATGTCTAACACTGGAAAATGTCCTGAAAATAATAAAAAATATGCTCGGTGTTTCTCCAACACCTTGAAACATATTTAACTTTTTACCTCCAAATAAACACCCCACCCAAAAAAATGATTCCAAGAACAAAATTTAATGAGAACACAATCATGAAATGAGACTAAATAAATCTCTTGAACTGAAATTAGAGTAACCAATTGTAGAATGAATTAGATGAATAAAAGATACCAAACAGGACATGCAGAGATGTAACAAAATTTAAAAACTTAAATTAATGAGGAAAAAGTTTCCCATAGAAGACTCATTTTAAATTGTAAACAGGAATAAACTCACTCATGACGCAAGAGTAAACAATTCCAGAAAAAAAAAAAAAAAAAAAAAAAAAAAAAAAAAAAAACTAACCTGATGTCTTTCTTTCCACTTTTTAAAAAAGTTACTTCCTATGAGTTCAAAAATGTGATCTCGCATTTCATCATTTGTCACAAGCAAGCACCTAAGTTTTACTGCAGCAAACAGCCAATACCTGAAACCCAGAAGATTAATATAACACATCAGTGACTAACCTAATAGTGAGGTAAAGAGACGTCATAGTGATTGAAATTTGAAAGATTCAAAACCAACCTTTAACAAATTGGTGCGAAAAAATAGAAGACAAAATAATAAATGGTCATTTTTGCAGGTACAGTAAAGAAACAGTCAAACAGCTCAAGAAACAATATTGTCATCCTAACATGAAAGCAAATGCAAACTTTAAGACATTATTTTGGAAGTTTACCAATCATCATTGGATCCAGTCGGAGTTGTATAGAGCACACCATTATTCGTCCACTCCTCCACCAGTCTTCTGCTGGAAGGATTTTCCATCAGCCCTCTTAGACGCTTGTTGTGCAGGATAACAAGTGGCCATTTCTTCCCACTCCGATTGTAGAGTTCTTTCACAACATCATCCACCTGCATAATTATAAGAATCAACAATATGAACACAACTACTTGTATAAGCAATAAAGTCTACTTATTATCCAAGAGTAAAAACATGCACAACTTGTTTAGACAGTAAGGTTAAAGGGACTCTATAACCTAGGCATACAACCTGAGAAATGCTAAATCCACCATCAGCAAAATTTTGTTGGTAGAACCCAATATTTGCTCCATCCACTATAGCTTCATAAGAGCCATGTTTTTCAATCCAGGCCTGTGAGGATTGAGAAAAAAACATCAAAACCAAGTTATTATAACTTGAATAATATAACATATCACGACATGCAAAGTTGTGTTGCATTGCAGTGAGTGGAGAGAGCAATCACACCTGAAATTCGTTAAAATTAGCCTTCACCTCTCGTTCCAAAGCCAAGCCAGCAACAGACCTCGCAAACTTCTCCGTCTCCTCATCATCGATATCAACACAAGCCAATTGCTTGCAACAACAACAACAACGTCCATCATCCTGAACGCTCGTCCAGCACACATTCCATTTACCTTTTCCAACCCATCCTTGACCATGCCACCCTCCTCCATTGCGCGCAATCTCCTCTTTAATTCGTTCTGATTCCAAATTCATCTCACCAACCTCAGAGGCCTTGGTGCTACGAAACCACTCTTCAATAATCATCCCAGTGGATTCACTAACACCCCTCACAGAGCTCCTGAGCTTCTGCAAATACTCGTACACCTTCCCAGCCCTACCAGTCACCGCGCTCACCTTCAAAAGCGCAGCGAGTTCCGCTTCCTCCAGACTCAATCCAGCACCGTTCATGTGCTTCTCAACTTCATAAGCCTTATTAGCATCAAGGAGCTCACAGAAGCAGAACAACGCGGGATCGTAAGTCCGCAATCTAGGTAAAGCATTGTACTTATCCATGCTCTTCACTAATTCGAAAGCGTGATCGGCATCACCTTTCGCCGCCGCGAGCCTTGCAACGGCGGTGATGGAAGCCTCGTTAGGAACGATGCCGAGGGTGGACATGTGGTGGAAGACGCGGAAGCCGTAATCGAGAGCGAAGGATTTGAGGGAGGGGTCAGTGACGGAATTGGAACAGAGGTAGAGTAGGGCATTGAAGTGGTGGTGGGTGAATCGAGTGTTTTTGGAAACGGCACCGTCATAGAGGGAAATCGCGCCGCGTAGATCTTTGGCTTTGGAGCAGGAATTGAGCTCGAATTGGAACTTGTTTTCGGCGTTTTGGTTGGTTTTCCTTTTCTTCTTCGTTGGGTTTGAGTGAATTGTTGTATCCTCCTCCATTGAAGGTTTTCTTTCGATTGGGAAGTTAGTTTTTGGATTAACTTACAGGGTTTAATTTAAAACCCTAGATGGCGGTTTTTTTGGGGTGTCTAAATAATGGCAGTTACTCATTAGCATTCCATTTGATTGGACCCCTGCTGTGAGTATCCTGTGTGTACTGCTTTGTGTCCAGTTATGGATCTTTTGGATTGTTTGGTTTTGGGCCGCTAACCCTAGAGATTTCTTTTTTACGGGTATTTTTAGTAATTCTTTTTCTAAATAATCTTTATGATAATAAAAAAATTCAAATAAATTTTATAATTAAATTTTCATGCTTTTAAAAATTATTATTTAATTTTTTTTAAATTGGAATTTTATATTTTAAGAAATCAGTTCTCAAACATAAGCGAAAATCTTAATTTTAAAAATAGTTAATAATTTCTAAAAATGAAAAAATTAATTCTGGAAACTAATTTCTGAAAATGTAAAATTTTAATCTTGACAATTTATTTTCAAAATAGTGAAACTGTATTTCAAAACTTATTTACATAAAAGATTAATAATTCCATAAATCCATTTTCATAAATATCAAAATTTAATTTCAAAAACTTATTTTTAAAATGTGTAAAAATTTAATTTAATTTTTTTTTTTAAATGTCATGTTGACAAGTCGATAAAATTAACTCTAAAATTAAGCTTTCAATGAGTAGGGGCTATTAAAAGCGATATTTATTATCTTTGCAGTCTTTTTTTTATTTCTTTGTTTTTATATAAAAATAAATATTACTATTTTTAAAAAATATAAAAAATAAGTATTATTTTCAAATGCGGTAAGTTCTTTATATATCAATGATTTACATTATCAGCACATTTATCTATTTCTGATATAGGTTGATATATTCAGTTATTTCCGTAAAAATAACTGTTTAAAATTTATTATAAATATAACTTTTTTATTAATTACAGTGATTTATTTATATATTTATTATAAAAAAATTTAGAGGAAATACTATTTTTAAAATTTAAAAATATATTTAAATATTTAATATATTTTAAATGTCAGATTTTATAAATTACTTTAAATTTTTATTTTTTTCGTTTTACAGGGAGAAAGAGGAGTATCGGGGAGGGGATGGCATGTCCGTTCTGTCGACCCGCGCTGCCAAGTGCCACTGGACGTTGGCTAGGAAGGGACACAACACACTCCCTCTCATGCCCGCATGTCATGTAAGTACCTCAAAACCTTCCATTTTTTGCCTCTTCATTTTCCTTCCTCTCTCTCTCTCTCTGCTTCCTCAAATGGCTATCACAGCTCACAAAAACCGCCTTCGCACCTTCATCCAATCCATGTTCGACGAGGTTTGTTGTTGTATTCCTCGCACAACACTCCCTTCCTAATTCTATTACGCTCCACCTTTTCCCCGATTATTTTGCATTTGCTACACGTTTTTCACTTTCAATTTCAAAACCTTTAGTTCGTGATTTTTGTGAAGATCTCAGAATAGAAAGTAGTGATTGATGTATGTGTTGAATTTCGCAGGGGATTGTTAATGACCAATTCTGCCAACTCCAATCCATGAAGGAGTCTGTTCAACGAGACTATGTTGTGAGAGCTGTCACCTGCTTCTGCTTTGCTTGCATTAATTTGTTCTCTACTCTGACCGATCAAATGTATTCTAACAATGCAAATTTTCACTTGCTATCAATTTTTGGTTTACTTTTTAAGTTTAGATTTCTAGGAATAGGAAGTAGGAACCTGCTATGGCTTTGTCATTGAATTGTAACTCGAATGTTCTGTTCTGCAGCTACCAGCAACAGGTTGATTTTCAAAAGGTTCATGTTCTGGCCTGTGAACTATATGCAAGAACCACCGGGTATCATGAAACTTTTCTTTAGTTCTACAGTAAATTAAATCTGCCTTCTTTTTTTTTTGTGGAAGTGGAAATACTTTTATAAGAATTAGCTTTTTGTATTGTGTTGATGGATTTTACATTGTGGCAGGGATGCATCTCTTATTTGTATGTTTTCATTCACTTATCTGTAATACCTATTTCTTTTCTCCCGTTCTTATGTGCTGTAGGAGAATTCCCGATCCTTCTGTTCTGCTTTTCTCGCCATTTTTTTTAATTTTAAAAAATATATTTGCCATTCTTGTGCTATTTTCTGTTAACCTAGAATCGTAGGTAGTTTCAAATTCCAATATTTACTTTTCAGTTGTTTCCTGTTGAAGGTGAAATTCTGTTTTTTATGTAGACCTTACTCTAGGAGTAGAAGATGCATTTGCCAGCTATTAATTTGGAAATGGAAGTGAGACGGCTCATAAGTCTTAAAGTTTTCTTGTGTTCCACCATTTCTAAATTTTTACTCTAATGTCTTGTTTTTGTATACTCAGATGGAGTATTTTTTTTCCCTAAAAGTTGTCCTTAATGCAATGGCAATATAGAATTTCTTTCTATTGATTTTTGACCCAACATCAAATTTAATTTTCAACTAATATCTTTATGTAATGAAATATTTTGCTTTTCTTGTCTCAGCAATGTGTTCTGAACTTCTGATAATCAAATAAACTTTTCAAATTGTATAATTGGTTAGTTTTTATTGATTGGCCTTGTTATTTATTGAAATAAATACAGAAAATATTGTCTCATATATTGTAGATCAAATTTAAAGGTTTCCTTTTCTAACATTTTACAGCGTCAGAACCAAACTTTCTTGTGTGCCAATGCATCCTCTGTTTAAGGTTTCAAAGTAGATGTCATATGTTTCTAGGGTCCCCCTTTGTATTATCACCATGTATCCTAAGTGTCAATCAAAAGCAATATCCAAAATAAAGAAAAAATTACTGTTTTGTTCATGGTTGCAGTCACTAGTTTATGCAAATCTGTAGATTCATTCCTTGTCAAATTAAAAATTGTTTTTGTTGATATGCTTTTTATATCACATCAGTGGTAATGAGCTAACTGCCAAGTGTATAACTTTGACTTTCTCTTTTACTCTTAATATTTTCTAAGTGATGTATTATGCTTTTCGTTGCTTGTTGCAGTGTTGGTGCAGAGAACATGAGGCGTGCATGTGCTGAACTTCTTTATGCTTGTGAGATGAAAGACAAGAATCAGTAAGAAAACTCTTTCATGCAACTTTAGTTTATATCCATATGCATAACAACCACCACCAAAGGAGCCTTACAATGCTGGTTAGGTTGCTAGATGGAATACTTGGCTCCATTGTTACACACCCTAGATTTTTGTTTAATTCTGCTCTTTAACTGTAAATGTAATCTCTGTAAATGGAATAATTTGACGTTTCATGTTTCAGTTGCTATCAGGCTCTTTATTGGATCAAGAATGAATTTTTTTATTTGAGGAGAAAACTTGAAATCCTTGTGCAGGTAAATTGTCACCACTTATTCCAGGTTTACGTTAGGCATTCAATGATCAGTTGAATTAAAATTTTCTTTCCCCGAAGCAACTGTGGTTGTACTTGGCTTGATTTATATATGTAGAATAGTTGGTGGACAATAATGAACTAGCCATTTTGATCTTTGGATTACCATATTTATTCTAAATGATTCTGTCTGTTTAGTCATTCTTATACATGCCTTAAGTAGATTAGAAATTGCCTCATAGTCTCATTTTTTCCTTTCTTATCTTTTAAATGCTGCTACATGGCTGCATCTGGAATACTTGCTGAGCAACCTTAATGGATTACTCACTTGGAGAGGAAGGAAAGCAAAGAGAGCCAATGCTTATCAGTCATGTCTTTCATGTTGCATCTGATTCACTGATTCTCCTTCTTAATATGACAGTTCTAAAGTACAATTTTCAAGAAAGCTTTTAGAAAACCGTTTTCTCAAGTTGTCCTCAAATTATATTAAAAATGAATTCTTTAAGGGGGGAAAAAATCTGTAAATCAGTATGTGTTGATTGGTCTTGGAAATGATTTACTTTTTCTGAATTCAGAACATTGGAAGTGAAGGAACCAAACTGTCAAATCTAAGTCAACATTAATTTGGTCTAGAAATTTTCAGATTGAGGGTGATAATTGGTTTCTGTAGTTGTCAAATAATTTGGAGAATTTTCTTTTTTATTTGGTTCAGAGACCTAAGACAGAGAAGGGGTGACGGAATATTGTGGCAGTGTGCTGCTTATACTGTTCTATGGTTTCTTTGGCTTGATTAAAATTCACGGAAAAGGGAAAATATTTGTTGTAAACCCTACTTAGGGTGTTTAGTACATGGCTTCTTTTGGAGAATCACATTGGTAAACACACAAAGGAACTGGAGCACCCTTTTGCTTTGATTTCTTGAATTCACTCTGTTTTTTCAGAGGTTTTATCTTGTTGGCCTCTTTTCTTTGTACTTATTCCCTCTAGTTCTTTAAAACACAAATAGAAAGAAAGAACAGAAAAATATAAAAGATTTTTTGTTGCTCTCTATTCAATACTACTGGCTTGGGAAATGGTCAACTTCTAGGGGATGATCTGCTAAATTCAAGCTTTTGTTGCTTTATATGGGTACACTTACATTTCCTTCTGATGTGAACTGTACTGATCGATCAGGAAGCAAACTCAATTTAATTTAATGATGTCTTTCTAAATATATATCCAATATATGTGCACCAAGGCAGTAAATTTGATAGTAACATTTGTTTATGATGATTTTCCTTGAAGTCATTGTAAATCATGGTGGTAGTAAGAAATTCAAATGTTCTGATTCTTTTTTTTTTCCTCTATACTATTATATGTGCAGATGGAGAGGCGAATCATTGATCTTGAGAACATGCAAAGAAACGAATGAATCACTTATGACAGCAATTGCTGAAGCATATCTGGTTGGAATATCAGATATGCTTTTTGGGCTTCATTTGTCGGTTTATCTACTGTAGCCTCAGGTTCGATTGGGTTGAAGAGAATGTGATAAATCAGTTCAGTTATAAACATATTTATCTTTATTCAATTTAGGCTTGGATTTATAAGAGTAAATCATAATGACTTACAAATGACATACATACATTTATGAATAATTCAACTTGAATAATTCAAATTTCATTTTGAAGGATTTATTCTATCTTGGAGAGAATTGTTTTCTAGAATTTATTTAGGTAGTACAAGGAACATCAAATTGACATTTAAAAATATGCAGAAGTCATTTGGTTTTTCTAAATTTGAGATTCAACTTATTTTGGCTGCAAAATATCCTTGTTTAAATGTGGGTTAAGGGGAGTATTCTTGTTAGTTTAAATGAGGGAATATACAATAGTCACATACTTGACTATGCCTAACAACTTGGTAGCCAGATGGTGTGGAAGTAGGTTCCTTACAGTGAAATACAGTTAGCATTTATCTTTATATTTTTATTATAGAAAACGACTCTTATAATAGATAAGCAGTTAGCACTTCTAATAAGCTCTGGCAGATTAGGATTTTGTCAAGCTGATCAACACCAATGTATGTTTTGTTTTTGGTTCTGTATTTATTTATTTTTGGTGTTCTAGGCACTAGTTGTCTTACCAAAACTGGTTTTGATAATAATTCTTTGTTTAGTGATTTTCTTTATGTGTAATTTAACTTCACAAAGGTGTGCATTGTCAAAATATTAAATAATCTCGTTCAAAGTATTGGATTTTATAACTACCCTTGTTAAATTTGGGATTCTCATAATTTCTAATACTTTTTTGGGGTTGGGAAGAAAACAAAAATCCAGTTCCTTTATAATTGGCCATCATTTTCTCTTGTTTGTTGGAATTTATGCATCTTTCAGATAGCTGCATTTGTTAATGCTGCTTCCTTTGTGGTTTGGGTTTAATGTTGACAAGATGCTTGAACATATATTCCTTGTACAAATTCTAGGAATAATTCAAATATCAATCAAGTCTGTGTTAATAGGGTGATTTTTGGTTTGGTAAAAGCTAATAGATTAATTTCATCTTGGAGAATTAAGGAGACAGAAAGACACATATGTGTGCATGAACATAGTTGCTTTGTAGAGTAGCAGCTGTTTCCAAAATAGGTAATCTAATAATCAAGTTTCTTCTAAACCTGAAAAACAGTTTCTGTCATTCTTATTTAATTAACTTTCTTTTTAGTTATTGGAAATTCATAAAGGACGTTTATCCTTAACATGGTATCAAAGCCTCTATGGCTAGGTGGTCACAAGTTTAATGAATAATGATGATTGATGCAAGATTATTTATTTAGAAAGGGAAGGGGTGCTCATTTTCAAATTTAATGACATTTTAAGTCTCTCTCTAAAATGGAGGATATAACATCATCCTCCCAGTTGTGTTTTTCTGTTTTATCTCTAGTAACATTTCTTCTTTTATCAAAAACAAAACCTGAATGGGTAATAAAATGCCATGTATTAAAATTCTTGTATATTAGTTTTATGGTGAACTAATTCTACTAAATGTTTAACTAATTCTACAAGTTTGAAACATACCTTCATAACTAATATGATCTCTAGAAAATGATTATTTGAAATCTTTTCAACTAGATAAATTTTTTACCATTTTGATAAGAATGAAATAAACAAACAAATATCAACCAAGTCTTATGTCAACCAAGTGGAGTAGGCCAAATGGATTCTATCACGTGCCATTGTGCTTGATCATTTATTCCGACCAAAGTCTTAAGTAATTTTATTCCTTTTAAATAGTTCCCTACATTTCTTTTCTTGTCTCCTTTGATCTCTTTTTAACCTTTAATGATGTCATATATTCTCTTATTGGGACCTATAAAGGTTTGTTGTTTTACTAAAATACCTAAACAATCTTAAATAGTATTCAATACCTTATCCATCTTGGCATGCCAGTCATCCATCACAACATTCTCATTTTTGTACCCTTTATCTTTTACTCATGATTGTTGTTTACTCCCAGTATTTGGATCCTTAACAAATGAAACGATGCATTGCTCCATTTCACTCATTATCAATCTTTCCATCCTTTTGTTGTATAAATTGCAAGTGTCCATAGCTCTTAGTTTTGGGCAGTTCTTTGTGTTTAATTCTTGCTATCACATCATATTCTCTCCTTTTCTACCGTGCTCAGTTCCATATATTTTGTATTTGATCTAGTCAATCAAGAATACTTTTGTCTCCAAAGGATATATCCACAACTACAACTTAGAATGTCCTTCATCTCATTTACCAAAGCAATATTATTGGCAAAAAGCATGCACTATACTAAATCTTGAATGCACCTAGTGAGTTTATCTATTTTTAATTCTACAAAAGGAATAGGCTTAATGTTGAACCTTGGTGTAGACCTATTCATCTGCCTTATTCATCATGTTGGAAACCACTCATTTACACTGCTCTATCTGATTGTACGTCACTGCTTTATTGATGCTTAATGTTGAAACTTGATGTTTCTCACATCTTTTACACCTGAAGTTAGCAGCTTGTAGATAATCTGCAGCATTTTGAATTGAAATGAACTCATGAAACCAGATGGGGTAATTTACTAGTCACCAGTTTAATTGACATAATTACACAATTAAACCTTGAGGACATTGTAAAGCATAGACAACTACCAATGAAGATTTTGGTTTTGGAGTTACAAAAGATGTTGTAATACATTGTTTAAATCAGTATGATTTGAAATATATGTGCATGATTTGGTTTTGAACTTACAACATATGCTTTGATATTGTAATCTAAGGTATGAAAGTGATAAATATGCCTTTCTTAATCAATGTTTTCCGCTGCATGTGGTGCCAATGTAGTTATCAAACCAGCTACAAGTAACCTTTATTTTTTTAACATATTGTGTGCATCTTGGTTTCTGCATTGGATTGTATATCTTAGTTGTATTACCTTATGTGCTAATCTCAGTTGTTAACCAGGATTTTTGGTGTAATTGTCATACTTTATGTTGTTCTTTCTCTTTTCCTGTCTCTGTTTTCCTATCCACTTGTTGTGACTTTGTACTAAGTGTTAAATATGTGGATGTGCTATATTTTCCTTTTATCTTTCAGGTAACCATTATGATGCCAAGTTTCAAAGAAGTTGGAGGATGGTTTCCCAGAAAAATGTTTTAGATGGTAATATTTTAATTTCAAAATTGTTTTTTGTTATTTTAAAAACAAAATTTTAACTACTAATTAAGTTAATTAACATTTCTTTTGTGGTGATAATTTTTTTACTTGTGATTTTCTTAGTATAGTTTTGGTTTGATGTTTGATGAAATGTATTTGTTGATAAATGTATTAGACCTGATCTCTCAACATGATCTCCATTAACGTGGAAAAAAAAAAGAGGCATAAGCACAATGACCCTCATTGTTTGAATGTTGGATTGATGGAGGAGAAATGGAGGAATAAAAATGAAAAAAAAAAATTATCTCCTTCATTGGTAAGATGAGAGGAAAAAATTTATTTTTTAATATTCATGTAGCATTTTCAATAAACATAAGGCTTTTTGTCTAATTATATATCAATTTGGTTTGGGACTTATTGGGCTAGTAGTGGAATAATACAAAAGTGAACTTGTGATTTAGGCTGAGATCTAGTAAGCTTTGTTATGGTGTGTAATGGTCCAAATCCAAAGTCAGTTGGAGTGACGAGAAGCGGCAAATCCAAAAAGACTTTGAGGGAAAGGGTGAAAAATAAAGACTTCAATATGTGTAATACGTTCTTTTGTATATATTAAAAATATCTTTTAGTTAATTATTAGAGACTCATTCCTTTTAAAACATACATATTATTAAAATAAATATAACTTCTTCCTTAGTTAATATACTTTTTTTTATTGACTGTGTTGATCTTATAAATATTTATTTTTACTTCCTTAGCTAGGACCCACACCTGCCCCTTAAATCTGTCCCTAATTATGAGGTGAGGCAGTTATTTCATTTGACTTGAGTTGTGACATTGAGTCTATTCTAAATGGCAGTGCATGAGCTCACTTTGAAACAAGAAAGGAAAAAAAATTAAAATAAAAACATTCAAATTGTTGAATTTTCAAATAAGGAAGAATTTCTAAATGGTATGTTTGGGAATTAATTTTAAGAAAAAGAGAAGGAGAAGGTTTATTTGATGGTAACCTTTGTTTGGAGAGTTTTTGTTGACCCTCTTGTTTTTCTCTTCTTTTTTCTTCCTTTACTCCTTAAACATTTTTTTTTCCTCTTCTCCCAAACTTTCAAACAAAAATTTAAAGAAAATTTCATACTAAAAGAAAGTGTGATTAATTGCTTCTTGAGTAGCATCTCCTGCAAGGAAAGAAAGAAATATTAATGCAAAAGAAGCAAAAAATAAATAAATTCAAAATGTCAATTTTTCCAATAAGGAAGATTTGCTTTAAAGAAAACTCTTTATAAGGAAAGTCTCTACTTTAAATGATTTTGAGATAATAATTACTTTTTCTTTCACCAGAGCATAAGAACGATAATATGACATTCAAACATAAATCCAAGATTCCTAAGTAGTATGACACTAGGATCTCGACATGTTTGGGAGTCTGCCTTTGAATTATAGGAATAAAATTCTATCATAAAATATCAAATTTAAAAACATTCATCACTCTGTTGGCAATTAATTCAATATATGATTTAATACATTAACCAGTTGAGAAGTTATTGTTCCTAATTTGGATTATAATCCTCCCTTATTTTATCGTTTAAGCAATATTTTTGAAGTAGAATGATTGCCAGCATCTATGGGATTGTGATGCATGTGGCTAAATCAATGCCTTGGTACACTTCAGTGCTTTTTACAGAAAAGTACAGTTGTACTGACCTAGCATATTTGAATGACTGTTACATTATAACTTACAAATAAGCATGAAATTTGACCTATTATATAGACCTTGCCTTTTCTTAGAATTTAAAACTGAGGAAAATGTGAGGATTAATATTCTTGAAGAGAAGAAGGAATTTTCACAGCTCATAAATTACAAAGGACATATTAACAAAAGGGCTTTTGGTGAAGTATTAGCTGCTTTATTGAACTTTTAGAAGGGCGATAATCCTGTAATTATTGTAAAAATGGCCCTTACCATCATGTTATTTGGATAGATATAATTTAAGGAGGATTTGTTTCATGATCTATGATTATGATTACATCTCTAGGAATGGCATCCACAGAAACATTATGATTAAGAATGTTATTCCCAGATAAATTCAAAAACATTTCTTGTTAATATTTAATATTTTTGCTAATATTTTTCAAAATTTGTCTAGTTCACAAAAGAAATTCAGATGATGGTAGAAAGTTGTTGGAGTGGTAACTAATGGTACAATTACAAAATAATTTCCATTAAAGTATCATTTGGATATAAAATTCTATTCATTAGAGGATTACAATTAAGAGTTTTCTAAGCTGTATAATATTACACATGATAAGTTATATATAGTAAGATTTTATTAAAATTTATAAAATTTAATGCATTGATATTATCAAATGCTGCAATTTTCAATAAAAATTACTATTCTTAACATCATGTGCAACACAGGTTAGAAAAATCCTTACAAATAAAGTAAAACATAGGAATGTCACTTTGCTGAGAATTAATAATGCCTAGTATTGCTTTTTTAAGCTTTTACCAAACACAGGAATGTCTTATTTTCTAGTTCACTTTCTCAAGAATAACGTAACAATCCTTGAAACAAAGACATCCAAATAAGCAAAGGAAACTGGCACCTGCCAGTTACCATTGACAAGGGCATGAATGTTAATTTGCAAAATCTAATGGATAATTTCAGAGGCATTCATGCTGAATTCAGGGTAACTGACAGATTGTTTCTATCTCTGTGCATTCAGTTCAGCTATATGACAGTTTTTTTTGTCTGTATACATTTGAGTTTCAAATATGGAATTAAAAAGGTAGCACATCTTGTGCAAGATAATCCTTTCCACCAAAGTGTTGATTTCCTTACAGTTTTGCATCTCTAAAGGGAGCTACATTTCTGATTTTAGTAAAAAATGACTATGCCAATTCTCAAAGGACTCTTGCAAGGATACCTGAAGTCATTGTTTGATGAGGTAAAAAATTCTGATCCAAGTGATTTAATTCTCACCTTCGTTTGACTATCTGCCCAGGATCTCTGTAGGTTCTCATCTCTCTTCAATATTGTGTCTTTCTTCCCCAATTTTCTTTTGTGAGAATGACCTTAACAGCTCCTTGTAGATCGAGTCACTTATAGATTGTCTCAGTATCCTAAAATTCAAATTACATTTTATGCTCTTTGTTTGAATTATTTCTATATTTTTCTCTTTGGAAAATGGGTATCAGCATCTAGTGCTGAAATTCAAGGCATTTAACCGTGGTTTGCATTTGATTGGACGTGGGTATAATATTGTTATGGTCTAGCAGTTTTTTTATTTTATTTTAGGGCACTGTTGTGAAAGATATTGATATGTTTGCCTGTGTTTTTTCTTCTCATTACTTGCAGGGGGTAGTGAACGACAAGTTTAATGAGACTCTGTCTTTAAAACGCACTGGAGAACCAGATTGTGTTGTGCAGTTGATTGAAACATATTTTGAAGATGTTGAAACAATGCTTTCTGAGATTTATCGTCATATGTAATGCTGCTGCTCATTTCATGGTTTTCTATTTTCAAGTTGATTACTTAATAGTATTTCTGTATCTACAGTGATAATTCAAAAGCTGACTTCCGTAAGTTGGCTTCCCTTGCTCGTGAAATAGAGGATAGGAGCACAAGGTAGCTTGCAATTTCTATCTATGCTGGGTGTTAAACAGGGATGTTTATTCAGACTCTATGCATCTTGATACTTCGGTATTTTTTTCCATGGTTGGAAATGTGCAATAAGACAACAAGGGAATAAGGCAATGAAGCACCCTGGCTAAGAGGGGGGGGGGGGGGGGGGGGGGGAATGTATTGATGAAACACAATATTTACTAACCTTTTAACTACATACATTTCCTCTTTCGCATTTTTTTTCCCTTTTAGATAGCATGATAATTTTGTCAAAAGAAATTTTGACCTAAAAGCTTGAGCTGTTGAGCAGTGGCCCTTGGGAATCGTTTTCATAGCCCTAAACATATTTTAGAATATCAAGTTAAAAATTATGCAAAGTAGAACACTGTATTAGAGTGTCCCGAGAGTCTAGTTCACTTGGGTGGAACATTTACTTGTAAGTTGCAAGTTCCTGGTAGGGGATCCCCTCGCCCTTCTTCAGTCCGTAAGGGGGATCCCTTAGGAACCCTTCTAACTGTGAGCCTCCGTTAAGCAGTAGTAGGTCTAGTACCATGAAAGTAAAAAAAAAAACACACGGTTAGAATAGATACATTTAGCTTCCATGTCTGCCCCCCGCCGCAAAAATCAACATTCTTCCACTGCATTCTTTTTGTATTATTGGTTGTCTCCCTCTGCTGCCTCACCTTGTGTTCATTTGATCATAGATTATCTGATTTCATTTTATTATTTTGTTTATTATGTTCATTGATTGCATCACAAATATGCATTGAGTTGTATCCCTCTTTTCATGCTTTAGACCAGCTGACGAACAAGATAATTTTTGCACTTTATCATTTTCAACACATGATAAATGATTGCATGTTCTCATTAACTTGATGGCAATATAATCCTATTTTGATATATTTTCCAATAATGCATAAATTTAGTGCACTAGAAATTGAAAATAATAGCTTGTTATATATGCTTCGTGGCAAATCTTTGTGGTCACTGATCTGCAAAATCCTGATAGATACCTTATAAATGTTACTTGATGTGGATATTAATAAAAAAATATGTTTGTCAATTTCTTTTCCTCCGGGCTAATAATTATGTAAAATGAATACTTGTCTGTTAACGGCCCTTTTTCAAAATAAAAAAAAAAGGAGTGCTTATACGGTTAGTTTAATATGAGAGATGATCTCTAATATGGATTATAAAAAAATATTGTGTGATCTTTTAGAACTTGCTAACTTGTACATACTCTTCAGTCTAAGAGTGCAGTTCTGCTGGGAAAAGAGCGTCTTGTATATTTTTTCTCATTTGGCTCTAGTTGACCTCAAATACTCCACTTTTGAATTTATTTCTTATAACCCCACAAGTTTTTATTGCTCAAAACTTTGTGCCCCGACTACTTTGCATTGTTTTCTATGGTATTTATTGCATTTAATTATCCACAATTTCCCCTTTGGTATTGATTACATTAAAAATATAGGCTTAACCTAAGAACTATCTGTATAGTTTAGTGTAAATTGATCCATTTGATGACATCAATTCCCATGTATGAGCACGCATGCATACAAACACAAGTTTCTGTGTAAACCTAGTAAGATTGCTCAATTTTAGATCCCAGGTTGTTAACTAGCAAAAAATTCAAGACAAATAATGCATTCTTCAAAACATGAACCATCTTCGTTTGATAAATGTATTGTTTTTTACCATGCATGTTAGAATGCCTATTTGTGAGTGTTAAAGATAGACACCTAAAACTTAAGCTCTTAGGTGAATGTTCAATTGTTCATGAATGGTTAACCTCCTCATGCAAGAGTGTCTTTGGCAATTTGAGTTTTATTTTGAAGAACGTAACAACAAAGACCAAATAATTTTATCATAAAAGCATCATGTCAAGGATTATCATAAAACCCTAAGATATTAGGTGAAGGATCATGGCTGGTTTGTTACATTTCTGGCATTTGAAGTTATATCTTGTGTTTGTAATTGTTGTTACAGCATTGGCGCTGAGCATATGAGACTTGCATGTCCTGATCTCATTAAAGCTTGTGATGAGAAGCACAAAAACAAGTAAGTTCCATCTTCATTATCATGTATTTGATGTTTGTCTCTAAACTATTGATTTCTTGTATCTATTACAACTATTTTTGTTGAAGAAAACTGAATAAGATGCAGGCAACAAATAAGGAAAAATCTCTACTCTTAACTCTCTCCCTCTCTCTCTCTCTCTCACACACACACACACACGGACGCACACTCACAAGGTGTTTGGTTTCGTGGTCTCCAATATAATGAAACACAGTAAACTCTTTCTCCATTCAATTCCACTCCTAATCACCATTCGAAACTTAACCTAAGGTAGTCATCACTCTGCTATTAATGTGTATCGATTAGAGCATAGACTATAGAGTTGTTTGACAATTTAAACCTTCTTTGCCATGTCACATGATCAGCTTCTTGTGATATGACTATCCTATCTGCTTACATTTATCTTGTTTTAGCATTCTTATCACTGTATGCTTGCTGTATCATTGGCCTATTTTAGGGTTGGCTTAATTCACACACTTGTACTTAAATTCAAAATTTATATATTCATGATGATTAGAATGAATCTTCCATTTCATTCAATGTTAACTAAATACAACGTTGTTTTATGTTATATGTAGTCCCAACTAATTTTTGTCTGTGAACTTTGTTGTTCAGTTTTCAAGTAGCCCTGCCATGGTTACGAAATGAGTTTGATCATACCAGGAACAAGTTGGGTTCCTTTGTTCAGGTACACACTACTATTTCTTTTCTCTGATGAAGACATCAACATGTTCAGGAAAGAAGAGAGCTGCATGAACTCATTTAAATTCTTTAAAGTGCTCTTGGGCACTGACTGCTTGATAGGAAACAACTATGAGCAAGTCAGTTTGTTTTGGTTACCTGGAATTGCAAAGCTCGTATTGTATAGTAATATTTGATTGCTGTAATTAATTTACAGATGGAGCGAAGAATTATCAGACTTGAGAGTGCTCAATCATCAAACCAGAGTTCACATGCAACTAGTCTCAATTGTCCTTCAGCTGGATCAGATTAATGCTGCTTTTGAAAAATGTGTTGTTTTGAACTCCTGGATAGTTATTGACTCGTGTTTCAGTTTCCTGTAGACCGATGCTCTCTTTAGAAACGTGATCGCTTAGCCTATTTTGGTTTCTCCTTTTTTTATTATCATTTGTGCTGTTGCCAACTTTTCCATTTGATAATGGATCTCATGTATTCGACTTTGTAACGATACACTTGCAGTTTGCCGACGCTGTATTGTGGCTTTCGTAGTTACTTAAAACTGAAGGTCGTGCTAAAGTCAAGTGATAGCACCTCCAGCAGTGATCTCTGAACATTCTAAAGTAATACATGACTTCGTGTCCTTAAGTTTATGGCAGCTTATAGTAACTCACAGGGGATTTGTTTAGTACGTATATCCTGCACGTAAATTCCAAGCAGTCCCAGCGTCAGAATACTGATTTGCTTATATTATTTCAGTCTTCGACAAGTACTAGAGCAAGGCTCCATTTAAAATATTTGTTGCAAAAAATAAACCCTTCTTTGGTTTTGAGTAAAATGCATGAATATCCAATGTAAAAAAAAAGTCGCGATTGCTTTTTCGGTTGAACATTTTGGTCTAAACTTAATATAAATCATACACGGATGAATACGTAAGTATCACTTTCGCCCGTGGAGGCCATCGTTGGCCCCATCGAAGTACTATTCGGTGAATAGATATTGGCTACCCAATCTGGGCTTTTAATATATATCTGGGCCAACGAATTTTGAAATGGTGGCATTATCGTCATTTCGCAAAGCTGAAGGAACGAAAGTATTGTGGTTTGTGGATGGTTGATTACTTTCTTTTTCCTTATCCTCTTATTCTCCCGCTCGCGCCTTCTGTCTGAAACTCCCTCAGGCAAGAAATGGCAACTATAGTTGGCCACCACCATCGCCTATTCTCTACCGTCACGCCCTTAAACTCCAGAAGTAGAGAGTCGCAGTGGCGAGGGAACTACGGATACACAGTTCGATGTGCTGATGTTACGGTAAGCACGAGTGAGAATCGGCGTATCAGAGTGAATAACGGGAACGATTCCCTGGACATATGCCGAGTACTAAACGGAATGTGGCAGACCAGCGGAGGTTGGGGCCGAATCGACCGAGACGACGCCGTCGAGGCCATGCTCCGCTACGCCGACTCCGGCCTGTCCACCTTCGACATGGCCGATCATTGTACTTACTCTACTCATTTTCTTCTCTCTTCTCCCACCTGCTTCTGTGCTGACGTGGAGTTTTTTGATTGGCATGTTTTTCCGCCCTCCCTAATTAATCGATTTTTTTTTCAACTTATTTTTAAAAAATATATTTTTTATTAATTTCTTGAAATAATTTTTCAAAAATAAATAATTATATTTAGTATTGTTTAAAATTTAAGTGTTGATAAACGCGCACTAAATTAAATAATTAATTGAATCTCATTTAATTACATTCTTCTGTATTTTCAACCATGCACAGTTGTATTCGAAATGCACATATTTTTTAATGTGTCACTAATGTATCTTACTAAATATTTTAAATTATTAAAAATTCACATTAAATAATAATTTATATTTTAATAATAATTTTTTTGTATATTCTTAATATGTATTCATAAATATAATATATTTTTTTAATTTTTAATTTTTGTGAAGAGAATATTAAATAAAAGTATATTTAATATTTTTAAAAAATGAGAAAATGTTTTATCACTTCTTCATTTATTAAATAAATGAAAGGATTAATAAGAAGTTATCGGAAATTTTAGAATTATTCTTAATCATTAATTTTCATTGTAATTGGGTTCTTAAATGGATTTGGTCCTCTCATGTCGATAATGCAACAAACGATTTTTTGTCTTTACAATTGCTCACCCCAAGTCCCCAACTGAGTTTGGCATTAATTTTTAATGACAATAATTTATTCTCCACTTAATATTTAATTTTTGGCAAATGGTAATCGATTTGATAACATTCATTATAGTAAATTTAATGTTTTTTATTATTAAAAATATTTAATAAAATATAGAAATATATTACTTATTTATAAATTAATATATTCAAAAGATTAAATAAAAAATCATATATTTTTCTAATTTTTTAATTATTTACAAATATGTTTTAAGTAATTTTTATATAATAAATACTCTTGGTATTTTTAAATTTTATGAGATACAGATATAGATTTTATGTAGAATCTAAAATTTGTCATCAATGGATTGTATTACGGATAGTCTAAAACAGATAAATATTAACTATGGCAACGTATTCAGATATATTGGAAGAAGAAATGCAACCACATAAAATAAAATGACAAAATGTATGGTGGAGAGCAATGGGATGCCGATATAGGATAGAGCACTATGACCATGGCTTTATTTTATGTTAGTTGTTGGAGCAACACGAAAAATTGTGGAAGGGTGCAACCTTTTCTCGTGTGTCTGCTACTGCTAGACCTATCATAGGCACTCGATCAATTTGGAAATGTCAGAGTTATTGCGGCATTCTTTGAGCAAATTTACTTTCAGTTCAAACAGAACACCAACTAGGAGAGGAGTGGTAACACCAAAATATAAGCATCTGAGACCATTTCAGTGTGTGCTCACACAAGATAACCGGCAGATTGTTGTCAACAATGGCAGTGATTCATTGGATATGTGCCGGGTTGTGAATGGGATGTGGCAGACTAGTGGTGGGTGGGGCAGAATTGATAGGGATGATGCTATTGATGCTATGCTTAAATATGCTGATGCTGGACTCACCACCTTTGATATGGCTGATATATGTATGCAATAGCTGCTTTTACTTGCCTCCTGTTTGAGCCCATGTGCCCTTGCTTGCTACCACTTATGATGCATCTATCAAGTTACCCGTTGAAGAGTAGAGACTTGTGGTTCATTTGTCGTGTTCAAATTTTTTAGTGTAGGGTGCGAATATTATTAGATGTTATAAATGTGGATTCTTCTCAACTTGAGCTGCATTTTGTATGTCTGCATAAAAGTTGACTTTTTGAGAATCGTTATCTCATCGTTGTGTTCTCGAGGTTTTGCAGATGGGCCTGCTGAAGATCTGTTTGGGATTTTCATTAATCGAGTACGACGTGAGCGTCCTCCAGAATTATTGGAACAGGTCAGAGGGTGAGTTGATTATGCGACTGCATATTCTTTTCTTAATTCTTTTGTCAGTAAAAATCTAAAAGAAAGTATTTTCTTAGCCATTGTATCATTTGATGCAGTCTCACTAAGTGGGTGCCCCCGCCAGTTAAGATGACAAGTAGCTATGTTAGAGACAGCATTAATGTTTCAAGGAAGAGGATGGATGTGGATTCCTTGGACATGCTTCAGTTCCATTGGTATTTAACCTCTCTCTATTCTGGTTATTTGATCTACTAACTATCATGGGTGCAGCAGCTCAACTCTTGTCAACATATTACAATTCTTAGTTTATAGGGAAACTTACAACCATTAGCATTGTTCATGACATGAAAGAAGAAACCTCATCGATTTTGCTTCCTAGTCTGTTACAGAAGTAGTGAAATGTGTAATTCATTAGTTTATAGGGAGACTTACAACCATTAGCATTGTTCATGGCATGAAAGATGAAACCTCATCGATTTTGCTTCCTAGTCTGTTACAGAAGTAGTGAAATGTGCTATCTAGGTAAACTACTGTTGAAGATTCTTTTGACAATTCTCCTCGATATATCCTTAATGGATTTAGGTGGGATTATTCAAATTCAGGCTACCTTGATGCGCTAAAACACCTTACAGACTTGAAAGAAGGAGGTTAGTTTTATTTCTGGTTAAAAGTTATGAATTCACATGTAAGTTCACCTTTCTTGCTTTGATCAAACTACTTTAGTTAGCCATGTACAGGTAAAATCAAGACGTTGGCTCTGACAAATTTTGATACAGAGAGATTACAAATTATTCTTGAAAATGATATTCCTGTTGTAAGCAATCAGGTAAATCCAAATGCTTTAATTTCTCTCTCTCGGTTCTTTTAATATTAACTTAATAGTTCGTGATTCTTATTGGTATCTTCAATGTCAGGTGCAACATTCAATTGTTGATATGCGTCCCCAACAGAGAATGGCAGAGCTTTGTCAGCATACAGGAGTTAAACTTATAACGTCTCTCTCTCTCTCTCTCTCAGTGATATAAAAAAATTATTTGAGCCACAGAAAATAGTTCCCCCAAATAAGAGATGAAAGTTAGTAGAAGAAAACTACAAATATTTTCCCCTCAGTTGATCAGTTTGTGATGCAGGTATGGGACCGTGATGGGTGGTCTATTGTCTGAGAAGTTCCTTGACACCAACATAGCTATTCCGTTTGCTGGTCCTGCAATTAACACACCCTCCCTCCAAAAGTACAAAAGGGTACGATTTCATACCACTAGTAGTTATCTGGAGTTAGTTTAAGAAACTTTTAGCACCTTCATCTGTTTTCTATGGAAAGTTTATATCCCTTCTAAATGCACTATAATGTAATAAAACTAAGATAAGAAGTTAAGGTAGGATGGTTTGGCAAAGGGGAAGTTGTTAATGATAAATAACCCTGAATCAATATGTAGGCTACAACAATTCAAGTTGATAATTGATGCTTTTCCTGCATGAGAGAACATTAGGAGTGTGGGGTTTGGATTTTTATCCTTGTGACGTAATTATATTCATGCGTTCCTGTTCTTTGCATCCGGTGGCAGATGGTAGATGCTTGGGGAGGATGGAGTTTGTTCCAGGAACTGCTTCGGACTCTTAAACAAGTAGCTTCTAAACATGGGGTTTCGATCGCAACTGTTGCTGTGAAGTATATACTAGATCAGGTGAATTTGATTTATTCTCTCTACGGGAATTTGCTGTTCTTATTAATTTAAATTCTCATTTTCATGTTACATTGGACGAGCCTTGATTTATATCCCTTTGTTTTGGTTCCTGTCAACCATGCAGGCTGCTGTAGCAGGATCAATGGTTGGCGTGAGACTTGGCTTGTCAGAACATATTCAAGACACGAATGCTATCTTTTCACTTGTTCTTGATGAAGACGATGTGAACAGCATAAGAGAAGTCTCAGGGAAAGGAAAGGATCTGCTTAAAGTGATTGGTGATTGTGGAGATGAGTACAGGCGTGCATGAGTTATTTTATGTTGGCTTATCAAACCTAGTGAATGCTTCAATTAATTTATATAGGACAAGGAGATGAAAAGGGGAATTAAAAAAAAACATAGGGAAGTGTTCAAGCCCAATTTTTGGTTTGTTGAAGAATTTGTTTGAAATACTTTCATGGAGTACTTAGTACCGGTCAAGAGACAAAAGAAATGTATTCGGTAATATATCTTCAGATTCGTGCAAACTTTCCTCACATATTGGCCACCTCGAAGTATAGAAACTTTGGTGGATTGCTGAAAAAGAATTACACTTCGCTCTATCTAGACTTCTATTTCTTGCATGCATGAAAGTATTTAATGATCCATTGTGGGAGCTTTAGGCTATCGGTGTGAATAAAAAGATAGGACTCGGATCATTCCTCCAATCTTTTTGCCACTAAAAAGGAAAGAAGTGTATTTCTTTTTCCCCTTGTATGATTTCACTGGGAGCAAAGGATTTTGAAAACAACTGGACACATTTAGATTGGATTAAGATTTATTTTAGAATCGCATTAAAATTAGACTCCAAATGTATGGGCATTTTTTGTCATATTCAAATAACTGTTGAGATGAACTAGGTTTATATGTTTGAAATGCGTGTTTTTTATTTGTAATTTAGGAAGTATAATAAATGAAAAAATATGCTCAAATTGCAACTGATTAAAAACAAGATTGGTCTGTGTTACTAAAAGAATACTGTTTCTTTAATTTTAAGAGAGTAAACCATAGAAAACCCATTTTGCTTTTTATTCGATGTTTAAGATGATAAATCAATCACAAGCAAGAATTGTTGTAATCTCAGGTAAATTATACTTATTTATAAGGAGTTGACCTTAAGATCTTAAGAAAAGGCAATCATTGAGAGTAATTTTTATGTGGTGTTTGGTTTGACCTATATTTTTTATTTGACATTTGGAATAAAGAAGGAAAAAGAGATCCTAAAATTAGGTTATCTAAAAATTCCTTTTATATTTTTTCCATTAAAGAGAGCAAAAAACTACTTTTACTTTTTAGAACTTTTCTAAAATTGAATTTGATTTGGCTTTTTCTTAAAAAATATCCAAAGGCATTACAAATTAATTCACAATTATGCTTGTGAAAATACTTTAGTTAAAGAAAAAATTAATTTCTGAAAAATTAAATACATAACCATTTATAGTTATAAACAGTTGTCATTTTAAAAAGTATGAATTTTAGTTTCAATTTATTATTCTATAATTTTATTATCTTGAGTTTAAGTTCTAGTAGATACAATTATGTTAAATATTTAAAAGAAGATTTTTGTCATCCATTTCGACGTAGTTATTCTAAATATTCACGTTAAAGGTTATTTTCATTCGTATTTTATTTTTTAAATAAGTATTGTTAATTTGCTCAAAAATTCTTTCAAGAAAAACAAAGTTTATGGGCTACTAGGATAAACAAGAAAAACATAAGAAAGGTCCAGTATAACTTGAGCCCAAGCCCGAGCCCGAGCCCGAAAAAGCTCCTCTTCCTCTGTTCATTTTCCCTTCAATTCTTCAATTACCACTCACTTAGCAATGCCACCAGCTTTCGCTACGATACCAATTACAGTACCGTAATTCCCAATTAATTCCGTTTCAGTAACACCAAAAAGAACAGAAAAACCAGAATTGTTGCAGAAAGGAAGTAATCATGGATGGTATGCTATCTCACCCACACTCATTCTCTTTACTTTTTTGTTTTGGTTTTTTCAATCAGAATGGAAATGTTCACATGTTGATAAACTTATCTGTGTGTGTGTTTCAGTTGATTCGCAGCCAACGATGGATGAAACGATATTGGTCGGTGATGATTTAATGACGGGTCCTCCATCACCTGTGGTTCCACCGGAAATAGCCTCTCATGTCCTTCAAGGTGTTGATTTCTGCGATGGAATTCTCAGAAATCTCTTTCTCTGTAAGTGTATATACCATTCATCTCATGCCCCTCCATGTCAGCTACACATCTCATCTCATAGAGAAGGAAAGGAAGAGCACCTACAAAGTTCAAACCCTAATAATTCAAGTGCATAAATTATTATGGATCATAAGATTCATCATTAAAAAAAAAGCCTTGAGGTTCATGTTTTTATTTTCATTTGATAGCTTTGGAGAGATGTAATGGTATGAATTAAGTTGTTGCTTTTATTTTTGTTGTTTTAGTAATTAGAATTAAGTAGGAGCATTCGATATAACTCGTGGGATTTTGTATGACTATAGTGGAGTTAAATACGTGCAAAGAAAAGTGAGTAACCACGTTGTTCTTCAGACTGGAGAAGTTAAAGTGTTAACTTCTACAAGGTTTTAATCTACTGATAATGCAATAAGTAAATATGATTCTTTATGTTTGTTTTGATTAAAGGTTTTAAGATTATATGTCTGTTACTGCTTTGTCTTGTTTGAATATCTTATAAGCTTCATTTAAATCTTGTAGGCTTGCAAATCAATGACATTGAACCTTTTTGTCAAGATGAGATTGCTCTATATAAACAATGTTCTGAAAGAAGGGTGAGATCTTGTTATCACTTATCTGTTTCAGATATTCTTTTATCTGTTCTTGCTTCTTCCTTTCTCCATCTCTTCCATTTTACTACCACAACTCATATCTTACCTTCTTTGAAATATCTTTACATACGTGCAGTATTTAGTTATTGTTAATGTTGGAGATAGAAATTTAGGAAGTGCAGTTCAGTTTGTTAGATCTACATCACTTTTTGTTCCATTTTTTAAATAAATTGCAGGATAAGGAGATAAGAAATTTAGTTATTGTTAATGTTGGAGATAGAAATTTAGGAAGTGCAGTTCAGTTTGTTAGATCTACATCACTTTTTGTTCCATTTTTTAAATAAATTGCAGGATAAGGAGATAAGAAAGCGGCTTCAAGATAGTGAATTCAAATTGGGTTCATCAATGCCTTTAGATGAAGCCAAGGAGAGGGCTTCTCAGCTTGAGGCAGAAGTTACATCATTGGAGAGGTACGTTGGAATGGTCATAATGTGATCCATTGTTGGTAATTTGTGTAACATATCCTGAAGGAGCATAAAGCGAGCTTATAATAGATCCTTAAAAAGGGATTTTCCTAAGATTTCAAAACACAAATTCTGGATACCGCTTTTAGTTATCTTTTATCATTAAGCATCTTATTGCTTTTATTTTGAGGAAGCTGCGGCAGCATCTTGCTCTTCCAAAAGTATTATTGGACTTGTTCCCAAAACATTAGAGATGGTAGGAAAAATATTTGTTCTCACTATCTGCCCTTCAAAGAAATCTTTTTAGAAAATCAAAATTCACGACTAAGTGTTTTTTTTTTTTTTAACTGGTCACTTATCTAGGGGACCTTACTTTCTTAAGGTTTGCAATGAGTTTACAGTGGTGATTCCCTCTAGGCATTAATAACTTGAAACTACATTCAGAAGTGCCCTTAGATTGCCTTATAGTCTTCAATATTTTTATTGTCTAACATTGTCTTCATGTGTGTCACTTGGACACACACACACTTAGACAATATTTCTGTGCCTTCAATCTTATGTTATATTTGGCGTGTGAATGTAATGTAAGAAATTTCAATCCATGGATGTCTTGCGTACCTTCATTTCAAATGTGTAGGCGCCTAATTCTTGCTAGTGGAGTTGAGGGCATTGAAGGTTTCCGTCAAAGGTGGAGCTTACATGGCCGCCTTACTGATTCCAAGTAAGGTTTAATCACCCATAATTGTGTTACTGTCTCTCCTGCCATTCATGAAATTCTTTTGTCATTTGTCAATCATACCGGCTGTTTTTTTTTTTTTTTTGGCTATCTAGGCATCTGATTCATAGATCTCATACACATTTGGAATTTCAGTTTCTAGATATCTTTTAAAAAAATTATTGCTATCAAGCATGATTATTGGATTATTAAATGGTTTGGACCTGCCGCCACCATACTATCCGTGCGGAACTATGGACATTAGTCTGATCATATGGGTTTGCAGTTTACCTGTTGCACAGTGGTATATGCCTTTGGTTTTCAACAACTAAATATTGATTTTTTAAAATGTGGTTGATTGCTGGTACTATTAAATATTCTTCCCTGCTTTTATTTACCTTGTGCAGTTGTATTTTTTAAATGTGAGTTTTATGCAGAAATAGGTTGCAGTTCTTGAAGCAGGGCATAGATAGCAGAAAGAAGTGACGAGTCCATTGGGGAATCAGCTACCAAAAATTGAATCTTAGTGGTGAAGGATGAACCAGTATCAAGGTAGCACCATGCCTGCTGCTCCCTCCCATTTTTTTTTCTTCTTCTAAATTACAGAATTTCTATTACTTTTAACCATCATTTGTATGACATGTGTATGTATACGTATTAGAGGAATTTTTTTTATCCAGTGTTCAAAATGATAAATTAACCAAGAGTTGCAGGTTTTAGTATGTAAGCTGCATAAAATATTGTACGAGGCAATTGTTGCATTTCCTTTTTACATGATCCTGAAACACGCGGGCTTAGCTACTTTCATTGCAACATGTATTACTTTTTTTTTTTAAATTATAAAATTTATACACATGTCATAACATGATTGAATTTATTAGAATCATATAGTTCTGCACCATATAAAAATATCTCCTATTTTACAATTATACAATAGCAAGAAATACCTTGCCTAAAAGCCCCCAAAAATGGTAAATCAGTTGAAAAAATAAATGCAGAATCATTCATAATTTTAAAAAGTGTATTTAATATTTAAAGATATATGCAATATTATTTTCTTTTTTCATTTTTCATTTAGAAATAAATAATGTAATATTTTCATAGTGTGTTTAGATAAAATTTCAAGGTAATGTATTTGTAGAGTGGAATTAAAATGATTTCAGGTGAAATGCTTTGCCTATTTACTAAATCAAAAATTATATTTTATCTATCTATCTATATTAACGTAAAAACTTACTGAGATGAAGGCTGAGTCTACTTTAGGGGTTGCACCAGCTCTCTGTTATATTGGTAATTTTAGCAGTGATTCTAGGTTATGGGTTTTGTTTTAGATTTTCATATTGTTATTCCAAAAAGATTAGAGCAAGTATATTTTGTATTAAAATAATTACTAATCGATGCATTGTTATGTTATATTTTGGGGGTAGAAAAATCCCATTAAATGATGTAACCCGAGGCAACTCTTTTAGCATTTTTGTACAAAAGAAAATTGCAGTTTATTTACTATTTTATTTGTGAAAGCTTATCTAAAAAACAAATTTTATAAATTGAAAACAGAAAAACACTTCAAACACGTTCTTAATTTTTGCTCATGAAATTTATGAAGTACCTTAAATAATGAGAAGAAAAGTCTCGTTATAGTATAAATATAATTCAGAAGTTTTCTAAGAGTGTTAGATAAGAAAATAAAAATGATAACTTTTTTATGGAAAAGCATTTTCACGCGCTCTTGCTGTAATTTTCAATACAACTCAATTTTGATTTTCAATACAAAATCATTGTTAACTAGTATCTTTTGACTATTTGTTAACAAAACTTAATTATAATTCATCCCTTCCCTTGTATTATAAATATAATTTTTTATTTATTTATTACTCTATACATTAAAATTTAAAACGTATAACTTATGAATTGAAATTATATTTATTTATACTTATTTATCTTTAAAATGTATTTAAAGAATTAATTTAAAACCTATAAAGTCACTCATATTAACTGTATCTAATTATTATTCTCTACATTAAAATTTGAAACGTAAAACTTACTGATTGGAATTATATTTTATTCATACTTATTATCTTTGAATTGTATTTAAAGAATCTTTATTAGATTTGATGAATTATAGGAGAACGACAAGTTCCAATAAAGATAAATAAATTTTTCTTAACAATCTAAATTCAACAATAAATGAATGGAAAATAAAAGTGTGAATATCACAACTGTGATATTTAATTATAAAAAATATGAATATATATATTATAGGTAATATTTATATTTCTACATTAAGATCAACAAAGAATTATGTCAATATTGACATACCAGAAGTTACTCATTTTATAGATTTATTCAAGTATTAAAATTGTTTAAAATCTCATTGTTACATTAATTATTGCTAATTGTTTACTTTTTATTTTAACTACATTTTCAATTATTCATAATCACTTTGTTGAAGGAATTTTAATGATATGTATATTGCTCACAATGTTGATAATACATGATTTACTATTTTTTCTAAGTTATAAAATTTCAAAAACATATTTGAAATATTGACAATGGTAAAATCAAAGAGTGATATAGTAAATTTAATCTCTCTTATACTTTTTTTTTTATTTAAGTTTTAAACTAATTTTTTAATTAATTTTCAAAATATCGTAATTGGTTGTATTATAACTGTGAACAATGTAATGCTTAAAAATAGTTGTTATTATATTTCTTGCTCTCATTGCAAGAAGAAAGTTTGTTTCACAACTACAAATTTTAAAAGTAAATCATGTTATAAAGACGTATAGTATCCAATGACAAGGTAATTAATTTATCACTATGTATTCTAATTTTTAAATTTTTATATTAAAATAAATTGAATTATATATTATTACCTTAATTTATACACATTACAGGTTTTGTCTCGAGCTTAATCTTAAAGATTTTACAGATTCAACTATATTTGTCTTATTTGATGAGGTTGTTGAACAATTAACATAAGTAAAATTATCAGATCGTATTGCAACATTTGAAATTGTAAGCAAATGTGTTAATTTCCAACTTCTTATAAATAAAATATATTAAAACATATAACTATTTTTATGTGATAATTTTTTTAAAGGTAATGGTGAAGTGTTAAAGTTGACTCCACAACTTTTAAAAATTATTGACACTTCACATATTGTTCAAATAAAAATGAGTACCTACTTTGAAAGTCGTGAAAAATAAAGTTTTACTGCAAATAAATTGTGAAACCGATAATGAAAGTAATATAGAAAATTAAATTGGAGTTTCATTACTTTCATTTATAATGTTTATAATACAATGATGAATAACTTTATTTTCATTATTTATATTTACAGATAAAAAAGGAAGAAGGTATAGACAATACAAATACAAAAACAAAAGAAAATGATTTAGCAATAAGTTATTCATCTATATCTCTAACCATAGAAACACCAAATTTACAAAAAAATAAAAAATAAAAAATATTGTATCAATTTTAAATTTATAATGTATTGTTCAAATTTCTTAGATTAGTAATTTATATTTGATATTTTCTTTTAGGTTATAACTTAAGGAAAACAAAATAAAAAATTGTGAACAAAAGACAATAATGTAGGATTTAGAAAATTAAACTATTTTTATTGCAGTATTGTATAAATACTTTTAGTATTGTGTAAAGTCTGAAAAGTAAGATGTCACAAAACATTTAAGTATTTTATAAAATAATTTTGTTATTTTATTATTATATATATTATGTATTAATTTTGTTCTTAGACAAATCTTATATGTAATTCATAAATTTTATATTATATCAACATTTATAAATTTAATTGATATAAAGACTAATTTTTGTATTAAATACAACAAATTTTCTTTTTTAGTTTCTACCTAAATCTTAATTGAAAATTTTTAACTACTCTTTCTTTTTCCTCTATTATTTTAATTTTTTTAGAAAATAATGTAATAGAAATTGATATATCAAAATTATGTATAACCTATTAACATAGATAATATTTTATTTATATTTTATATTATAATAATTATGATGACAAATTTAATTTTTTTAAATTAAAAAATTGACAATATTCATATTTAATGATTTTGTTGCAATATTTTTTATAAAATGCTATAATAATGATGATAAATTTAAAACTCTTCAATTAAAATTAATTAATTATAATAATTAAAATAAATTAAAAATTACTAAATATCATAACAATGAAAATAAATATAATTTAACTATTCTATTTTCATATTTAATAATTTTATATCATAATGAATAAAAAAGTAAAGAAAATATAATGTTTTAATTTTAAATTAAGTTTAAATGTTATATTTAATTTATATATATATATATATATATATATATCATTTATTTTAAAATTTTATGAGTATGAAGTCTAAATTTTTATAACTATTAAAAGATTTTAAATCCAAAAAAAATAGAAGTAGTGTTTAAAATGTTATAAAAATATTGTTTATATTAACATATCAAATTATATTTATTTATTAGAATTTCATATTCTAACTATATGATTATTTAAAATTTTTAGATTGAAATATAAATTCTAATACTTTTGAAAATTTGTATGATAACATTCAATTACAAATGCAAATAATAATATTTCATAATGAAAAAATTTAGTCATTTTGTGAATTTATAATTAGTTTTCAAGATATAAATTAAAATGTAGATATTATATATAAAAATATGAAATCAGTACAAATTTTTTATTAATATAATTATTTATTATGTTATATTCTTAAATTATATATTTTGTAATTAAAAAAATTAAATCAAATTCACTGAATATTAACATTTTTTTATAAAATTAGATAACGTATGAGAAATTGACAAAAAAATATATCTAAAAACAAAAATTAAATATCTAATTAACTATTTTTGCATCAAAATGGTTAAAACACATTTATTTTTTAATGGCAATATAATATTTTAATGTATTTATATTAAAGTTATATTTATATATCTTTAAAATAATTAGAGACCTAATAATAATATTTTTTTAATTTATTTTTTGTTCAATCTATGTGTTTTATTTCACATAGTATTCTAAATTTATTTTTTAAATTTTATTTATATTAATATTTATTCTTTTAATAAAATTTTTAAAATATTATTAATTATTAAATTAGTTTATAGATATATTTATCTTTATTAATTCTTAATTAAAATGATAAATAATAAATAAACTGTATAATTTTGTTTCAAAAATTAAAAATAAATATGTAATAAAAAATAATAAATTTATTATTTTAATTTTATTGTCAAAATAACATAATTTTATTATACTTAATTGATTATTAAATAAAATTTATTTATTTATAATGTCAATCAATATTAATTCTATTAAATTATCAAAAAATATAAAATAATTTAATCATTTAAAAAAAACTCAATTCCATATGTTTTTTTTATCAAAAAGTAAATTTCCAAATTCAGTATATATATTATATGATTATTAATTTTTATTTATAATATTTCTGTATAGTAATTTTATTTATATATAAAAAGTTTAAAATATTTTTATTTGTAAATATTAATATATAGTTTTGTGTATATTAATATAAAGGTAATTTTTAAAATTTCATTAGATGAATAAATATTTTATTTTTTATATATTAGTCTGATAAGTTCTTTTTAAAAAACATGATATTATATTTTAATAATTATATAGTAAATTTTTATTAATAATTTTAACTTATAATTATAAATAGATAGTTTATCATATAAATTTAATTTAATAAATATAAAAAATATATAAATAAAAAATTATAAGATTTTTTTTACTTAAATTTTATAATACATTTTAACAAATTTATTATATTTAATAATTTATTGTTATAATTATTTATTTAAATTTTTATAATAATAAATTATTTATGATATCATGAAATAATATAAATTTTATTTTTATATTTTAAAAATAAAAATATTTGTATGTTATTTTATTTTATGTTAAAAAAATACTAAATTATACATATTTTAAATAATAATTTATTTTGACAAATTTTTTATTATATTTATATATTTTTTATATTTAAATTATATATTTTATATTTTAAAATAAATTAATTTAATAAAAAAATAAATTATGCAACGCACAGGCATATTTTTTTAGTAAATAGTATAACTCTTTTCAGCATTTATTAGAACTTTTTATTTATAACTTTTTTAAATAATACTTTTCAAATTTAATTTAAACTTTAACTTATTTATTTTTATATTTAATTGTCACATTGTACTAATAAAAATAGTTTTAATTTTAATAATTTATTTTTATTTTTCAATTTAAATATTTATATCTTTAATTTATTCTTATCTAATATAATATAATATTTATGATCAATAATAAAATATGTGTTTTATATTTTTTATAATTTTTTATTTGAACTTAAAATTGTTCCCTAAAGTACAAGAGAAACTTGTTATCCTACTGCCGGGAGGGAGGGGCATTACCGGAAATCCAGAAATGATGGAAGCCCATGAGCTGAAAACCCTAGTTATATATTATGTCCACTTACCCCATGCTCTGCGCCTCACTCTGCAAAAAAACCCTAGCAACAGAGTCTAAAGCAAATTCGCAATCTAGCGAGTGAGTTTTCGTTTTCTCACATCCAATTTCATTTTCACGTGTTGTCGATTTGTGTTAATAACTATTATTGTTGGCTGAATTTGGAGTCAGAGATGAAGGTTATCGCCGCTTATTTGCTTGCAGTATTGGGAGGGAACTCTTCTCCTTCTGCTGCTGATCTCAAACACATCCTTGGCTCTGGTACTCAATTCGTATTCCAAATTCTTAGTTTTCTTAGTTATTTTTTATTTGGTACATTTATTTTTATTAAACATTTCATTAAGCGTAGATTCTGAACTGGGTTCGTAATGCACATTCGTCATATTACCTTTTTCATTCAATCCTATTTAGTTGGAAAATTTGAGACAACTTTTCGGTACTCCTGTTGAATGGGGCTTGATTGCATTTGTAACATGCCAACTACCCATTGGTTTTTTTTCCGCTTTATCTGTTTCTGTTGTTCACCTATCTACTGTTATCTGCTGGCGTGAGATGAAAATGTACATTTTTTAAAATATAATTGAAGAGTATTTTTTTTTTATGAATGTGTATAATACACGAAGCGAGTAAAATTTGAATTGTTTGGAGTGGTTTTTTCTGTGATTTATAGTTGGAGCTGATGCTGAGGATGAGATGATTGATTTGCTCATCAATGAAGCCAAGGGAAAAGATTTCAGTGAGCTAATTGCTAGTGGAAGAGAACAGATGGCTGCAGGAGGAGCTGCAGGTGGTGGTGCTGTTGCTGTCGCTGCCGCACCTGCAGGAGGTGCTGCAGCTGGTGGTGCTGCACCTGCTGCCGAAGCAAAGGAGGAAAAGAAGGTGGAAGAGAAGGAGGAATCTGACGATGTAAGTTTTGACATTGTAGCACTAATTTTTGTTTGGTAATTTCCTGACTATCTGCTAATGACTCTATATATCTTCTTTGTTCTACAGGATATGGGCTTCAGTCTTTTCGACTAGAAGTTTTTAAATGCTTTTTGTATCAGACGTTGGTTTTCGTTTATAGTCTTAGCCGAATCAAAAGGTTTTGTTGCTCGAGTTACATATTGTTTTAGGTTTTATGGGGTTTTGCTTTTCAATTTAGACAATGTATGGCATCAAACTGTCTGATATAATTTAGTATTGTTTTGAATTTAAGTTGTTTGACCTTTTCGTTACTAAATTATATGCATTTCATTGTTACTAGTATAAAACTAGTAGGAATTACTCTTTATCCCGTGTCCTAGTTTCCCTTAATTATGAAATCTATTCATTTGAAGGGTCTGGGGAGAAAGATTAAAGTCAATGAAAGTGTTGGAATTATCAATTAACCCTTGGTTAAGTTGGTTACTTTTGCTGGATATTCTTGAGTATCTATAGATAAAATATTTATTCCTTTCATTTGCCAGTGAAAAGAATTGTTCTTTGTTATATTATCATGGAGTTCGTTTCAGCATGTGAAACAATTGCTGCTGGTTACAACTGCCTGGTAGCCATGTTCATTTCTATAAGCTGCTAGACGAGACTGTCGTGTTAATTTCTATCAATTGTCTGGTCATCGTTGTTGCCATTATCTGTGTCACTTACCTCTAATTTGCTATTATCATCACTATTGTTACTGCCATCGGTCAATACCTGTAGGTTGTCGTTGCCAGCATTATCCTGCAATCATTGCTATCGCTAATGCAACCTTGGCACCATTAGTTATTGGTACTGCCAGTGACCTTAATTGTTTTCCTCCCCTTTCTTTCCTTGTATTGTCGCTAGTTAATCAATGTCATTGTTAAACAAGTACAAATGAAGAATGACGAGTGATTTATGCAATCTGAATTTAAAATTTAGCACAAAAAAGTTTAAAGATTGAAAACCTATAAAAATTTAAAACAAATTGTAATATTTAATATAGATTCAATCTTTCAAATTTTAAAATTGACAATTGTCCCGAATAGGTTATTGGAGGGAGATTGTCTCGGGAATTAAAAAATTTAGGATAAGGAAAGAGAGTATCCTTTTTAACTACCACGGCCTATGATGACTAGTGAGGAAGGGAGAATATAATAACTTTCCGTACTCGTAATTGTGTTCAGTCTTGCTTATTTTGCAGCAATTTTAACTAGACATTTTATCTCACCCGTTCTCTAACTTGACTTTTCTTCCATATGCTAAACGTCGCAGCTTTAATCCCCTTAAATAATGTAGACATGGCAGTTTTTTGTTTCAGGTCGTTGTAACATGCTATATCAAAGGCACTTCATTTCAACAGTACTAGCAACAATACCTTTTTAACACGATATTAAATAAAATTTGAGGGATTCACTAAATAAGAAATATATTTCAGTAGAACTGAAACAAGTGTTGGTAATTTTTCGTTTGGTTATATGTTTTTTAGCAAACATTTTACGAGTAAGATGGTTGTTATTTGTGATACACAATCATAAAATTGACTACAGGATAAGAGTATTTTTAAATAGATTTTTATTGTTGCTTACGTCCCTTTACATAAGAGTAAAACCATGACCTCATCAAAATTTAGTATCAAACACAAGTTTCAGCATTACAGGTTTTGGATGCAGCACGACTATTTCAAGGCTACACAAGCGCGACGTTTAGTAAAACGCCCTCTCAATTGTATTTTCTTATTTTCATTCTCATTTATCTATCCTTACTAGAAAAAAAAAATACTTATTTTTATCTATTTTTGCAAAAAAAAATTAAGAGAATATTAATTATGTTTTTCTAATTCATACCTTTTTACCTATACAAAAATTATACAGACAATATGTAGACTATTTACGATATTTGAATAATCCAGAAATGTTAAAATATTATATTATGAAATAAATAATAGAGGAAACTTCATCAAATAATTCAATAAAATAATTAAATTTTGTAATCTTTAAAAATTTTCAGAGATAAATAAGTTCGGAATTAACGTTCCAAACAAAACCATTCATCCAATGCACAACTGGCTATCCTATCCTTAATAGCTCACACCTCACAGGTGGTGGAAGTGAATGTCCCAGGACTCAGTTTTGAGTAACAGTCTGTTTATAAATCTTTACAATCAGAAATTGTTCTGAATCTAAAGTTTTTTTTCCCTGTAAAACCTGTTTGTAAATCTTCACATAGTTTAGTTAAATTCGATTTTTTTTTTCCATTTATTAAACTGTCTTCAAGGGTAAAACACTGATGGCCGTGTTTTATCAAGGGTAAATTATTAGACTGGCAGTCTGACAGTATAAAGAGGAGGGAAAGTAATTCGAAAAGATAGTAGAGAAAAGAAAAACCCGCAATGACACAATTCATTAAAGTTTTTGAAATCAATTTTTCAGCAAAACAATTTATACCACATTTAAAAATGGTACTAATAAGGCAGGGATATCATACATCAAGTACAGCATCAGAAAATTATACGTCAAACAGTAATATTGCTTAACTGCATTCCTTAGGCATGCAAAGCACATTAAACTGGCAGAGCAAAACAGAAGACGGCTTCCGTAAGTTTTAGCCATAAGTCATAAAGGAAGAGGGAACCTCTGAAGGAAAAGTATCCATGAAAAACAACGGCCACCTCTAGTTAGTATTGTACGTGAAGAATAACTGCCTCGGTTCAGAGGAAACCTATGAAGCTACAGGTTGATGATCTCAGGGAATAAATTTAAAATTATCCTGTTAAAACTTTTTCAGCCACCTATCACCTCAGTCATAGAGACCAAAGACCTTCAAGACTTTGGTACTGTTACATTAAGAATTTTAACATCTTGATATGGTTTGTCTGTCTTGTCTGTCTTCACTTTTTCTATAGCCTGCCAACATCAACGTTCTCAGTTGGTTAGTCTTCTCAGATAAAAAGTCAGACATTAATCAACAACCTAGAAAAGATTTTAACACGATACATTATAGATGAAAACATAAAAGAGAAACGTTTATCAAAAGTTCCATGGACCAAAAGGAAGTGGAGAAGGACTGCTTTGAAAAAAATGTGTGATCAGATGATACAAAAGCTGACATCACAAATGTGGAAATTATTAGGCAACTGATTCTGAATGAGCCTTGATTGTACTAAATGGTTATTCAAGAATAGAAGCCTATTTACCTGTACAACATCCATTCCCTTCGCAACTCTACCAAATACAGTGTGCTTGTTGTCCAGCCATGGAGTAGCCACTGTGGTGATAAAGAACTGAGAACCATTTGTATTTGGGCCAGCATTTGCCATTGATACTGTGAAAGGTCTATCATGCCTCAAACTGCAAGAGAAAAATTATTTGCTATAAGTTCCATCTGAGGCAAAACCATACCAGGAAGTTTCCATATGCCATGCCATCGGCATATCCCCCAAATAACCTGGAGTCTGAAATCACACTTCATTACCTTTTATGAAATTCATCCTCAAATTCTCTCCCCCAAATAGACTGCCCACCAGTGCCATCTCCTAAAGGATCACCTGTTTGTACCATGAAGCCTTTGATGACCCTATGAAAAATAAGATTGTCATAATAGCCATTTCGGCAGTGAGTTGTGAAATTCTCCACAGTTTTTGGACACTCCTCTGGGTACAATTTCATGTGAATATCGCCCATAGTGGTGTGTAGAATCTGCAAAAGAAGAATTGGAATTGTAAAGCTATTTTGTGGGGAACAAGAGGAAATATTTTCCTCTTTCGCATTGGATAATTACTTAAGTAGGATAATATATAAGTGAGAGAAAGATATTGTTTCTAAACACCTTTTTTTTTTTTTTTCTGTGAGACATGTTAATTAAAGTGAAAGCATCCCTGAATTTAATTTTCATTCACAATAACCTCCTATAAAGTCCAACAAAGATAACTCACCACGTTGTCGGGAAGGGATGTTGTAACTGCCTTTCCAATATCTGAAACTGCCAAAAGTTCATCAGCAGGTGGCTTTTCATTGAACACATCTCTTCCCTTAGTTGCATCTTCAGGCTCCTCTGGCTCTCTTCGACTGATACGTGACAAACTCCAAAACTTAGATACACGTTAGACTTATACTTGCATGTCATATGATTAATGACATGCATTAAACAAAATGAAAAACCTCGATGCACGGAGAAAAAACACGACTGGATGAAATCCCCATACATGATATTATCAAACAACACAACTACATAACTTTGGAGTTGAAAATGGTGCTACAATGGTCAGTTAAGTGTTTACTTTCATACCTGAATAAATATATCCGGTGCTTTTTGAAGGCACAACACAGGAGAGTGGGATCTGTCAAAGGCTCCTTGCTCTCATTAGCATTTGCAGCTGCTGAAGGGATCTTTCTTACTTTTTTGCTACTTCGATCACCTTGATATAAAGCTATTCGTAAGAACCTATCATTATTCTCCACCTTTCCAAGTATTCGAGCAACTTTATTGGTGTGTAAATTAACAATCTATGAGCACACATAAGATTTTAAACGCATTAGGGAATTTAGAACCATCTAGTTGCCTCATTGCATTAGAAAACAGTGATGGAGAAGTTATAAATATGGAGAAGCTGAATAACCAAAGGAAGAAAATCTCACTTTGATCCCAAGCAAGGTTGCATATATAAGAAAATTGGAACTTTCGTCAAAAACAGCATTTGGAAGTGGTGCACTTTCTGTCTTCTCGATTTCCTTCTCAACAGCCATTCTTCGACCAAAATCAATGGCTTCCAACCGGTATAACGGAGCATCACTTCTTTGAAGATCTTGAGCAACCTATCAATAAAGAATTCATTGCCATCAAATGTCTAAAAAGTAACAACAGAAAGGATGAAATTGTGCAAAATCTGTTACCTCCAGGGATTCATCATAAACTCGTCTTAGTTTACCAGTTCTGAACCAAAACACACGTATTCTACGGTCAGGTGATGTAATGGAAAATTGATTTCCATCTGGACTGACCTAAAAAAGATGCAATACAGTTAATAAATATTATCAAAGTCAAACATCAGATATCTAGCTTTCAAAAACCACCTAAATAACATCATATTGAATTATCAACTATAAGTTTGTAAGCATGTTCATACAACTGAAGTACCTCAATAGCTGATACAGAAGTCTTGCATTTTACAATTTCAAAGAGGCTAGTATCACTTTTCAGTTTAAAACTGACCCTACAAGCACCAAAGGAAAGGATTAAAGTGCATTCATAACTGCACAAATTCAAACATCCAAAACTCATGCATAACAACAACGCTATGTTTCCAATATTTGGCACTTCATGGCATTCTTGATTACAATACTGATTCACTTTGTAGAGGCTATGACCAACAGCTTATTGGTGGCCCAACTCAGAAGCATTAGATCAGTAGCCATGTGATCAAAGGTGCCAGTCAGGAGGCCATAACACAACATCAGACAGATGTTTGGGGGCAAATGCCACTTCTGAATAGAACAGCAAATATGTTTAATCTGGCAGGGTATGAGATGAGTAAAACGTTCTACAATGAAAAATTTCAAATCAAATTCTAATTTCCAAAATTAAACATATGGGTTCACTTCATATTGACCCAATCCATATCTACATCCACAGGTCCAGTCAGCAGCACTTTAACTAGAATGATCTTACTATATATTAACAGTAGTCTTTTTCATCCTCACCTACGACTATTAACAGTTTATAAGAGATAATCCTGGTCATATTAGTGGCTATTGCCCCTAGTGCTTAGATTGATTCAGTGAGAACAAATTAAAATGCCAAAAATGTGGCTTCAGAACTTTTAAGGTTTTAAATTATCTCAATCCATTCAGCACACAGGAAAGGGGTTAAGCATATACAATGGTATGGCTACCCAAATTATGTAATTTGTAAATTTTTTGACAAACTTGCATGCATATGTTAAGCCCGAGGAACTCAATGGATGGCAGCCATCAGTATTTGAACCATGATGAGTCATTTATATAAAATGAAAGGGGTCAGGACTATAATAAGAAAAAAATAACCACATACTCATTCTCTGGGAATTGAAGTGTAGTAGGGTTCCAGTATTCAATGACCCCCTTTGCATCTGCCGAAAGTACAGAATCATACTCGGGATTGTACTTCATAACTTTAATAGGACCCATATGTATCTGAACAAAAGAGCAAGGAGTGATACAATTAAGCAACTAAATTGTGGAAAATATCACAAAAAAATAAAATAACAAGCTTATGCATTTTGAAAGGTCAATTATATTTAGTTTATAATTCGCACCTCTCTGGAGATTATAGGATCATTTGAACCTGCTCGCGCATCATATATGTGCACAAAAGATGAGCTCCTATCACTAATGGCAAGCCTTGCTTTGACATCCCCTTGTTTGTAAACCCATTCAACAGCGCCAGGGACATATGGCAAGCGTATCATGACCATCATGTCAAAGTTGACTACGTCATATATTTTTACAGAACGGTCATTTGATATCGTACAGCAAAGCAGACCATCAACACTAACCTGCATAGCTGAAATAAGTCATGGTTGATGACAAGTATAACAAGAAGGTTTTGAAAACATAAATACATACAGCAAGACAAAAATATGTCACTGGAATACTCGGTGCCCAGAAAATCAAACTATATAGACTCATAATATTAAGCAAGAATCAATAAAATTATATAAGATTTATGACAAAGGGTTATGTCAGGTTAATAAACTTACAGCTAGACCTTCAATTGGACCAAGATGAGATCTGAAGTGTTTGGCAAACTCAATACCAATAGGCCTTTTCTTCCAAAACTTCAAATGCCCTGACAACAAGAAGTATGCCATCCACAAATAGATAAGCCACAACATCATTCCAATAGCATTCCAAAGGATTAGCTAATTTAAATAAGATCCAGATGCTGCTATTCGATATGCATGCATGCATGTATGTATGAATAAACCAATCTTGCACCAGTGTTGATGCTTCACGTATGTTACATGTCATGGAATATTTTATAAACAAATAACAAAAATTGACAAAAGTAAAAGTAGCAACTAATAGTATCCCTCCATTTAAACTGTTGCTTGAAACTCTCCGCAGTGAACTCAAACTGGCAAATAATTTCATAATTAACACTAATTTTAATATTTTAATTTCTCTGAAGACAATGTTTTACCATCGGCACTTCCAGTAATGAAAAATTCAGCAGCTGAAACAGCGACATGCGTAACCACGTCACGATGCATATAACTCTTCTCGTACCTGCAACAAAAAGCAACTGTTATAAGAAACTGAGGATTTCCATAGCCCTCACCTTTCGCACACATTCACCAAGATTTCATCTCAGCGATACACTTTACAATAGTCGTTCCGAGTTCCAAAATTGAGAGAAAACCCTAATTCCAAAACTAAGGTCTGTGTGTGTAAAAGTAAAAGATGTTAAGCGCAGCAACTAACATGTTAGCAGAGGGTAAGGCATCGAGGTAGGCCTGCTCGAACTGAAGAGGTCGCTTGCGTCGAGCGCGTGGGGCTGGACCAGGTCCTATCAACGCTTCGTCCTCGGTGCCATTCGCGCCATTTTCATGTTCCTCCATTTTCAACCAACAGATTTTGAATAAAGAGAGAGTTTAGAGAAAAACGCAAATATCTTTCTCGGGTGAATGAAAGTGAAACCGTTGCCGCTGAGATGAAAATGGGGGAAGCAGAAGCTTCTTCTGAAGAGCTAACACTGGAGGGGAGTGTGAAGGTGGAACGAAGATCCAAGGGAACCCAAGCTAAGCCCTAAAACGGTACGTCGCTTCTTTGTGCTGTTTTTTATTTTTTGGGTCAGATTTCTGTGTTTTATTATTTTGGGTCATGGGTGAGATTTCTTTGTGTAATTAACTGCAAACGGCCTATAGACGTTGGGTTGGGCCGTACAACTTCAGTGTCTAGTCGTCAAACCCATTTCTTCGTGGCTAACCCAATCCAAAATGTGTTTTTCTTTAAAGCACACTTAACTTTCGTTGAGCAGAAAAAATACTTTCTTACTCTCCGAAAAAAAATATATATTTTAAGACATATTACAAAAATAAACATATGAGACGGATGAAGTATTAAGAATATCAGACTAAGGCTCGTTAAAACTTGACATAAAGTACTAATTTACACAAATCAGTGTTCACACTTTATAAAACACACGCTTCAATAAAAATAAATGGTTTAGACTAACTAATGCATGCATTTTAACCACATTTAGCAGCTCAAAATCATTTTTATTCAATTTTAAACTAAACAAGCACTTGTTTCTATCTTTGTTAGCGACATCTAATAAAATATATTTGTTATTTGAAATATTAGTAAGTATTGCGTTGAAAAGGAAATTATTTTTAAACATTAAATTAGGACAACAAAAAGTTGTTCGTTCCAAATTTGAAGCGCGTTTTTCATATGTTCACATAAAAAAGAAATAAAAGGTTTAATTATATTTTTGTGCACACAATAGAGCTAGATTTTATATTTTATTCTCGTGTTTTTGCTTTAATTATGTTTCTTTTTTTAAAAAATATTTTTTTCTCATGTTGCTAAAAAATAAAGAATAAAAAATTAAGATATAAATTAAGAGTTTAGAGAAAGAAAACATAAAGATATCTTTTATTTTTGGTAAAATTTAATATTTTAATAGGTGAATTTAGAATTTCAATAATATAATTAATCAATTTGTAAAAAAATTAAATTAAAACTATAGTTTTAATAATTTGATGTAGAACAAAACTGATAGAAAGTTTAAAAAAGAAAAATCAAATATTTAAAAATAAGAAATTAAAAAATGAAAATGTTTATTTAAACTATGTGATCAATAATTTAAAAGAGAAAAATGTATTACGAATATTGATAAAATTTGGTGTATACAGACATTTGGCAGCTCAGCAGCTGGTTAATCCCGAAAGCCAATCAGACAGAAGCGTTTGTTTCATAGAAGCTAGGAAATGAACAGAAACAGAAAAGTAAAGGTGGTTATCAACACTCAGTCGTTAGTGGCTACAACCGGGCCCCACTGTTGTCTCATACACGTAACACACGACATTTCACGTGGTCGGGTGCATGTTCTTCACAAATAAAAACGCCACAAAAAACACATATTGGCATATGGTCTTGTACGTCGTTCTATGCAACACCGGACCCGTCCTCGTTAGCTTACCACGCGTTGCCACCGCTTTTCTCGTTCAAGCTCTTCCCAAGTCAACGTCATTGTTTATGCATATGTTGTCTGATCTCGGTGTACCCATATCTATGTTGACCCTTGAGATCACAGCCCCCCCTCCCCCCAAATTAATGTCTACAAACTCAAGAAAATATTAAAATCATATGCATCTGAACTGCTATTGCCAACTAGTGCATTATAAATCACCAACCAAGTAAAGTTTTTCAAGCCTTTCACATGGTACGCCACTCCAACCCCATTATTTGTCATCAAGCTTAATTATCATAGTTGGTTGACAATTACACTTCGCTATTTAAGCCTCTTAAATATAAAGATAAAAGTATGGTGAAAATTTAACGAAGAAAAGGAGGGGGAAAAAGGGAAAAATAATTAAATTTCGTGGAACTATTTTATTAACTGTACTTTTTTCTCCTCCTACCACCATCAATAGTAATCAATTGGAGTCTGCGGACAAGTTTCATCAGATACAGCTTCTTTAATATAAGGTGGGGGCACGAAGGGAGGAGGTGTACATCTTAGTAATGCCCAATTGACACCTTGAAAAAAGGGGTGGTGCTTGATCGCGGAAGCCCCCATTGTTGACCCCAGTCTTCTTGCCGGGTCCTTAACCAATAACTGTGAGATGAGGTCTTTTGCCGTGGCTGGCACGGTGGGTTCCTTTGGGAACTCCAAGGCTCGAGCCACAATGTTTGCTAGAGTTAACTCGTTGTCCATGCCCCTAAAGGGTGTGACACCATAAAACAATTCAAATATAAATACCCCTAACGTCCACCAGTCCACTGCACTACCGTGGCCCTCCCCAGACACGATTTCAGGAGCCAAGTACTCGTGGGTCCCCACGAATGACATGGATCGGACATCAATGGGCTCGGCTACAAACTCAGGCCCGTTATGTTGCTTTTGCTTCTTCTTTCGCTTGCGTTTTGGGTGGAAACACGACACTGCGGGCACTATACAGTTGGGTATTATGCAGGAAGACGAGGTGAATTGAGAGGGTTCCACGTGAGGATCCTTATGTGGGGCCACGCGAGGAGACTTTTGATCCGAGATGATCTGGGCCGCTGGTGTGGAATCATCACATTTTAACGAGAGGTCAAAATCGGTAAGCATGATGTGGCCGTCTGATCGAACTAGCACGTTCTCGGGCTTCAGATCACGGTACACTATGCCCAACATGTGAAGGTATTCAAGTGCCACTAACACCTCTGATGCGTAGAACCTGTAAACACCACGAGATCAAGAGTGCAATTAGCATTAATCAGTCTGCTAAATCCAAAGTACAAGAAGTTAAAGTTAGCCGGAATCCACACATAAGATATGTGTTTGGATAGCAATATGATTGGCCTAAATTTGGCAGAAAATGCAATAATGCTATCTCAACTGGCTCAGAGAAGATTATTGGCCAACATGACACACATAGTATGCACAAGAATATTGGTTGTTAGGCCTACCAAAGGGATCACGAGGATCAGACAGGGACATGAATATCTATCGTCTTGTTTTAATTTGACGTGGGCATAATCTATTTTGCATATTAAGCTCATATCAAGACCTTTAAAACCAAAAAAGCAAAGGACGATTTTTCATATTTAAAATTTTACACACCTTATATCGAGGGGGTTTTGTCTTTTTTCTTTTCAAAAAATATTTCACTCATTACATCTATTTCTTTTATCTTTCTCATCTCACTTGGAGTGCACTTTTATTTTTGGTTAACTTGGAGTGTATATGTGTCAAATGATAAATATTTATGGAAAAAATACCTAACCCTCCAGACCCTAGGATATCAATTTAATTCTAATTTTTGCTTTTGTTGTGTAAAAATGTTTTTCTCAGACTAGTAATTAGTTTTATCGGTTGTAAGACGAAATGTTTTTTGCTTTTGAATTTACCCATATGTTGCGTGTAAGAAAATCTTTCAAACAATGACAGTATTAATATTATTCTCCAAGCAAGAAGGAAGAAGGAAATGAAAAAATGTCAATGACACTGCCATATATATGCGACGAGTTAATTCAAAAAGCTGTATGTTTCACATAAGACATACAAATAATGACAACAAAACAAATGCCGGAAAAGAACTCTTCGTCCAAAGGTAACTCTTATATCCAAATAATACTAATTTCTTTTAAAAAATTTATAGTCAGGTGCACACGAAAGAATACTTGGCTTTTGCTTTCATTGGTATGTGGAGTTTTCTTAATCACGTAAGAATCAGCATCCGCAATTGTTTTTGAAAAAAAAAAGATAAAATAAAATTTCTCGAACGGTCACGAAACAGACAAGCTACGAACACAATTTTTTTTCTTCTCCATAAGTGGGAACATTTGAAAGAACGGGCAAATTAAAAGCAAATTAATTACGTAACATTAGCGAAAAAGATGTTAAAGAAAATTATAGCTGGGTTGCGAACTCTAGAACCAGATTTTATAAGAACATATCCCAATAAGGGGGACCACTACATGGTTAACCTTCCACTCAATTTAAATAAAATAAAAATCCAGAAATCCGGCAAAAAACTAGGGATCCTAAAATAAAGTATATAAATTTCGCCAGAGATCACTGAGTTGATGTGCTCGTGAATTTTTGTCAATCCACAATTAGTATTTTTAAAAATTGAAGATGCAAATTTTAATAAAAATGCACATTACACCTAACCTATTTTAAGAATATTCTGACGTAAAAGAAGGTAGTAATAATTTTAATTTTGACATGCTTCGGAAGAGCAAAACCATTAACCCTTAATTTGCTCCGCAGACAGTAGAAAGGTATCGTACAGCCAGGTCAGTAAAAATGGAGCTACTAGTAGCAGCTGACCTGGGAAGGTGTCGTTTTTGACTTTTGAGAGTAGCGTTTTACTACCTAAATTGTAGGCACATGAAAGAATGATTATCCAATTATTATCGCTTAACCAACACACGTGGTGGCTCAGACACAGCACGCACACGGAATAGAAGGGTTAAAGGAAATTAATGAACGAGGCTCAGCTGGAAAGCCACGTCAAAGTTAATTGTACGTTGACCTACTTATTATAATTATGATGTACTATACACTCCAATTTTCATAGAAGAATCACCCGTATAAGATCAACCATAATTATTACTTTATCAATCTCGCTCCCTAAAGCATAAATAATAAAAATTCATCAATCTTTCACCTAATTTTCGCACGAGTTACGATGTTCAATCAATAATATTTATTGATTTGTTTACGGCGTTAATTGTGAAAAAGGAAATGAAGGTCACCGGAGAAGGGAATAACGGCAGGGGGCGATGGTGACAGCGCGTGGGCCCACACTCACCAACGACAGTGAGACAGAGGGAGAAGGAGGATTTGAGCATGAAGAAAATTATCCGTCACTTTCATCATGTTTCATCGTCGGTTACGATTTATGATAACGGTTCTAGATTTCCACAAGCGGAGCACGTACGCTCGCCGCACAGGATTCCTCTCTCCCTCCCTCCTTTAATTTTCAGTTTTCACGACTTCACTCACTCACCGAAACGGAAAACGGAGCATGATGACAAAAATAAGTTAAATAACAGAATCTAACGAATTACCTGACGGCGGGTTCGGGGAAGCGTTTGTTAGGTTGGCGTTGACGGAGAACGTGGAGGTCACCGCCGGGGCAAAACTCCGTGAGGAGGCAGAGCCATTTGGCGGCGTCGATGGTGGCGTAGAGTGTGGGCAAGAAGGGATGGTCAAGCAATTCGAGAATTTCTCTTTCGGTTTTGGCTCTTCCCTCCTTGCTACGGCTCGCTAGCTCCCTCTTGTCCATCACCTTCGCCGCGAACATCACAGACAGAGAACCGTCGTTGAGCTCCGCGAGATAGACGGAGCTTATGTCGCCGGAGCCGAGGCGGCGAGAGAAGCGGAGGTCGGAGGGGAGGATGCGGCGGCTCGGGGACTCTGATCGGATCCGATGGATGGCGGCCCAGCGAGGGTCCGACGAGGGCGCGTGGGGTTTGTTTAGCGATCTCGTTCCTAAGTGCGCGGAGGTGGAGGCGGTTAGCGTGGTGGTTTCGGAGCCGAAGCTGGTGCTTCGTTTGATGTCGGCGGTGGTGGTGGCGGTGGAGGCGAAACTCAGGCTTTGGAGGTCGTCGGCGAGATCGTCGAGCCATGGGTCCATTGCGTTTTTGGAGAGCACGTTTTGGAGAGTTAGTAGTATAATAAGAAAGGGTTGGGGATGACGAGGGTAACACTCTCACTCATTGCTCTGCTTCTGATTCCTATCTCAAAACGGGGGAAATGGAACGTTCGTTCCCTTTGGGCTTCAAATATACAAGTGGACTCGCTACTTTCATCGTGGGCCTTCCTCATTTATCATCAATTTATAAAGCAACATAAATCTTTTCTTTTTTAATTTTCTTTCATTAGGTTATTATTCATTATTAGTCGCTGTTACTAACATGAGCTTATAATTAATTTATAAATTATTTAAAAAATTAATCCAATAAAATAATTTCATAATCATGAACTAAAAAATTGTAACATTTAAAAAATTTGTTGTAACAACATTCAATTTATAGCTTATGTGTATAAAAAAAATTATCTTACTTTTATCTTTACTGTTTTAAATAAATTACATAAGTACAAATTTCAAATATTTTTCTATCTTCATTTGATTCTAATATTATATATTTTTAATTATTCAATTAATTAAGTTATATTTGTTCAATTAACTTATCGGCCATAAATTATAAGTTTTGCTAATAGAACCTTAGTAGGTGGGCCGAATATTATTATGCAATGGTCACTCTTTGCATAGTGCAGACAGAGTTTTTTATTGCATAGTAGGCACTAACCGAAGTTTCCATTTTCCATTTAATATGGATGCATTGGGGCATCTTTTCCCTTTTAGATTTAAGAGCACTATTATCCTATGCATTATACTCAAATTGATTTGAGTCAGAGAAACCTAAAAGCTATTCTGGCCATCATGAGCGTGTCTAAATTCAAGACCCCTTTCATGTCAATTGAAATTTTATTACGCGTCAACAAATCATTACCGTAAAAGACAACCGCTTAAAACCACCTGATGACTCCAAAGGGGTCCACGGTAGCCTCACCATTATTGTGTTAATTGTGATTAATTGTTAAACTGCAATGCTAGTTTGTGTTCATAACAATATCACCTAATAAATCATAGTTTTGTTTGTTTGGGTCCATGTAGCCACAAGAGGTAAACAGCCAGTTGTTCCATAAATTCTCTCTCAATTTGTTCTGTTCGTATGTCTTCACGGTCAATTCCTCCAATAATTTAGGATTTGGTTTGGATAATAATCCTCTTTTGATGTTTTAAGGGCAAATGCGATGTTCACTATTCATGCATTAATTTAGCTAACTCATGCTAAAATAATTTGATGCGTCTCCTACCTCTGCATGGTAGCTGAGGGTCACTGACTCATTAATACGATGTATCCAACAATCAAAGCTGGTTTTTCTTAAATATATAAATTGTTTTACTTCTGTGACAGGATAACATATACTGATAAATGTTAAATGTTTAATATGGCCTGTGCATGAATCTTGTTGAGCCAATCGGCAGTGTATTTATATTGGAGCTTTAGTAAAATTGTAAAATTGTAAAATTGAAGGGTACATTTTAGCAAATGTAATATTTTTTCAAACCTAAACTTTGAATTTAATTTATTTGCTGAACCTTTTTTTTGTTTAGGTTTAATGCGACCTTTTAGTTTTTCTAATGGACGGGCCTAAGGCCCATGAAAAATGAACTAGAAAACAAAACTGAAGCAAACGCAGGAACAGTGTCGAATTGATAGAGATCCCTATCCATATTCCATAGGAAGACCAAAATCATGAGCCCAACGGATTGACCAGTCTATCCTTGCAAAACCTTGATTAACAAAACAGATAAAAAGCAAGAAAATGCGAACACCCCATTTCCTGAAATCTAAATACAAGAAAGGGTACTTAAACAAACTTTCGCAATAAAACTGTTGAGAATTCAAATTTATAATATATAAATATTGTGTAAATAAGATTATACAAAAGAGTAATTTTATAATTTCTTACCAAAAAAAAATTATATATATTTTTCATTCTTTAATAAAAAAACGAAATGAAAGGTAAATATATTTATTTTAAAAAATATATAATTTTTTTCATATAATAAGAAAAGAATAAAATAACAGTATAAATATATAAAATTAGTCTTAAAATAATAAAAAATTGTAGCAAAAATAAAATAGAAAAATATGCAAACGAAACACAAGACTAGAAGCATCTAGCGAACAGGAAGGTGCGATATGATATAGTGACCCGTAGAACGTTTCTGTCTCCATTAATCAACATCGCTAAAATCAGTGAAGTGTGAAACGTGCTCTTCCATTTTCTCTGCAACACTCATTCCCTTCATTCAAAGTAAATTCCCCCTCTTTACACTGCTTCAGCGTAACTTCCCCCGAATCCTTTGGCTTCCTTTTTTTTTTTCATTATTTTTACTCCGTTTTTATTTTCAATCTTTTTGTTGTTTTCTGTTAATTTGCTCCTTTAATTTGATAATGATCTGCGTATTTTATACATTTCTCACTCATTATGGTTGTGTTAGTAATGCTCAATTTTTCAATTAATACATATACATTGATGTATTTATTTCGAAGGATCCGGTGTTTTTTATATCAGTGTAAATAAAAACAAATGTTTATATAGGCTGCAAATAATTTTGGATAATATTAACTGAGTTATGTGATGTAATTTAATGTTAATGCCATAACAAGTAACAAATTATGAAGGATCATCGTAAATGCACAGAGCAGCGCAATCAACTTAGAATTAGTTACTCATATTTGTGGACTGTCATATTTGAACTGTGAAGTCTGTTGTACCTGTCTGCAACTTCGTTGGGTGCTTGCTGAAGTGTCAATTTTGTTTCTCTTGATAATATACTCTTTTTTTCTCATAATTTACCTTTTTTAATTTATAAATTTTAATTAATAAATAAGATTCTGCTGGTAACATTTCTCTTATCCCTTAAATTGACATTACCACTACTTTTGGCCTTGTGGTTACCAAAAAATAAAATCTTGTTTTATTAACTTTCAATTAATCTGGTCCCTAAAAAACATACTTAGGTTGTTTTTCATGTCATATTATCTTCTTAATTTTCCCTTCTTTGTAATGGGATAAGGCATTTATGAGATCATTAGAGAAGTGACTGGTAGTGACTATGATTTGTAGAATGTCGGAACCACCATTTAGACCACGAGAGAAACTTATTGAGAAGCAGAAGTATTTTCAGAGTGTTCATAAACCCACATACTTGAAAGGGCCATATGATAAGATTACATCTGTTGCAATACCGCTTGCTTTGGCTGCATCTTCATTGTATCTGATTGTAAGTTTTTTCCTTATAAAAAATCTTCATATGATATTGAATTGACTTTAATTTATTAGATTGAATAAATCAACGAGTCTCTTCATATTTCTGGGGAATTTTTTAACGTTATTTTGTGTCGTTTGTTCAGGGACGAGGGATCTACAACATGTCACATGGAATAGGAAAGAAAGAATGACTTACAATTCTGATTGATGAGGTGGGTGTTTTGCAGCACAAGTCTCATTGATCGTCCTAAATATTTACCACTGATTTTCTTTACTTTTGTATATTTGGTGTCTTAATGAACCTTCTTAGTTTGTAGACTTTGATCACCAACAGAGGTTCAAAACTGGGAATGACTGGATGTTCAATTTTATGTTTATCCGTGCTTAGAATATGTTGTACAGAATCAACGTTTTATCTTTACATTGCCTAAAATTATGATTGGTCCTTCGGCATGCTGAATGGATCGGTTGAATTGCATGGCATGACGTTCTAAAATTCTTCTAATTGCATTTTTTGTTTTTGAAATTCTGAAATGCCATGGGCAATTAGCTAGCATGCTCTTGCCATCTCAAATTGGGGTTCTGAATGTGAGCGTGCTAAGGCATATGCAATGATCTCCTTGAGACATTAAATAAAATACTGAAGAACAACATAAATAGAAATATCATGAAATATTGAACTTATGGTCCGTGGCCTCGCTATCATTGAAAATTTCTCTAATAATAATATTCATCGGTCCTACTCTTTGTCTAGAGTGTGGATTTTTAATTTTTTGGTCGGGAACATTAGAGAGTGAATGTGGTTCATGTTTAATTATGAGGAAGCTAATTAGCAGCAGCCATTAGATTGTTTAGCCAACAAGTGACATTCTTCTAAGGATTTTGTGTGGTCCAATTCTTGATTTTTTTTTTTCCCTTTTCCTCTTGTTAATGTTTGATACCAGTTTGGTTCTATGTAATTTACTAAACTTAATCAAGACCTGAAAACTCAATAAAATAAAATAAACTAATCCGTGAAAGAGCATTTGATACATTATATATATTTAATTTATATTTAATGAGTTATAATTTATTATTTTTTATTTAAATAAAAAATTTAAAAGGTTATAATTTATTAATTTTTTTATCTAAATAAAAGTTAAATAAAAAATTCAGATCAAATATAAGAATTTTTAAATTAATATTAAAAAAATCATTTTTTATATATAAGCTTTCCTATCAATTGGAATTTGGAAGATAAATCATTGAACTGCTATCTAATTAGCTTCTCAATAGTTAGGAGCAGTTTGGCAAGGAGAGTTTAGAGGAAAAGAAAGATGAAAACAAATTTTGAATTTTAAATATATATATTTAAAATAAAAAATTAAATTTATATATTAATCTAAATTTAATATATTAATCATGAATTTATAAACTAATTTTTATATGAAAATTTTTATAAATTAATATCTATATGTAAAAAATTTATAAATCAATTTTAATATTAATTTTTTTAATTTAGTTCTTTTTTTATTTAACATCATTTATTTTAAATTTAATAACAAAAACTAAATTAAAAGTAAATATATGTATAAAGATTAATTTACAATTTTTTTATATATAAAAACAAACTTACAAATCTAAGTCAAGTATAAATAACAAAATATTATTTAAACCAAAATCTGAACTTTGTAAATATTTGTGTAGTAAAGAAAAATTATTATTTACTCCTTCAATTTTTTTCACAAGCGGTTGGTTATGTCATTTTGGCTTAATAAAACACAATAATTGTTTGCTTATTTTATATATATATACACACACTTGCTTCATACGATTAATTAATAAGGCAAGAGAAAGAGTTATCATTCCATGGAAAAGAAAAAATGTGTTGTGGTTTGTGGAGCAGCAATGGCAACACCAAAACAGTCCTATGAGGAGCAGCAACAACCGAATCTGTAGCGAGTGAAGAAATGAGGGACAACTAGCTGCAACCAGAGTCATAGAAGAGATGGATCAGCTCTAGTTGCAATGTTCTGAGAAAGGGAAGAAAAAATTGAGAGGAGAAAAATGGAGGTGAGGGATAAGGTTCATGCTCATTTGGGTCCCATGGAAAAGGAAACAAAGCGCTTGGCTGAAATTAAAGAAATCTAACAATGCTGACTTTACCCCCTAATGGTATACTTGATTTTGCTCTAAGCTTTCATGCTATATTTGGTTTATAATCTATGAATAAATAAATATACATTAATCAGGAATTTTTGTCTCTCCATAAGATTATGTTTCTTCTGTTTTCTCTTAAAACCTTGGAGCAATAACTATGAATAAGCAAATATTATTACATTTGCAGTATTCAATGTTCTATACTTGTGTTTAGGAGAGAGAATACAGTGAAGCCTCAAGGCTTTCATAAGAATAACGTGGCAGAAGGTCAACTTGTTACCAAATTAATGAAGGTTAGAAATTATTTATTTATTTGAATGCGTACACAGTTTCACATTTGAGGATGAAGAAGCCAAGCAAAAACGTAGATACCCTGCACTGAGATGCTAATAAATGTAGTTGTGTGGATTCAGTGTGATGTCATATAGAATCGGAATCATTCAATGTCTTATAATTTGTCGTTTCAGTGTATTTTACTGACTAAATTAGGAAAGAATGTCCAGTAAAATAATCAAATGTATTTGATTTTCACAATTGATATACACTGGTATAGTAAAATTTTCTTTTCTCATTTCTCGTATTAAAAAATTATCTTTCTATAAATGTCCAACACACATAATTTAGAAGAGTTTGGGAGAGTTATGACTTCTTTGCCAGGCTTTCAATCAAGACTCTTTATGAATGAGGAGGAAGAAACTTGTAGCTTAAATTGTACGGAAGAAAACTAGATATTTAGGTGTGAGTTGCACGAGTGCTTATTTTTTATTTCTTTTTAATCTTCCGTTCAATTACCTAATTTAACATACAAATTAATTTTCATTAATTCTATTAACGAATATGAATTTGTATGGTGAGATTTTAGATTATGATCTAACAATTCTCCGAAAACAAGAGTGCCTGTCACTGTTTGTGGGCCGAAGACGTAAAATGGCACTTCAATTTTATTATGGTTTGTCACATGGTTCACCTAATCCCTTCTTTATTTTGAGTTTAGGCCTTAATAACATTTCTTACATCACCAATAAACTATTATCAACAAAATCTTGTGTAATTAATATATACTTAGGTCTTTTAAACATATATACTAATCTTAATTTCATTTTTGACTACACATAAAAAAATGAAAAGAGAAGTAAATTTCACAATTTTTATCTTTTCGAAAGAATTAATATATAAATAAATATTTAATTTTATACGATATTAAGTGTGATAAGAAATTAAATATAATATTTTTTATTAAAAATAAAATTTTTAATAATTTGTACAAGTAAAAGAAAAAAAAAGTAACTCCTGTGGTACCATTAAAATTTTTAAAATATCTTACATAAAAAATTATACCTAATAATATTTAAATAATAAATTTATTTAATAATAAATTATTATATTTATTATGTTTGAATAAACTAAAGAATAATTAAATCTTTAAACATATTTAAAATGTAATTAAAATTAAATAAATTAAAATTTAAAAATAAAATAATAATATTATATTAATATAGTATATTATAATTTTTTATTTATATAAATATAAATTATATTCTATTTAAAATTAAAAATATTTATACATATATTTAAATAATAAATTTGCTACGTTTAAATAAAGAGAAAAACGGTTAAGTCTTTTAAATAAATATAATGTAATTAAACTTAAACAAAGTAAAGTTTAAAAATAAAATAATAATATTATATAAATATATTATATTATAATTTTTTATTTATAATAAATAAAAATTATTTAAATATGAATTATATTATATTTTAAAAAATTTAAAAATAAAATAAAAATAAAATAAAAAATTTAAGAATATATAATAATAAGATCATGAAATAAATAATATTTTTAAATAAATTATAAATAATAATATATATTTTTAATTTATTACGTAATTTTTTATTAATTTATATTTTTTGAGTACGGAGTTATAAATTTTTTTAAGATACACAGTGATATAGGATCTGGATTTAGTGTAGTTCCCGCCAAATTTTTTTACGTGTTTTTACATTTTCACTTAAGTCTATATATTTTCGCTTAAATGAAAATGCAAATTTTTACTTAAATACACAATGCAGTTTCTGTGGGAATTACACTGGATCCGGATCCACCGATATAAATGTGCGATAAAGATGCAAAGTCATCGAGAGGAATGCTTCTGGTCGGCTATTTTCCAGAAAAAAATAACATATAACCAATGCTTTTAAAATATTATCTAAAATATAAAAATTTTATTAATAGAGTATTTAAAATTAAAAATAAAAATAAACAGTTAATGACAATTAAATTTTATTTTAAAAAATATTTATTATATTTTTATAACTTTAATACAATAATTATATATTTTTTATAAATTTTTTATTTATAAATACTTAATTCAGTCTCAAAAACTGAACTTAACAAAATATAAAATATAAATGTTTTATTAAATAATATAAAATTATATTTATTTTCATATTTTTAAATATATTTTAATATAATTTTTTATAAAAAAACATTATTTTTTAATTTCTTACTCAGCATCTTAACTAAAAAAAAAGAGAAATGGAGCTACACATACAGAACACGCTTAAAGTTTTAACTCTTTCAAAAGTCAAAAGCACACCTGGACGTAATAGGTCAGCGCTGGAGGGGGAGTAGCCACCAAAGTCAACGTGCGTCGGGACCATGCACGTGTTTAAATAAGTGAAAACATCATAAAATTGTCCTTTTTAATCTTTTTTCTTAAAATTACTTCATCTAAAAAAGCTGTATAAATATTTAAGATTTTAAATAAAATTTACATTCGAGTTTCTGGTTGATATAAAATATATGTTTCAAATTTTCATTTATTTTAAAATTTTTAGATAAATTTTTTTTCTTTTGAAAATGTTAAATTAACTTGAAATTTGTATAATTAAATTTATAAAATAATTTATCATTAATAAAATAAAAAATATTATTATACTTAATAATGTATTTTTTAAAGGAATAAAATTTTATTTTTATTATTTTAAAAATTTATATTTAGAAAAATTACACTTTTAATAAATATGAAATTAACATCTTACTTTTTTTTTCTAGAACAAAGCTGAAGAAAAAGTCACGTGACTTATATCTTGAGTGAATTTGGAAAAAAATATATTCTTTAATATTTTAATATTTTTACTGAAGAATAACATTTATAATATTTTTTATTACGAGGTTAAATTTTATATTAATTTTTATTAACTAATGTAAACTTTTATTTAATGAAAAAATATAAAAAAATAAATGAATATATTCCATGCATTTGATTGAATTTTCCTCCTGTCAAGGTCGTTGATTAAAAAGCTTGATACCTGGCCTGTAATTGTCATAAATTATTTTTCAACAAAATTGAACTCGTCATCTATTTTCGATTGGGTCTATATACGATGAATCTCAAGAAACATGTGTTCACAGAACATTCACTCTCTGTCAGAATCAAATATTGATTAGATTCATGTGTTTAATCCATGAAACTAACCATCATATTTCAGTAACAGTAAGCAATTTGATAACAGTTTAATCGATGATGCAAAAGACTTTAAATATAACTAACGGAGGTTGCTCAGTCTCATTCAAACAAAATTTTAAATTCGAGTTTACGTGTATATAATTTTTTTTTAATAATAGACTCATTTAATATATTTAAGTATGTAATTCAAGGCAAATTCAGATTAAACTGAGTGAAAAAAAAATTTAAATATTAAGGGCTTCATTGATTTAATTTTTGTTTTTAATTTATAAAAATTATATTTAAAACAATTTTATAAAATTATTTTAATTAAAACTTTAGGTACATCATATAAATGTTTTTTAAAAAATAATATTGGTTAAATCATAATTCAACTATAGTTAGATAATTATAAATCCTTAAATTAATGCCTCGAATAATTCAATGATCAATCTGATTTTAAAAATATTTAAAAAGAACAAAATTCATATAAAAAGCAAACACCAATATTTGCCGTTGAATTCTGCAAAATTGTGAAAACAAACTTGATGCTACGTTCAGTCATACCCGACTGACCTTTGGTTAGACCATCAAACCCATGACATCAATCCTCTCACGTATGTCAGTTTCTATTTTATGTTTCTTTTGGGGTTTTTTTTCTGGTCAACTGTGATAAAAAAGAAGAAGTTAAGAATTGATTTTCATGTCAGCAATTCCGTCATGAATTTAATGTGGTTATTTTCAGTCTCTCACGTTGAATTCGTTTCTCCGATAACGGCCATAACCCACATATGACATGGTAGACCCGTCCAATAAAAACATGATAACACATTATAAAAAGGTCAGAAAATTTTGTTTCCTTGGACTTTTTTTTTGTTGTATTCCGCGTTCTGCTTCCTTTTTTTCTCTATTCCAGCTCAGTCATCGAGTCAGTGCTTTGTTTGTGTATCTCCTTAAATGGAATTTACACTTTTAATGATATAAATTTTGTGCTCTTTTGCACACTTAATGTTTATAGTAAAGGAAAATATATATATATATATATATATATATATATATATATATATATCAACTTAATTTGATGTTTATGTGAAGAGTTTATAATCCACCGTGTTACTATATGAGTTGCTCCATTCCATGACTCATATAAGTGCAATGTTATTATATTTATTGATATTGGTTGCAGCTATGTTTTTTAATCAACGTTAGTCATATACTTTTTTAATTATTGACAAAATTTATTAAAAATTATAAGAGTAAGACAAAAATTTATTAAATTTAAAATAAAAATTAAATTGAATATGAGACTCATATAATTTTTTTAATGTTTTTTATACTGTTGATTTCTCATTTTTTTTAATGTCTCATAATTTTTTTGTCGCTATAGCGCCGTTACTGTATTATCCACAAAAAAATAAGAATGTAACTTAATCAATGTGCATAACATGTCACATTTAGTTATGTATCCACAGAAGTTTTAATCACCCACATACCGTTCATCATTTGCTCGATTAGGTAGATGAATTTCCAATACAAAAATGTTACATTTATCGCTAACATTTTTTATAATTTATTTTGTCTATTTATAGTTAGAGTCAACCTTAATATAAGACGATTAAAACTTTTATTTTAAGCACTTAAAAATATAAATTTCTATTAATAATATTTTTAAAAAAATGAGTAAATACATACATTATATGATTATAATATGATTTTATTACAATTAACTATCCTTTTTTAAAAAAGTTTTGACGACTTTCCGTCTTCTCCATAAGAGACTTCATTTTCCTTTATTCCTTCATTTATTTAGTAAATAATATTAGTTTATTGAAAACAATTAAATATTTTTCCTAAAATTTGCTTATCCTATCCATTACGAATTATCCTTTTTTACATTTAAAAAAAAGTCTCCTACTCATGTGTATCTTTATTCTCTAGACTAATTAACATGATTTTCTCTTCCCTTACATTTTCTTGACTTGTGTTTATTTGCACTTTCCAATATGTTTTTACTTTTCCTTTTGTTTTTGTCCATTTTCTGCCATGGATTGAAGCAAACGTTCTGCTTAAATTTTACTATCAACTAAAAAGTAGCAACGTGTGGCATGTTGCCTTCTATGCTGTATCTATGTTCGAACTGAGACCAAAACTGTATAACTAATGTAACATGCATGCATATTCTTGTACATATATAAAACAAATATCAGATAGACTTAATTAATCAATCCTCATGGTCAACGTTGGCTAATTAATAAAAATTCCATATCTATCCTCTCAATCTCTGAATTTGCCATCAACCCCTACGACTAAATCCCACTCCATTAATGTGTGGCACGTGTTCCTCCTTCCACTTTGTCTCTTTCTTCGAGTCCTGTTGCATATCTCAAAATTATATTTTCCTTCCTCTATTCGCCCTTTTTATTTGAACCGCACCGTGCAAAGTTAAACTTGTCGAACTTGTCTTCTATATATACCATTCCCAATAGCCAACACCCTGTTCCTTCTCAGAGCATAGTCAACTCAACTCTTGATATTTTCGCTCTATTTCACAAGTCCTCGCATAATATTTTTTAGAATTCTTATATGCTAAACTCACTTTCGCTTCCCTTCATTTTTTTTTATTTTCTATTTCTCTCTCTCTCTCTCTCTCTTATTTTCTGTTTCTATCTTTTTTATATATATATTTTGCTTTTATTTTTACTTCTCTTTTCTTCCCACCCACTTTATATACTAAAAAGGGCATCAACAAATAATTTTCCTTTTTAGAATTCTTCAGCGTATGCATGAGTGTAATTATGGACGTTGAGAATGAGTCTGTTTACCATTCCTCTTCACCATCCTCCACTTCTTCTCAAAGTCAACTCTCACCGTGCAATCCATGTAACCCGAATTCTCCATTAGATCATTCATCAAGTACTCAAGAAAAGACACCCTTGAGCTCTCGCAAGCGGAAAGCGGGGAGAAAGAAGTTCAAGGAGACACGTCACCCAGTGTATAGAGGGGTTCGACAAAGAAACGGTAACAAATGGGTGTGTGAAGTTCGAGAACCAAACAAGAAATCAAGGATATGGCTTGGGACTTACCCTACACCAGAAATGGCAGCTAGGGCACATGATGTGGCTGCCCTAGCACTTAGGGGCAACTCAGCGGTGCTAAATTTTCCTTATTCAGTTTCTCTTCTTCCGCTTGCAAAGTCATCTTCAGCTGCACATATAAGAGAAGCTGCATCAAAAGTTTCAAAGGTTTTTGGACCAACCACTTCTCCTTCATCTTCTGCCAACCCTTGTTGTGAAGAGGGTGAGAGCCAAGAAAGGGTAGAGGGTGGTGATGATCTTGTCATGACACAAGATAATAAGGTTATTGATCACGAGTCAAAGCCAGTGTTCTTTGATGAGGAGGCATTGTATAATATGCCAGGTTTGTTAGATAGTATGGCAGAGGGTTTGCTTATTACCCCTCCGTCTATGAAGAGAGCATTTGATTGGGACGATGTTGATTGTGAAACAGATCTCCCTCTTTGGACAGATTAATTAATATTAATCAAGCTGCAGATTTTATCTTAATTTGAAGCCATTTATTCAGTCTAAGTTTAAATCTATTTTCTTTCACACGTAATTGATTTATTTAATAGTAATTAGTCTTGATCTCTTTAAATTTAGAAACATCTTTTGTGATCTCTAACCTAAAAAAAAATAATTAAATAATATAAAAAGCTTCAATATTTATAAAGAGTAAATGTGTAAAAATTGTTTTTAAAATCTTATATAAAAAAAGGACCACAAAAAATCATGTTAAATTATAATCCAAGAGTTTTAGCTTTTATTTATATTTTTTTCAATCATAATATCATACGAGTGTCATATTTTTCATTTCTATTTATCTTTTACTAAGTATATACACCAATTTTCAATATAAGAAATGTTTTGATGACAACAATTTATTTTACATCTCTTGTAATAAAGTGTTAAACTACTTGAAAACATATTTTTTTTTTTACATTGTGTAATAGGGAGATAGCGTATTAATATATGTGTGTGTCTTTTTTTCACATACAAAAGTTAGAAAATACAAAAGGAGTATAAAAGGATATAAGTTTAAAAATCAAAATTTATAAAATAATAATGTTTTTAACTTCACAAATGCGTGCTACTAGACACATAAAAAAAAAATAAAAAATTAGTAAGAGCATGTTTATTTATAATTTATTAAAAATATTTTTTTAATAAATAATTAATATTATTTTTAATTACTTCAAGAGTGAGGACAGATATTAATATATTTCTAATAATAATGCTAAATTATTTCTATTTATGTGTTTATTAAGACAAGAAATATGCACATAGATTAAAAAAATGCAAGTAATGTTATTATTTTCATAAAATAATATTTTAAATTTTTGCATTACACCCTTTTATCTATTTTTTGTTACCTCTCCTTAAAGGTAAAACATTTATTACTACTTGAAAATGAGGATAACATAGTGTTTGAATAAAATAAAGTGTAAATAACATTATTCTGGACTAATAAGTAGACAAATTATTTGTAACAATTTGTTTTCTATAGGTGGATTGTTAACTATAAATTAAGTACCATGTCATAATTTTTAAAAATGAATTAAATTTAACTATTTTTGTTAATTTCAGTAATTAATTAAATATGACACAAGACAGTAATGCAGTAAGATGAAGGAAACATGTTTTTGGTAATTTTGCTTGCACAAGAGAACTTCAAACAATAAAGAGGGCTTCAAGATTGACGAAATAAAGGCTATAGCTAGAACAACAAAATAAGCCGTAGAAGGATCGAATTGTATCCGAGGAACAGGGGAATAAAAAAAGTAATAAGAGAGGCACAGAGACCAGTCAATCATATCGGTCGTATTATTGAATTTGGAATGAAAATACGAATAATGCTTCCTAGCACGGGACACAGAATAGGACCACTTATAAAAAAAATATTATCATTTAAAAAAAAAATAGCTTATGCAAAATATGTGCATTTAAAGAAATGAAGGCTGTGTATAAGAAGAAAAAATGAGTGAGAATAGATAAAGATAGGGAGGGAAGTAGTATACATTTATTGATAACGAGTGAAAAGTTAGGTATAAAAAAAAGAAAAATAAATATAAAATAGAATGAAAGTACTAAAAAGAAGTTAGACATGAAATAAAAAGAAAAAGTTAAAAAAAATATGAATTAGATAAAAAAAAATTAAGAAGATTAAATATGAAAATTAAAAAAAATTAAATATAAAAATTAAGAAAAGAGTATTAAGCAGGAGTAAAAAAATTGAGAGAGAAAATGTAATTTATTTAAGTTAATAATATTATATAAAAAAAATTATTATTTTTTACATTTTTTAAATAAAAATAAAATTAAATATCTAATTTCTGTGTTAAGTTGAATTGATCCGCATCCCAAAACAAACTACTAAATCCTTGTTCAAAGGGGTTTCAATAAACGTGCCCCAAACGAAAAAAAACAAAAAAGGTTTCAACAAACTAAAATTGTCCGCTCAACAGCACGCTCTGGTTCCAACGCCTTTACGCGTGGGTGACTCTTTTTATTTGCGCAGATTTGGGCCTCATTTTCCTTTTTCTTTGAAAAACACTGATTTAAAAAACTGATTCTTGGTTCAGCAATTGAAGTATATTAGGTTAGGTTAGGAGTTCTTATTTACTTTGGGCCTTGATTTTGTACCCAGCAAGTAGACTGTTGTATAGTTGATGAACTCAAGACAACCTAGTCATTTGACCCAAAATAAAAAGAGAACCTAGATAACTTTAGCTTAGAAGTATTGACAAAAAAAGAAGAAGAAAAGTATTGACAAAAAAAAAAGACTTTATCTCAGTAGTATGCACTTTTCTCAAATATAATATAAAACTGCGAAAAGGGGGAAATACAGAAGTGATCAAAATTTTAAAAATGTTAAAAAAATAGGAAAAAAATTGGTGGGTTCGATTGATTAAAGTTTGTATCCTTGTCAGTTAGTGTAAATTTTTTAATTGGTATGTCAATCGATACACTACTTGATTTAAATAATTATTTGTTTAATTATTAAAATTTTATGTATTTACTTAAAATTAAATGCCATTTTTTTTACAATAACTTTCAATCATTTGCATATGGAAAAGTATAAAGTATCCATCATGAATAACCCTTGCATATTTCACTTTAATACAATGATCCTAAAATTACTTAATTTACTTTTATGCTGTGTTGATCATCCTGCCGAGGGTGGGTGTGGGTTGCATATTCTGTTCCAAATCACAGCTAGTTTATTTAAAATGTCAATTGTTAAAAAATGCCTTTAGTGATAAGGACATTAGTTAAGGAATAAAAAAGTATTAAAAATAGTTATTAATATATTTTTAATGCATATTAGCATAATTTTTAATTAAAAAATCTATTATTATTTATTTAACGAGTGAAAGATCCTATCTTATATTCAAATAAAAGCAAATGCAAAAATACCACTTCCCAAGGCAATTTACTGAGACTTGCTGCAAATAGAATGCGAGCATATAGGAATTGTGGCCAAAAAAAGATAAACAAACAAACAAACCAGTCCTTAGATGCATGCGTGGTTGAAAACTTGAAATCTATTTTGCTAACATAGATTATGCACTTGATAGTATTAAATTTATTCTGCTTCTCACTTATAAGAATTTTATTTTTAATTACTTTTTTTAGCAATTTTAATTATATCATGTCAATAATATTGAATATTCACATAATCAAATCGCACATTAGAATTGTAAATTTGAATTCAAATGTTAATATTGAACAAAAATAATCCACCAGGTATTCATAATTTAATGTGCATTTAGAAATCAAAAATTAAATTAACAATTCAAATTTACAAAATTACAAATTAGAATTATATTATAATTTTATGGATGATATATCATTTCACTAATCAGAAAAAAAACGGCAAATCCAACCTACTTGCCTAATTAGTACGTTAGGAAAAGGTTTAGGGTTAGAAGTATTAAGATAAAAAAAATTACGTGAAAACCAAGACTGGCTGTGTATCATATGATGAGAGACACTTGAGCATCATTGTTCTACCTTCCCCAAGTCAGTGTCTAGTAGTTAAGTGCACTTCTCTGAAAGCTTTTTTCCTTTCTATTTTGGGATTTTTTTATAAAACTTTTCTTATACATGACTAAAATTTATCGATTATTTTCCTATAGGAAATTGAACCCAACATGCTAAGATTCTTCAGCAATAAGTACACAGCATGTCGATCCAAGTATATATTGAAGTCCAATAATTTACGTAGACGGTGCACATGGTAAGGACATGGAGAAAAGTCTAGCCTCTATCACTACTTTTTTGCACATAGCACAAAGGGAAAAGCTACCGAAGGAAGAAAAGATGTTCCACACATGATCATCATGTTTTGTGCTTCAAAATGATGCTAATTATCACTTAAAGATCTATAGAATAATGGGACCAAGGACCCCCCAATTCATGTGCTACGACAATGTCACGAGACAATTTTAACTGTGGGATAGAAAGAAATTGCTCATTGGTGGGTCTACACTTGAAAGAAGTAGTGCCTTTTCTAAGATTGAGCCATGGATACTGTCTCCTACTACTTTTTGTTAATTGATTACCAACATAGCGATGAAAGGAGTGATGGGGTTGTCAGGTTTGAAGCACAAATTGTGAATATATATATTAGGCTGCTAGTAACAAGCTTTCCTTCACAAGTACGGTAGCCATGGGGGAATTCAAACACCTTGTATTTGTTAAGTTCAAGGAAGGTGTGGCAGTTGAAGAGGTCATAAAAGGGATGGAGAAGTTGGTGAAGGAGATTGATGCTGTCAAGTCTTTTGAATGGTATGTTTTCTCTTTTAGTTAATTACCTTGTAGTTTGGTGAAGAATAACTGTTTTGTTTTGTAGCATGTTTAGAATCATGTTCCAACATGCTTTAAACTCACGATAGCATTGAAGTTGCAATTAAGTAGTAGCGTTAGAGTGATCGTGAATATGACTATTTAATAGCATGTTTGATTTTTATGTTAAAATGTATATACATTCATCTTTGTTTTAATGCTACTGCTTATAACTTTTATATGTTTGATCTACGTTTACAAACTTTTTCATGTTTTTTCAAATCTACACTAAACGTAATTTTAAGTAAAAAGCAAGAGACACTTTCTTCTAATAACATTAAGCACAAGTAGTTAAAGTTCATCATATATATGGAATTTCAGTTTATTGTATTTACCTTTTATACGAATATTATTCTCATGTATTTATCATATGCCTTTAACAGGGGACAGGACATTGAAAGCTTAGATGTGCTGAGACAAGGTTTCACTCATGCTTTCTTGATGACATTCAACAAGAAAGAAGACTTTGTTGCATTTGAGAGCCACCCAAATCATATTGAGTTCTCGACAACATTTTCAGCAGCTATTGAGAATATTGTGCTGTTGGATTTCTCATCTAATCTTGTCAAGGCACAAGCATGATCCTGATTCCTGAAGACATTCCAGCAATAAGGATTCCATCTTTACAAGTTAAATCTATTCTAGTGTACTTTGTACTCTTGTTTCGCTATTTGTAGTTTTGTTATGACTACGAGTTGGTACTTGCTCCATATCTCGTGCAATTTGAACTCTATTATGACTTATGGATGATAAACTCTTTTTGCCTTCTAATTGATGAATGGTTCTAGGAGTTGGTATTTGGTAATCTTGTCAATCAGAATTAGAGTTTCACCTCAATAATCTGCATGATAAAGGTTGGTACTAAAGGTCAATACATAAGTACTGATAATTGACACACATTATTAAAGTGAAATTTTAATTCTGATCATTTGAGAACAATAAAAAAGTACCTATGTTACTGCACTAGTTTGGTCCGTATGTTAATTTCCATTCAGTTATTGCTCCATCCTATGTATCAGCATAATTTCTGGGTTTGGGCTCTTGGAAAATAAAAGAAGATCACACAGAAGTCGTAACATCAAACATAAGGATTTAAACTTGGTTTGAAGGATGTGAACGAACTAGCCCTTTAGGTTCAATTAATTTTTATTGGATTTTTAGAGGAGTGCGAGCACAACACTGAGAAAAAATATCATTATTCACTTTGAAATCCTTCTAGACAGGGCAGATCTTATGTCAGAAACAGCACCTTCACCTTTTTGGTTCCAAGTTGTATTCCATGCCAAAAAAATGCAAATGCATCTCTAATCACGAAAAAATAAAAGCCCACAGGTTCTCACAAAAGCAGTACGGCGTTTTTCTATTGGAAAAGAAATAAAGTAATTAACCAGCCGTGGGGACAACTTGGAGCTTGATTTCAAAGTTGAAGATTTTCGAAATCTAACTTTATGCCTTGCTATCTTATATCATCTCAAGAGATAAAAAGAAAAACCCCACATGATTCAAAATTTGATAATTGAATTTTGCATTAATTAATAGAGAAATGGGGTGAACATGAAGGCATTCAAGAAACTCACTTCTTATTATTTGTTCATTTTGCATGTCGCATTATGTACTGCGGTAGGGCAGCATAGATAATCATACAAAATACAAATACTATGATGATATCAGAACTCAAACATCTTTCTTAGATCTAAATTCTTTTATTCAATTATATTATTTGAATTAATAAAAATCGACATCGTATATAATATCATATATTATCATTTCTATGCTTTTTTTTTTAATCTTTTATGTATGCATGCTTTTTAAAAATAACTTACACAAATATAAAGGATACACGTATACATATACGAAATTGAAAAGGGTTACATGAATGTGGAGCTGTAGCAACAACGTCTTCTATGATTCAAAATGCAAGTGAAAAGGCCATGTTAGTGTTTAGTTATTGAAGATTTGCAAAAATCTGATAAGGTTTTCATCCTGAAAATTTAACTTGCTCTCATTACAGTTAGGTACATAGAAGTTTTCGGATGGTGAAGCTGAAGGATATAAGATGGGAACATGGATGCCCTCTGGTGGTCCAGATCATGTATTATATCTTTGTAAAGAGTGAAAAGCCTAATGGCTCGGTGATTCTTATGATGTTTTTGTAGAAGACAAGCTAATCTCTTAAAGTGGGTGCAATTAGAAATCCATTGGTAATGTTTTCTTCTCTTCCCTTTCTTTCATTCGTGTCGTATTCACAATTATTTTCGTAACATTTATCATGGGAAGGTTTGATATAAGAACATTAATTGTTATTGGAGACGAATAAAAAGAGTACAAATTTTGACGAAAGAAAAACAAACTAATCACAAATGGGTGGTCAAATTTATTGGGAGAGAAATTTTGTAAAGCGATCACATTATTCTATCTCTATTCGTAAGGTTTCGTAAAAAAAAAGTACTTCAAAAGTATTTTCGTTATCATAAAGTGCCTGTGAAGAAGACACGGGAAAATGGTAGCAGTGGCATTTCATTTTGTAGGCAGTCAATGAAAGAACAAAAGTAAACTAATATGACCACTCAATTTCAAAACTTCTTCTTACTCACTGCTTCATATGGATTTTAATAAAATACAGATGTTAGATATTTGGGCTTATTTTTGGGCCTCACATTCACGGGCTCTTCATGATCCATGCATTAGTCTGTCCCAACTGGGCAAACATAGATTTGGGCTCTCTGGTGCTAATGGGTTCTGCTGCTGATGCCATAGTTTCTTGATGAGGCCATAATATGGAACAATTGAAGACGGTATATTTTCAAATCTTAAAGTAATGCTAGCTGATTCCTTGTGTGGGCCCTTTCTGCTTGGCCCTTTTCATGGATGCATCGTTACCAAAAAAAAAGCAATGCTAGCTAAGCTACAAGCCCCACTCTATCAATTATCTAAAAAAGTAAATCGATTAGGTAACTTATTGAACAAGGAGTTGCTTTTTTCTCCTCCTTAATAATTTTTCCTTTTTTTTTGCAATAATAAAAAAATCCTTCAAAATAATTTAATAGAGATCATCTCTATCAATGCACTACAGTGTATGAATAACAATTATCTTGGTTTTGTCCATTGAATCACCATTAAAATCATCATGATCATATCTTCTGGCAGTGATGGTCTTGTTGATTATGTCTCTGATTTGTTTTGTTGTTTTTTTTTGTTTTTTTTTCATAACTTAAATTTTAGATTTGAGTTTTCTATAATTTTAAAATTAAAATTCTTGAAACTATGGATGCTTATTTTTTAGAGTGATCTACGAGGTGAACAGCAATGAAATAACTACTGAGACGAGCAGAAAAAAAGAAAAAACTATAGCCGCACACTTTGAGAGTAACAATCTATTTCCCGAAAAAAACAAAAAAAGAAAGGTGAAGTGCAGAGAAGAAGACGAATCTGGAGAAAAAGAAACGAATAAGCTTTAAAAAAGGATATTAAAAAAAGAAGAAGAAAGGTGGGAAAACAAGGAAACGAGATGTGATGAAGCCAAACAATTTTGTCTTTATTTTGTTTTGAATTAACACTTTCTAAAATTTATTTTACAAAAATAAAAATTTTGAAAACAAGAAAACAAAACACAAGCAAACAAGCAAAAACATCAACATAAGAGGAATGAGTGAGTAGAGTTTAACGATATAGTCTAAACAAACAAATATAATCTCACTGTGCTGTTTGTTAAAATTGTCAACTTCTTTTTAAGTGAGTTTGATTTTCATATGATCTAACAATATAAGAATTGAAAAGTAAATTATTATAAATAAAATTAAAAATTAAATATTATTTTATATTTTAATCTGAATTTAATATAATAATCAATAATCAATAATAAAAAAATTATTTAATTCAGTTGATTGAAACAATAGATAGTTAGATGGTAGGAGTGATGGAAGTCATGATTGCAGAAAATAGTGTTGAAAATGCTTGATTGTAGGTTCATGAACGTGAATCTTCACTAAGACAATTTAAAATAAAATAAAATAAATTACCTGAGCAGGTGCAACTCACTTCAGATATTTATTGCAAATAGGATAATAAAATATTTCCATATATTACATTTTATTTCTTATTTATCTTTTGCTAAATATAATTTTTCTTGTTGTGGCAAAATAAAAAAAGTTAAAAGTTAAATTTAACTGTTAGCTTTTTATCGTGTTAAAATGTTTTTATTTAAAAATTCTTAAAATTAATATGTTAAATTTATTATTTTCAATTTATATATAAAATAATTCATGAAATAAAATATATAAATTATTAAATATTTTTTTAATATATATTAGAGGATGTGTAATGAGAACTTAATAAATACAAAAATTTATTCAAAATTTTAATGTTTAAATTATTAATATACTATATTTCATAATTTTCAACACAAAATTTGTTATTACATATGTTTAGAACATGATAAAAGGATAACTATTAAATTTATTATTAATAATATAATATTTTCAATTTTTAATTTATCAAATTTAAAAAATTATTATAATATCTTTTTAATTAATCATTTAAAATTTAAATTTAGTGAGCATAAGAAAATTATTAGTTATTATAAATTTCACTCTTCGTTTTAAGTGTGAAATACGCAAAAAAAACATCTTCAATTTGAAATAAATAATATATTATAATTCAAATTTAAACTATAAATTTATATATTATTTTTCATATGAATTGAATATAGAAATTATGATTATAAAATAGTTTTAGCTGAATTAAAAGTTGTAATTTTAAACTACAAATTTAATTCATTGCACCAAGCAGAATTTAAGATTTCATTTTTCTTTTCAAATATTAATGTTAATTACTTTTATACTTTTTAAAATAATTTTTTTTATCAAATCACACTTTTTGTACTTTTAATTAATTTTTGACTTATCTCTTTCTAAATCTAAATTATTTATATCACTTTATCAAATTAATGATATATATTTATAATTTAAAATGTTTATCCTTTAAAGTGTATCTTTACTTTTGTTTAATATTTGAAAATACTTATATGTGATAAAAAAATAATTTTGTGAACTTCAATCCTTAAATTCAATTTTACACATTTAAAAATAACATTTGTATTTTTTTCAACCCATAAAGGAATAATAAATAAATAATTATTTAAAATTATAAAATTTAATATTATTAATTCATCATATTATATAATATTTTTATTAAAAACTTGTTAACAAATGCTGGATACTAATTAAAATAATATTAATATATTTTTTGTAATTTTTAAAGTAATTTAACGTCATTTTTAACAAATTTTTAAAAAATTAATAAAACTCAACTTGTCATTCACAAATTCTTATTAACATAACATAATTTAAAGGCACGTTGAAACCAGTTTCACATAAGCCGCATTTTGAGCAACGATCGAATCTGAAAGCCGCCCAGTCCCAATCGCTTTCATGCTTTTCGCATCACAACTATACAAAAGACACGCACTGACCATTTTTAGTAATTTGAATCGTATTGTTTTGTGTTTTCTAAACCAAAATGACAGAATTTTAAATAATAGATTTAATTTATTTAAATAAAAATTATGTAAAAATATTTTATTATAAATTTAAAATTTATTACATATAATAATATCTAATTTAAATCAATCAAAGTTATTTTATTGTTTTCTTATTTTACACATTTTATTTAAAAATATAAAAATCCTAATTTTGATTTATTAATAATAATGTCAACGTCTATTTATAATATTTCACCACCTTCTATCTTAACAGTGTATTTTCATTTATAAAAAACTAACTTAAGAAAATAATTTCTCTCAATTTTTTTAATCTAAATTTCGATTTTTTTTTTATTTCTTCATTTTCTTTCACTTCATCTGAACACAGGATAATGTAAGACACTCACAAACTTCTTATATGAGTCAATGACGGCCAACTGGATTGAGAAAATTTTCATCAAATGTGTTTGTTCAATATGCGAAAGGAACCTATATACAAACAAAAAATAAAAAATAAAAATTGTAGCATATTAAAATAAAGTAAATATAACTGTATCAATGTAAATAATATAAAAATGAATATATATACAAATGGTTTAGTATTATTTAAGTAAAGTCTCTCGTAAAAAAAACTCTAAAGATAAACTCACGCACTATATATAAATACACGATCTAGATTAGATCTAAATTAAATCGGACGAAGAAAAAAAGAACAAAAAAATTTACTATCAATCAAAATATTCTCCTCGTTAATTTTCAGACAACGTGAATCATACTCATTTCCAAATACACATGTCCTTTAAAATGTTTCACTGCCACTTTCATGATTGTATTTGTTGAAGTCTGCAATAATTTATGCACTCGTGTGAGTTTGCACGAGCCACACGCCGACCATTTTTTTTTCCAACTTTTACAGTTCATGTATATAATTCAGAAAATGTTATTTAATTTTTAACATTCTTACGAGGTCTATGTACCTTGCATTATGATCAATAATGAGTGAAACACTGTTTTATTTGTGCAATAATTGAGATCAATCGCATTAAACACCGAAAGACAAAAAGAAAATACCAATGTATTTCATAATAATTATCAATTACTTCATTTTTTATATAAATTAAATAAATATAAAAAATTATTTATCTATTGACGTTAAACTTGCAAAACTATGTTCGAAACAGCTCATACAAACTACTTGTCTTTCTCATAATCATTTTAAATTTATGTCAATAATTTGTATGCTCACATTTATTGTATAAATCTGTTGTTATTTGAATTCATAAACTTTAAACCCTAAATAAACAAGTTTGAACAAATATTTAATAATTCAAACTCAAATAATCAATGAATAGTTTAACCCATTTATATTAATGATAAAAAATATTAAAAAATTAAGTGTGAAATAGTTAAATTCATGCAGTCAATTAGTGCGTCAAACCTACCATAACAAACGCGATTGCGGCAGCATTCCTTTTAGCACATGGAGGCTGTCAAATCATTGTAGAACACAGTTGATCTTTTTCCTTCTTTAAAAGCCTCTATCAAATTTGTGAATTCCACACTCTGAAATCAGAAATTAATTTATCAACCTTAGCTGCACCATCTTATATATGTTCATGATAGCATTTATATATTATATGCAATACTCCCAACTTTTTCCATTCTCAATTCGTTAATTTCTCATATTAATTATCTCTATCAAATTCACACGCTCTATAATGAATTTTGTGATCGAATCCCAACTTTCATTTCAACCTTCTGATCGCCAATTATCTCCATGCACACAACCCAAAAACCCTAATCCAGTTTCAGAATCAGTGAAGGCACAATTAGCGTCACACAAAAGGAAAGGAGGGAGAAAGAAGTTTCAAGAGACCCGCCACCCAATTTACAGAGGTGTTCGAGAAAGAAAGGGTAAATGGGTTTGTGAACTAAGGGAACCAAAGAAGAGTTCAAGGATATGGTTAGGGACATACCCTACACCTGAAATGGCAGCTAGGGCATATGATGTGGGTGCCCTAGCAATTAGAGGCACTTCAGCAGTGCTTAACTTTCCAAATTCAGCTTCTTTTCTTCCAATTCTTAAGTCATCTTCAGCTAAAGATATAAGAGAAGCTGCAGCTGAAGCTGCTGAGAATTTTAGACCAAGCACTTCTTTTTCTTTGTCCAATTCTCACAACAAAAAAATAAGACGGAAAATTAAGTGTAAGAAAGGTAAAAAGGGTCCTTTAATAGATGGGAAAATGAAGGAGATGGTGGTGTTTGATTCGTCTTTGAAGTGCATGCATGATTTAGGTGGTGAAGACTTTGGTGTTATTGAGACCAGCTTGGAGAAGAACAAGTGTGATTTGTGTTCAGCAGTGTTCTTTGATGAGGAGGCATTGTTTAATCCAGGTTTCTTGGATAGCATGGCAGAGGGTTTGTGTATTTTCCCAGTATCAATGGAAAGCTCATTGGATTGTTGGGATGATCTTGTTTATAGCATGGACTTCAATTTATGGACAGATTGATTAACCTATATATGGGAATTTGTCAATTTGACCCAAGCCATAGAAAACTTCGGAAGAAATAATGTTAACTACTCAGTTGTATTTTTGGATTTTCTAAATAATTTTTTTTAACATGTACCAAACGTTACACAATAATATTTTTTTTTGCTGGAAATAAAAATTTATATATGATAAGTTTTTATTTTTAATTCACATGATATATTGCAATACTTAATATATTGATAAAATTTTTAATAAAGATTGTCATTAACTTTTTTTTGTACTCTTAATCATGCATTAGAAAATTGTTTTTTTAATCTATCTTAAAATGCTTATCACTTTAAAAAATTAAGCAAATATTTTTTTTTATCAGATTTATTCTTATGTATTAGTATTTCACCTAAATACTTACGTAGATTTGTTAACTCTTTTAATAAAATGCTGTTGGACAGAAGTTGTTTTTATTATAATAACTTGTACTATACTTAATAATTTTTTTAAAATGTTAATTTCCTTAAAAGATAAATAATATGAGATAGAAGGAATATATTAATTTTTATCAAGAAACGGAGAGAAATAATTTTATATGAAATATGAAAGTAAACGAGATAAATAAAGGAATATATATAATTTTAGAGTCTTACGGAGCACTGATTAAAAAATTTAATAAATACAAAATTTTATTAAAAGTACATTGAAAGTATATTAAAGATTATGAAATGAGAATATTAGTAATATTTTTAACCATTAACGAAGAAATAATGGTTGACATGCATTTGCTAAAATTTTAATATATATAGTTACATTAATAACTTATCTTAATGTGTGTGCTATAACATTGAACTATAAATAAAAATAATTTTAAATGTAAATTCAAAAATACCTAATAAAAATTGGATATAATAAAATGTTATTAAAATGATAAGGTATTGTACTATTCAAAGTGTTGATGAAATAAAATACTGTACTTTTCAAGTCCAAGCTAATTAATATGAATTAACAATTAAATGGTTTGAACGATATACAATTTAGTAAAAAAAGTAATTTTATTTTCACACACTTTAAATTGCAATCTTAAATGATTATTAAGCACATTTCAAGAAGGAACAGTATGGATTCAACTCGATTCCCTCTCATATAACTGACGATAAACCTGATTCGAATAAACGCAATGGTTCTTCCAATTTATATTTTTAAGTCAGTTTTATATTTTCTTTTCTTTTATGCTTAGTGTGTGTTGATTATGTTCCAATTGTGTTCGTTTTAGTTCTTCATCGATTGCTGCAGCAAAATTAACAGAGTTAATAGAAAACAGACTTAATTAAAAGTTAGAAAATCAAATTAAAATTTTTTAAGTTAGGACACGAATATAATGTAATCATTCATTTATTATGATTAATTAATTGACAGAAAATGTACATGAATATTTATGTATTGGCGATGAACAATTTCTGATTCATTATTTGTTGTCGTAAGTCGAAAAAGAAAAGGAAGTCTCCATATCAATGCACAGGAATTTACTTTTTCATAAACTGTTAAAAGAATTTTATGGTGATGCGTCCCTCCTAAAAAGAAAGAAAGATTACAATAACGATTCATTGTTTCGGGATTTGATTTAAAGTACTTTTGTCATCTTAGCTAGTTGAAAAAAATTTCTTTAATTAGATGAAGTGCGTGTGACTGTGTGTATAAGTATAGATAGAAAAAGAGAATTTCATTTTTCAAAATAAAATGGCAATGTATACCCCTTTGCCTTCATGGATTTCCCATTTTCTTTTCTTTTGTTCTCATTATGACATTTATTTATCGGTTTAAATTTTTTCATGCTGTGTCACCAAAGATCATTAAAATGGCACTTGACGTGACATGAAGAAAAAAGTTAAGAGTTCGAGAAAACTGTTGCTGTTATGGAAACATTAGTCTTCAAGTCTCTACTCTAAAACATTGACGTCTTTTTGACTGTCGCTGACATGGGGAGGGTACCTGCAAAAGACACTTCAATGCTGAAGTCAGGATTCAATTTTGAGCAATAAATGCTATTTAATAATGAAAAGTCAACCATTTACCTGTACTTCTTACCTTCCTTTTATAGGTATTGTTATGGGCTAATGGGCCTGCTAAGTCAGCCTTGAGTTTTGGCCCTTTACTCTAAAGTAGATAATGTCATGATTATTATCCTTAATTAGGTTAATTACCTTCTAATCCTGACAAAAGGTATTCGGTCAAACTGGGCCGAATAAGTACTCGGTTTCCTTTTTCTATATGTAGAACCGAGCAGTTCCCTATCCAGTACACTAGTCCTCCAAGCCTGAAGAGGTACAAAACAAGGACTTAATAATATACAGGTGCCAAGAACATATAGACGAGGGGGTACTCGATTTGGTAGGATGGATGGAAATACCGAGGGGGGTGTTCGGTTCAAGTATAGAAAAACGAGGGGGTGTATGCACCGAAGAGGTATTCGGTTTATAAAAAAAGTGGTGTAGACCGAGGAGGTAAAAATAAGAAACAATAAAAAATAAAATAAAATAAATAATAAAAGAAAAGATCATTCTAGAACTCCAGAGTTTTTAGGGTTTCAAAATTTTTAGGGTTTTATCGATGTGTGTGTACGAAACAAAAGGGTGTTCGATCTCAACCGTTTGATTTAGAAGAGATCTGTCGGTTTGGAAGAGATGTGACCCTTCATATGTCCGAGGGTCCTAAACCCTATAAATACATGGTGGTCTAGGTCTTTTGTTTTCCACTTATTCTCTGAGCTGAGAAGTACACATTGTTGCTCCAAGCCGAAGGGTATTCAAAATTTCTCTCTTTCTTCCAAACTGACTATCTGTGAGGTATGTTTAGTTTTCTTTTCTTTCCCTTTCTTATTTTACCATGACCGAATCCTTAGAATGAGAGGACTCTTTGTCGGACTCATCTAGGCCGACTAGTATCCATGGTCAGAATGCTGAGGGAACCAAAAGGGGCGTGGAATTTTCTTCAAGACCGAGTGGGGTAAATGAAGAAGTAGAGACTCACTTTAGAGAATGTAGTGATGAAGTCGAATCTTCTGAGTCAACTGATTCTGATTCTTCTGAGCTCCTATCGAGCATGAGCCCTCCTAGAGAAAGACCAGTATTCCCTCCCTATACAGTTCCTGGATACAAGTGGGTACATGGTGAAGTAGTCACCTACTTCTCTCGGTTTAGAAAAAATAGGAGTCTTCAATCTTTCGTGGACCATTGTGAAATTTCATTATGGGAACCTTCCGATCCCTACCCCATATCCATCGACCCTTGCCGATGAGAGGAAACTGGGAACCCTGAATTTGTTTTTCAAGGGGGTGCCGGGATGGCTGTCACCTTCTTTGTGTACGAGTATATGTTTAGAGAACTAAGTATAAAGCTACCCTTTGACGACTTTCAAATGGGAGTATTGAGGGTTTTAAATGTAGCGCCGACACAACTTCATCCGAATAGGTGGGCGGCTATCCAAGCTTTTAGAGTACTTTGTAAATTTCATTATATAAAACTTAGTGTAGGCTTATTTCTTTATTTCTTTTGTACTCGTCCATCAGACTTAGCAAGATGAATATCTTTAATAAGGTAACCAGAATTGCCACTGTTTAAGCCTTATGCTTTATCTTTTAAGGGTTTTAAGACCGACTACTTCAAAGTAACTGTCCATCCCGTAGGTAGAAATTTTGTCTTTGATAGTGAAAACAATCCTCTATTTCCCTTCCACTGGATCTGAGTGCCTCGCCGGTACAACTGGATTCCTGAGGACCTTTTGTCGGCTAAAAAGATATCGGCTTTGGATTACTTGAAGTCTCTTCCCCAAGAGCTTCCTGCCTGACACATACTCCTAGTGTTAAAATCTCCTCACCCTCGTCTGGACATGGATGGTATATTTCGTCCTTATGATTTAGTTTTTGAATTAAGTTGTATTGATTTGACTTTCCTTTTCTATTGTAGGTTTGATGGCTCAACGCGGTGTTCACGTACCAACATATCGTCAAACCTTGAAGACCAAGACACCTGAAAACACTCCCATTGAGGAGCACCGAAACCCTCAACTCAACCACATGCCAGAGATAACTGAGCCTCGTCTTCCTCCCCAAGACCTTGCCATTATAGATAGTCATCCCAAGAGGCGCAGAGAAAAGGGTAAGGAGAAAGGTAAAGAAAAAGAGGTCGAGAGGGAGAAAAAAAGAAAGCATTCCCATTCGGATAGACCGAGTGGCTTAGAGGGGGCACGAAGTCAATCCCAAGGTGATATGATGGCTGGGGTTAGCAGCTTTGCAAACTCTGCCATTCCCCCAGCTATCTTATCCGACACCTTCCTCGTCCCAGGGGTACATCCTAAACGAGTAGTTGCCCCTGACTTACTTTCTGATTCAGGAAAGGAAGCAGTCAATAACTTGGACCTCGAGTCCTTATGGCGATGCTACGCGGAGCTTCAAATTCGATCCATGATGATGCTTCGAAGACTAGCTTTGGAGCCCACACTTGAGGTGGAAAAGGTGCAAAACGAGTACTCCTCCTCTCAACAAGCTTTGGCCAACAACGCAGAGATTCGGTTGAATCTTTCTGAGGCCAACAACGCAGAGATTCGGTTGAATCTTTCTGAGACCAACAAAGCTTTGGAGGCCAAGGTGATTCAGTACAAAGAACACTACCATATAGTGGAGAGTCGGCTCCAGGCCATCGAGCAAGCATTGAGGGCTAAAGAGGAAGAACTAGGGGCTCTAAGGGTAAAATCTTTGGGACTAGAGGAGGCCTTAAGGGCCAAATCTGTGGAAATGGAAGAGGCTTTGGCTCTTGAAAGGCAAAAGGCTGATGCTGAGATGAAGGCCTTTGCTGACAAGTGTTCTGTCCAAGTGGCTATCGAACACAAGTCGGGCTTTAACCATGCCGTTTGCCAATGCTATAGTTTCTGCCAAGTGCCAGCCGACTTCCATTTCGATCTTACCAAAGACTTTTTCGGTGTCAGGTTTTTACCATACAACGACGTGGATGATGATGTGGAACCTGACACCA